GTTGCTAAAACCCGCTAAAACCCACCTTTCATGGCAACATCACAAGTTTTGACGGTTAAATCATGGTACACCCCCAATTTTGGTGAACGGAATCTTATGTTAAATCACTTAAATCCCTTATTTTGATGGTGATTCCTCCATTTCTCGTTGTATTTCCATGGCTGCGTGCCGTCCCCGGATGCAAAAATTCAAGGACCGGATAACCCCACAAGTCAACTTCTTCCAGTCTGAAGCGGTACGAAAGACAAAGGAGATGCTGGAGGATCGATTGTTTTAAAGAGTTGTATGCGGAAGTGCGCTATGTGTGAAAGAGTTGTGTGTGAAAGAGTTGCGTGCAAGAGTTGACGAAGGTGCGTGTAAAAAAGTTGTGCTCGAAAGTGCTGCATGTGGAAGGGATGTGTGTGAAGGAATAGTTTTTTGCGTTCAAAAGCTGTCGGTGGAAGAGTCGTGTGTGAAAGATATGTATGTCGAAGAAGTGTTCGTGAAAGGGTTGTGCGCGGAAGAGATCTATGCAGAAGAGTTGCATGCGAATGAAAGGTGTACGAGAGTGTTGTGTGCGACCTGTGGCCGGGGCGCGCCACGACCAGTCACGGAAACCGATGGTCTGCAACAGATGTCCGGCTGCTTGCATCAAAGCAACCATCTTGGACGCACAAGTAGCTGAAGTTTAAAGTCATGATAACATGCGTTGTCGGGAGAGAAATTCCTGGCCGAGAAACAGACCGGGAAACCGACCTGACAGTCTTGTCTAGCAGGTCACCACCATGTGGACACAAGTACCTGGTGTTCATAACTGATGACTGATGATAATATATACATTGTCTGGACTGGACACCTGCCACCAAAAGTGCCGCGGTGTCACAGCCGACCATGGCCGACCAAGCGCGCTACAAGAGCCCGCGCAGTGCCGTGAGTGCCATGCCTGCCACGCAGTGTGTGACAGAGTTGTGTGTGATAGTTGTGTGGGAGTAGGCAGGAGACGGGGGCGGAGGAGCAGGAGCGGACGGGAGTGCACAACAGAAAACAAGAACCCCACACAAAGATGTGGGGAAAAAACAACCGTCCTCACCAGCCAGTTCCTTCAAGATCTCCACTGACAGCTCGGTGAAGGCGGCAGCCTGCTAGGCATTATTGTCATAGAAAACATCAACATATCATGCTACATGATGTCTACATGAATATATTAAGATAGCATGTTATATTCACTATTAATGCCAATCCTGCTAATCACCTATAATATATATATATATTTAATATGCTCAGCGCCCTCGCGAGGGACCACCCTCGCGAGGGCCTAGGGTCTGTGTATAATGTTGATATATTCTACATGATGATGTATCATGATGTGTAACTTAATATGCAGTGTATGAGACTGGTAGAACCCGATATAAGTATGGATCTGTTTTATGTTGTGAATTGGTTTAAGTTTTAAGCTGTTTGTTTTGCGGTTTTGCTTTCTTTGCTGAAAATGCATGACATCAAAGGAACGCGAAGCAAGTATGTACTATATAAGGGACGCTGTCAGGTCCCCCAAATTCCACGTTTGTAGAAATGCAGTGCATTATGAATATGCATTCTCAAGTACCCACATGCACTAATAATATCTTAGGAATACAAAATGAAAGTATCATGCTATCTAGATAGTGATGTTTCAAATACATTCATATCTACTACAAAGATTACAGATGTGTTTGAAGGGAATCTGAGAGATACTCACAGTCTTATAAATCTCCATAGGAGCATCCCTCTAGCAATCTATGAGACTCCACAGCTTAGTAAAATAGCAAGAATAGATCTCTTTGCCAAGGTATATGTCTCTTTTACAAACAAACATTGCAGGCAAACAAAGAGCTTGGAAATAGTGTCAATAGCACATATTTGGATGTTACATGCAATCATACATTTAGAATTGCATATAATTATGATTGGGGATACTCTTGCAGAATGGTAAATGATAGAATTTGTATAGGTTGTCATGTTAACAAAATTTATGAGTGGAGGTTCTGATCAAAGACTGTGTTCAGCCTACATAGTGGGATAGCCTGTAGTTTAGTCGCAGTAGAGCCATCAGAACATAAGATGTTTCCATTGATATGTCTATATTCAGCCATGGCCAGGAGCAGACCTACAACACAAAGTGAAACAGGTTTAGAGCAAAAGCTTATGCAAAAGCCTTCTTTCTAATGGGAAAATAGTGGAACTTTACATATTTTTGAAAGATATTATCAGATTAAACTATTGTAAAAGGGCTTTCCTAGCTTTCTTTGGCACTATCCTCCTGAAGCATATTGGCAACATAATCAATGGAAGTAATCATTGCACCTTATCATGCATTGCCATCTTTTGTTCTAAACTTTGGAAAGCCATGGCACGCTATCTAAAGTCAGGTTTAAAATGACAATTCTTTGGACTTGAACTGTAACTGAATACCTCAAACTTGAGGATGGGGGTGGGGGCAAACTTCGAAAAAACCTCGAGAAAACCCCCAACCCCAGGACCTCTGGAAAATAGGCTTTTCAGGTTTTTTAGGTCTTCTCGATGTGTTTTTACTTTTTGGGATTTGGAAGGATCCTGGGGACGGGGGTGGCCAAACAAGAGTGTCAGAATCTTGGGGTTTTTAAGGTTTTCTCGAGTTTTTTTTTGCTTTTTGGGATTTGGAAGGATGAGAAGAGTTTTACAATATACGTTAAGTGATTTTTTGCCAAAATTTGGCCTCCACTTGTTGCATATGTGTTCCCTTTCCTTCAGACTGTATTTCTTCTTGAAATTTAAAAGTAATGTTATTTCATACTGTATTTTACAGTGTTTTTGGGCATTCCTGTATTTGGAAGTAGTAACTTTAGTACTCGTGGAATTAGGTAGTGTCATGGACATATGAAAGAAAGGGTGGTCCCTCGAAAGGGCGGCGACCATATATATATATATATACTGATCAGAATATATATATATATATTCATCATATATTATATAATTTATATATAAAATGTATTATATATCATATGTCTACATAAATATATATCATTGTATATCATTATTAATGCTATATCACCATGACACGCTTGCTGCCATGACATGCTGCACCTCCACCGGCCGATCCAGGGCCGCCAGGCAGCAGGCGAGATTGTTGTAGGCCGTGGCTGTATCAATGGTGTCCCTTAGAAAAGGGAAGCTCCAACGGTTTTCCCCACGATTTTGTAGTGATTCATAGTGATTTAACGTCATTTCACCATGAGAATTGAGATTTAATCTATCAACAAAAATAGATTTACCCTCTTGTTTTTTTACATAGCTATGGAAAATGACCCATAGAAATAGATGATTTTCCCAGCTAGATACCTCCATTTATAAGGGATTTTCCATGGCTATGTTAAATAACCAGATGGTATATTATATTCACATATAATATACATACCGATCAATTACTATATAGTAACTAGTAACATCTAGTAACTATGAACTACTTTTCTATCTTTTTGGGGATTATTATACGCACTTTCAGGGCATCTGCTTGCACTTGAGACGCCAGTCCCAGTTCCGTATCAGAAAACTCAGGGCAGGACCCACCAAGTGCCTTTTCCCGGATGGATCTGGCCCGCCTCAACTGGAAAAGGTCATTGGCCACTTTCCAATGGTGACCACCGGTTCTATGCTGCTGGATTTGTTGTTTACAGGCATGGCGGGATGTCCCAAACCACTGATTTCTCCGCTGACTGGCCCCTGAGCTTCCGGCATGTAGAGCCGTGCTGCAGCTTCGAAGCTGCCAGAGTAGAAAGCTACCCGGCCCAGACCTTGGAAATTGCTTCTCATGTGGGGCTGCAGCGGGATCATTTTAACAGAATCTCAGTTCTCAACCACTCCAGACCATTGCAGCATTGGCATCATAGGGTGAAAGCCTCCAGATACAACAAATCTGGCAGGTTTCAAACCATCTAAACACTACTTCATGCGGCAATTTTTGGGACTTAGGGACATGGCCAGTTCGATGGCCAGGTGCGCCTTTTGCAAGACCCCAAGGCACGCCAAAGCAGCAATCCAGAGAGCTCATCCTCTTGCAGGGCTGAATGTAGAGAAGCAAGCTCGCAGAAGAAGAAAACGGTGGCCTGCAAACCAAGGATGAACAGCATGGACAAGAAACCATCTAAAACATAGAATCAGGAATCAACATCTCAGAGTCTCAGACTAAGAGTGAGATGGCACTCGGCTGCGATATGCTGCGGCTCTGTCTACTCGGAATACATCTTGGATCCTATGCAATGCCATCCAATTTGCTCTGCTAATCATGCAAAGCTTGCTCTTGCCACGAGCCGCCTGTGGTGGCAATAAATCCAAATCCTCGTCCCCATCGCCCAGTGCAGAATGGAAATCATTCTTCGGATTGTATCGCCTGGCATCCACAAGCTGTTGAGATTGGCAGAGGTGGGACATTGGAAAATTATGAGTTGGATGGGGCTGGCTTATCAATTCAATTCGTTGTGGACCAAAAGACTAGACCCTGCTCACATGAACTCCTTAAGGATAGAAATCATCCTTCAACTCAATATTTTAGGGGGGATATCCCCTTACATAGCCCTTATATATGGTACAGGTACCTCCATTTTAGGATCCTGAAATTCCCATTGATCAACAAGACCGACCCCTTGGATGCTCCAGTATCAAAAGTTGATCCTGCATCCTGCATCCGAGGACTATCTCAACCGTCAACCCTGCTGCCTGCTGCTATGCCTTAAACTGTTCCTCATCGCATCGTATCATACCATATCATATCACGTCAGATCACTTCATATCCCGTCAACTCACTGCATATCACATCACAATCATCACATCATCACGAGCTTTCCACTAGTGGTCTTACCACACACGGGGAAGCAACAGCTGAAAAAGAAGGACCGTCCCCCTGCCTGTTCGCAGAACCTGCGTTGTGACTGGGAGTTCTGCTAGCTGACGTTCGCCCGCGAGCAGACTGAGGCGTCTTACCTGGCCCAGTGGCACCAGGGATAGCTGTCCTGATACTCTCTAGATCCCCGAGCAATTGACTTGAAATGACTTGAATATCTTGAATTTAGATGACGTCTTGTCTCTGTCACCTTGGTGGAGTCTGCTTTAGGAGACAGGTCCATGTTGGACACGCTTCAGAAAATGCTGCAACGCTTCATGACCCATTGCTACATGAATTCCGTCACATGGAACACTTTGTTTGCATCCTGGTGCATCTTTTTTGTGAGCGAGCCGCTCTTTTCAAAACCGCCTCCTTCACTGGCTTCTGGGCTTTTGTTCAATACCCTGCCTCGGCACAACAAAATCCTGGAAAGCAGCAGGACTACATAAGACTACTGAGCTAGTGGTAGTCCAGCTAGTCTAACTTCCTTCACAGATGTCACTAGATCTTTGCAGTGCTCTTTTCGGCCACAAGCCAAGAATCAAAATTCTTCAAACTCTGAACTGAACACATAAGATATCATAAGATTATATATATATAATTATATGATTATATAATAGATATCACAGATTATGATTATATAACTTTATATATTTATCCATATATCATTGGCTTTGAAGTCAAGTGCAAACGAGAGACGCTCCAGAAGTTCACCCTCTGTATGATGCTTTGCAAGCTGCGCGTTTGAATGTCCTCCTGGTTGTCGAAATCTAGAGCGGGGACAACAATCACTTCCTGTCATTTGATAACACTGAATGCTGAGATTGTTTGAGAAACTGCATCCATTAAGGAACCACATCCATTGCCGCAACGAAAGAGCGGACTTGAAGAATGAAACAAGCTGCATGGAGGGAAACACATACAAGAATTGAATTACTGCCAAGGTCAATAATTGACCAGTTGATACCAGTTGTCTGTCTCTTCAAGTGGGTTCAGGAAAGCGGACAGACTGAGAGACTCTATGAGATCGGTCCTGGAAGGAACATGTCAGTCTTGCTCTTCACGTAGGGGTCTGACCAAGGGAAACGTGCGACGTGCCAAATTTGGAAGTGCTTGATGCAAAAACGTGACCAATTGTGGGTCCAAAGGCCTTGAATTCTTATCCCCAAGTTAAGTTCTTGTGGGTCCCTCATCCTCATCCTTCACGCTTGGCACATCACCAGCAGTGAAACTCAGCAGCCCACCATGAGATGCTCATCTGGAACCATCAGATTTTGATTTTTTTATCATTTTTATCATCCTTTTCCAACATATATCATCATATATCATCCATTAACATATATTAAGATGGCATAAGATGGCATAAGATGGCAATATCTTCGGGATGAATCCTCTGCATTTTGGAGCTGTTTGAGGGACTTGGTCCGCCTCAGAGTGGCGAGCCCAAGACATGAGGCTAGGTGAAGAATGTGTCATAACTGACGCAATCCAACCAATCATTAGCAGTAATGTCCGGTAACTCATTGATGGTGAATAACATGAATAAGTAATGAATAAGTGATTTAGCAGTAATTCAAGATTCGGAATGTCTAAATCACTAAATCTTCCCAGTCTTCCCAGTCTCGCTTCCAGTCCATCGACATCCATCTGCGCTTCCAGACTTCCAGAGCTGTGTTTTTCTTTCGAAGCTCCGCCTCACGCCTGACAGGGCCATCCATAACCATCCCAATTATCATCCAAATGTCAAGGCCTTTTTCCATGATGAGATTGTTTGAAACCATCAGGTGCGATTGAACATGATTGAACCAACCTCAGAGCCAGGAAATCATGAGGAACTCCGTTTCTAATTTGGCTACCTCTATTGCACTGGTTGCAAGTTCTTCAGGTGGACCCTTCCGCGGACCTACGAAAAGTGGGGCCAATCGCCAAACAATTCGCTCTGGGACACTTTAAAAACAATGGAAAAATCTATGATTCCTCACCCTCCATGACTCATTCCAAAATAGTGAAGCGCCAGTAGTTCTGATCGTATATTACACAGGCTAGTACGTGTCATGTAATCATGCATGTGTATATATATATATATAAATATACATAGTATGTATATACACATATCTTACATGTGTGTATGATATATATATATTTATATTATAGCGCGTCTATACATATATATAATTATCTATATATATATATCATATACAAATATATTTCATATATATATGTAGTATACACTGGTAAAACATACAACCAATCAGCCGGCCGCGTTGCCGCGGCTCCTGGCTGCCAAGTGGGGGAAGGTCGCCCGTGAACTCTGAGCCCAGGGTGATGGCCTTCGGGGCCGTACATCGGCAAAAGATGGCAAAATGTGGCTTCAAACATCTTCAAACCATGAAATTTCATGAACATATATCTGGGTAAATCATAATATTTCACTAGCCTGAATTAAGGCCATTTGGGGATGATTCCCCTTATTAACTATGATTCCAGTGAGGTCGCAGTGAGGTCGTTATAATTTACCCTTTTCCTCTGTGCAGAGAGTCAGTGGCCCGACTCGTTAAAATTTACCCAGATATATTGAACATTGGGGATTTGACTAGGGAAATGTAGGGAATAGGGAAGTATCAAGGTTCAACATGTTCCGTGAAATTTGGGGAGATCAATAGCTTTTTATTCGCCTTTTTTCTTACCATTATCACATCTCATCAACCGAATAATGGTGATACAATGGTCATACAATGGGATAATGATGGGGATACAAACCGAGGCAAAATCAAAACAACTTTAACAAAAGGGGGGGGTCCAACCTGATTTTTATGGCACATGTTGGTTGCTGAAGTTGCAATACAGGAACAACGCCCCAACCATGCAAATTCGATGCAAAAACACATGAAGTGTAAAGCCTGCACCTATCATCACCTATCCCTATCTCTATCTCTCCATGATACGATGGCCATTCGATGCCAAAAATCTCATCTCAGCAGCCATCAGTTTTGCCAACATCATTGGTTCCTCACCTCCAAAAGTGCAAACTGATCCAATGTGAAACACCAAACTGTGGATCAAAGTTCCTCACCAAGCTCAATGATCATCAGTTTCACCAATCGTTTCACCAATCAACAGTATTAACCAGTATGTTAACCAGTATTATGTAACCACTATATTAAGCAGTATATTAACCAGTATTACCCTCTGGTAATTTAACATAGCTATTGAAAATTGCCATTTATAGTGGATTTTCCCATTAAAAATGGTGATTTTCCATTGCTATGTTAGTTTACCAGAGGGTAAACCATGAATCCTCAGCGTCAGACAGGCTCCAGGCCCCCGGACGCCGGAATCAGCAATTGCACCTCCTGCCATTCCGAGCCGATGGAGCCTCGCGCCTGAAAAGGGAAAAGCTGATGTTTGGCTTTAAGGCAGGGGACCACTAGGGAATGTGGGACATTTATAGTTTATTACCCTCTGGTAAACGTTTACATAACTATGGAAAGATCCACCATTTTTTAAAAACTCACTATAGTAGTGATTCATAGTGATTATATTGTATGTACCCAAGGGTTATGACTAACATAGCCATGGTATAGATGGCCCATAGAAATAGATGGTTTACCTATTAATAGCATGGTGATTTTCCATGGCAAACTGTTAAATAACCAGATGGTATAGTTTATTAATGTGTTATTCTAGTGTCAGGATGTGTCAGGTGTTTCATGATTCAAAAACATCCATTGACTCATCACACTCATCCTTGTCGCGAACTAGCTGAGATCGAAGGGCTTGGGACGACCATGGAAAACCTATCATCGGGCTACTCGAGGGATTCACAGACCCATTGACCCATTGGTTTTCCGAGCCGGCTCCCATGGCTTGTGACCATGTCCTTTGAGGTGGCTTCAACTTGGCAAAATCTTTCACCTTTTCATAGCGGTTCATACCTTTTCATACGCCTTTTTGTATGACTGAAGACATGTCAAAACCTTGGTACCCCGGTGAAAAACCTAAGTTTAGCTGGTAAATGGATGTTCCTCCAATGTTCCACAAGAATATTGGTATCAATCCCTGACCTGACCTGCCTCAATGGTGGCCCATAACTTGCGTGCTCGAATCAGCAACATCATGGCTGCGTCGTACTGCTTCAACCTCACATGGCGATTCCCATTGGATCATGGTATGATCAGCTTGTTTGCAGTGCGAAAAAGGATGAAAAAGGATTGATGTTCCACCGTGGTCAAGGAGAAAATTGGATTTTTCTTCGCTTGGAATAAATATACAGTGACCATGGAAAGATCAGCAACAACTAGTGGATCTGATGAAAACAACCAGAAATACGTAGAAATACTGTCCCTGAATTCTTTTTTCAGGGAAAAATTGGGGAGGACACCTTTTCGGACAAATCTCATGAACCAATCTGCTGTCAGCGAATCCCAACACCGTGCCTCCGGGAGATAAGGGCAGTCTCCATCAACGTAGAGACCTGCCCCAAAAGATCCCAAAAGTCGGTGGTGCATGTGAATATATGTGAATGCTGAAGATGATTATAATGGTGTTTTAAGGGCATTTAGTGGGGTTTAATGAATGTTTAATGGGATTTAATGGGATTTAATGGGATTTAATGAATGTCTAATGGGATTTAATGGGATCTATGAGTCATTATGTCAAGAGTCATCATCATGAGTCATACCACTTCGGAACGATGGCAGCCATCAGAAATTTGACAGATCCCACAGATAGGCTGCCGCCTCCTCACTCTGAGGACAGGAAGGTGCCTTCAATGGCTCATCCTCAGCAGCCAGTTGGCGGATCCAGTAGGTGATAGGTTGCAGTCGGCGCCCAGAAATTACGGAGATAGCCATTCTTGGAATGTGACAAAAAACAGCACACGTAGCTCAACATCATTCTTGGCTGGCCATCTGGCGCATCTGAATAGTGACAGAGTAACACCGAGGATTTTCCATGGCAAAATCTGTAGCCCTCTGAGTTGCAAACGATCAGCTGCAATCGAAGGACCCAGCCACTTGCAGGCATATTCGCTGCTTGTGACTGCACAGAAGTGATGACAGGCTTGTCACGGGTCGTTTCAGCATGTTTCAGCATGTTTCAGCATGTTTCAGCATGTTTCAGCCATTGAACCAACATGATTGTCTGAAAATAGGTACCCCCAAACCCGATGGTTCTTCATAATATTTGCGAGTAAATTGCCATTCTGTGGCTACTCCCCATTTCAGACCCAGTTTCGCAGTCCTGCAGTCGGCACCTCGTCGCGATGCCGTCCGATGTGATCATCAAGATTCCTTGGCAGGCCACCATTGGGAACTCATTGGGAATGCTGGACTGCTGGATTAAGATGGATTAAGATGGATTAAGATGGATTAAGATGGATTAAGATGGATTAAGATGGATTAAGATGGATTAAGATGGATTAAGATGGATTAAAGCTGATTTTCCCTGGATCAATTGTTGCTGGCTGTTGGTGGCAACGAGCTGAGGACAGAGCTTCAGCATTGCAACCTTGCTGTCAGTTTGCCTGAGCTCCAACAGAAGCAATTTGTTGACAGTGACTTCATCACAATTACCCTCTGGTTATTTAACATAGCCATGGAAAATGGCCATTTATAGTGAATTTTCCCATTAAAAATTGTGATTTTCCATAGTTATGTTAGTTTACCAGAGGGTATCACTTTATTCACTTGATCTTCAAAGACGGACAACTATCTGGGTAAATCATAATATTTTATAATATTTCACTCACCTGAATTGTTGGGCCATTTATTTGGGGATGATTCCCCTTATTAACCATGAGTCCCAGGGTTCGGTCGCTTTCCGTGAGGTCGTGATCAAATTTACCCAGAACTATTAGCTGGTCATTTTGAGCTTTTCGAGGTCCAACTGATCCATCTGGGTTCCAACACCACATGGGTGGCACCTCAGGCCTAGCCAACTCCGGCCGTTTGCCTAGCCATTGGACCTGCCAAAGTGGCACTCGGGAGGCATCACGACAACTCCCAGCATTAGCGATATATTTTACAACTTCTAAAACGATCTCAGTTCCTCTTCTTTGCAATGGAAGAAAACGATGCCAACAAAAATTTGCAGTGCAGTGCCTGATTCCAATGGACAGGCACGTTCCCATAGAAGTACTCACGCCATTTCGGTTGCTTCACCCCCTTGGCTTTCTTCTTCCTGCCGTGGCCAAACCGGCCATGATATCACTCCATCTTTCAAAAAGGCTGCGCCCACTGTTGGGGCGAATGCAGGTCTTTTCAAAAGGATAGAGGGGTCGGTTTGGGACAAAAATCATCTGTCTTGTTTCATCAATGAACAAACAGCAGGACGTCAATGAACGAGACAACCTCATCAAGCTTGGTCTCAAAGGGCTTAAATCTCAACATGTCGGCCACGCCCCTTTTTCTTTCCACCTGCTGCTCCTCTGCCATAGGGATTCTTCCTGTCCAGCTATGAAAAGGATCGAAAAGGACCGAATTTCTGCACCACGTTCTGCTGGCTGAACCCCTTCGCTTGGGTCATTAGCTTACAACATCTGTCCTCTGGTTCTCGTCCTGGCACCAGATGTTGCAGACATTTGCAGACTGCAAGATGATGCAAATTGAGATCCAAAAAATCCTCCAGTCAATGGATTGGTTTTCCAGGGAAAATCTTAACCGGAAACCATCGATTTTCCCACGAAATATGGGGTTTTCCTGTAAATTTTCCCGTGATTTCCCAATCTTTGTTGATCCAGCAAATCGCGCCAGCTTTGCCGTTCGCTGTTCGGATGTCAGTGGCTGTGGCGGTAACTTCTCCAGAACTTGTGCTGGCGGTTGAGGTATGTAAGGATCCTGGTCAGAAAGACTCAGTGCTTATACATAAAGTGGGGGAACATGTCAAGAAATGTCAAGAAATGTCAAGAATATGAGGCTGGCCTTTCTGATCTTTCTGCATGGAGGAAAGCACATTGCAAAATACTTGTCAAGACTATATTTCTGCCAGTGCGCATTGAAAAGTCTAACTCGAAGTCATAGCCTTCTTGGGGGCAAGCTTGGGCAATTCGGAGTCTAGCCTGAGAACGGATGTGTGGAGTGCAGTGGGCAAGATAGAAACTGGATCATAGGGACTGTTCGCGCGGCCTGCAGTTCCACTTTTGAGTTCCGTGCGCGGCCCAAATCTCCACAAGATTTGAAGGCTCCTTGTCTTTCCTTGGCTGCTTGTTTCTACAATAGCAAGAGCGGCAAACACTCAGAAACTTGTCTTGTGATCAACACAGGGATGGAAGACGATGGAAGGACGTGCCGCAGCACAATTGCCAGTTTTTTTATCTATTGTTTGGTTGCTTGAGTTTCAAGTACTGGCATGATGAAGCATCCATGACCAGGGATGAACCTGAGGTGTGTGCGCAGCATCCAAATATCCAGAAACCACCTGCCCAGAAAGGAAACATGTCTTGGACGGCCGCTCAGTTCCTGACAGCCATGATGTCCCTTGCTGAATCCATCCCTCTTCAGGTGGGAAAAATGGCCACATCACAGCACAAAAGTTGGGCTGGTTTTGCCCAGCAACCCCTTGCCACACCTGCAAGAACTCTTCAGCATTGACTTCAACCTTGAGGGGAGCTACACATAACAGAAACAACTGTGGTCGCTTAAAAATGCATGGCTGGGTGAAAAATGGAGGCATTGAAATGACGATCCTAACGAAATATCTGTCGAATTCTTACTCGCGGTCGAGGTTATGAGCTTAGTAAATCCTCATGTCATCTTAATATCTTAGAGCATCCGTAGCAAGTTTTGCCAAGTTTTCATACCTCACTGAATCCTGTCTTGTTGCCACAATCCCCGTTCCCGTTGTCCTCGCCCGTGGGAAGTCGCAGGAGATCTTTGAAAATCTCATGAACGCGCTCGACCCGATCCTGCCAGGTTGAATCCCATCCATAAATGGATGGTCAGTTAGTCAGTTAGACCAAAATTGTTTCTGCCACATCCCCTGTTTCGTTGTGAAGTTTCCAAAAAGTTCTTTCGGTGCTTCGAAACCATTGGGGAGTTACCCCATACTCCTGGCTCCTGGCTTGCTATTAAGAAGGAAAAGACACGTTTCTAAACATCTGAGATGGTTCAAGAATATTCAAAACCTACCACAAAAAAACTGTTTAAGGGAGGATGAACATCCATTTACCATCCATTTACCATCCATTTACCATCCATTTTCGTGTTAATTCACGGACGCGCTTCCTGATCCACAGCAGTAGTCTGGATCCCACCTGACTCAGCTCATTGTAGACTTGCGGTGAAGTGTGCAGGGCTGCCTCAAGGATCAGCGCTGACAAAACTGGAGAGAAAACTGGAGAGATCCACAGTTCATAAAGGCATTATATAACACACCATAGTCATTCATATAGTTTGATAGGTATTCAGGTGTGTATATATATATATATAGGGCTATCTATATATATATGGAATATATGGTAGATCGACTGACCCAACTGTTTGAAACGGCATTTCGTACTATCACGGAGTTCTTGTGGAATTTGCTGGATCATAGACTTGTGAAAATGTCGAAGTCTTTCTTAAAAACGAGCAACTCAAATTGGGATACCCTCTGGTAATGACTAACAGTTTGCTATTGAAAATGGCCATAGAAATAGTGGATTTTCCCATTGAAAATGGTGATTTTCCATAGCTATGTTAAATTACCAGAGGGTACTAAGCATCCATAGGCTTCTTGGTCTACAAACAATGGCTCCATAAATGGTGGCTGGGCTCTGATATGCGGCAATCCCGCAATCCGTAAGCAGAGTCGCAACGATCTGGACTCAGCCGCAAATGCAAAGGTCCAAATGCTCTTGTCACTTGGGCATGTGCACTGTGCCGAATTTGATACCTCCAAAAAAGAATGCCTTACACTTTACACAAAAACAACATTACCAACGTTTGCAGGGCACCTCACGTGACAACTTGCTTCTATTCCCTGAAAAAAACACCGCTGCGGCCAGAAGACTAAAGTGAACAGCTCCATGACATCTGGGAAGCTGAAACCTCCGGTTTAAGTCGACTACATCACTAGGGATAGCGGCTTCAATGATGTCAATGATCAGCATCATACAATATATATATATAAATACATGTATCTATTCTATCTATATACACATATATGATAGAATCAGATACAATCTATAATGATCTATGATGATCTATGGACATATCATTACAATAATGATCTACCAGCATACAATGCCATGTGGTAAATACAGAGATGTCATCTGTCATCCAAGTCCGCCAGCAGGACGTGGCTCTCCAGGCATGGTGCCCACTGCTGGCTGAACCCAAGTCACGTCTGGCTCCTACGGCACCGGAGCGGAGAAGTCGACGGCGGAGAATTCGTGGGATTTTCGATTCCTCTCAGAGTCAGATTAGAAAAAAAATTGACAAGAATGATTAGACAAGTTGAAAAATGATTAGACAAGTTGATTAGATATATTAGACAAATTTAGACAAGTTGAAAAAAAAAAAAACATCACCTTTGAGCTTCTTTGAGCCAGTTTTGGAAGAAGAACAGTTGCGGAGGATCGCTGTCGCGAGCTGTGGAGCCCCGTATCCAAGTCCTCGTCGCTTTGAAGCATTGTGAGTTCCTGCGCTTCGGGCTTTGCCACTTCCACGCAGATCCATTGAAAATGGCGACAATCGTGAGGTGATTCAGTATATCTAAGAAGCCTACAGAGACTGGATAGCCATGCAGAATCCCAGCATCTGCTACTTTGAAGCCAGGTAGCCAGGTGGCGTCAAGTTGTGTCAACCGGGTGTCTCCTTCAAGTATCTCTTTTCCGGAGCTTTTGGACCTGAAAACAGTCACACACCAGAGGTTTGCTTCCCTTTGGAAAACCTCAAACTTCTGCAAGGAACAGTTGTTCCACATGGTGGTGGTTTGCAACTTTGAGACTTAAATTTGCATGTCTCATCATGCTCCTAATTTGATTTGGCCATATTGAGCCCAAAAATTAGCTGGTCTACCTTTTTCAACATGACTTATTCGTTTGGGGCCCTTGAATTTTGACTGAGCCCTCGGCCACAAATGTATAGTTCGTGAACCAACTCGTGGAAGTCTCCTGATAAAAAGCTGCCACTGGACCCAGAAACGTTCACTGTCCTTCTTAAATTGTACCCCAAAAAATAGGAGAGCAGGACGCTGTGGGAGTGCACTTTTTTGTTGTTTTTTCAAAACTGTAATCACATTAAAGCTTAAGCTACAGATGAAGCTGTGTTCATGTCCACTAGAGAGCATGTATTGCTTGAAGAAGTGTCCAGGTGTTCACTCTACCTTAGATAAATGCTACTACACTGTCCCTTCAACAAAACACAATTTCTGCAGAATATGCTAGATGACTTCAACATAATTACAACATCCCCATACCTGCCAACAAATGCAGTATTCAAAACAAACATACCCTTCTGAATAAGAGTAATCTTCCTTTGGGGCAATGCAGTGTGTTTTTGCGGGGACAATATCCAAACAAAATATGAGGTATTCCTTGAAAAGTTGCACCATGCCCTTTGAAGGACTGCAGTGTGCATTTCCAGATGTCTAAACCTCCTTTTCAAGGAGCAGTACACCTTTTAGAAAAGTCACTATTTCTGCATAATATATGCAGTATTATTGACATAGAGCATCCCTTTCAAAAATGCAATATGTTTGAAACTGTGAGCACTATTAAAGAATGCCCATTCGCTTCTTACCACAGAACAACAGAATATTGTCCTGTATGGCAAAAACATCTTCCTGTGAAGAAGCAACATTCTTGGAAAACTGAATTATTTTTGTTTGACATGTGTACTCTTCCCCTTGGTCAGATCAGCCCAGCCTTCATTTAGACAACTCTCACTTAAAGAAATATGTTCAAGACAATCCAACAATAATGTTTTCGTTGAATCAAATATCTCACTCATATGAAAGGGGTATTGCACAAATTCAACAACAGATTCTTCAAGGACGACCATACTCTTTCAAAAGAGTGCTACATGCATACAGTACACCATATGTTCCAACAATGTGTGATTGTCTTAAGATTTAAAGATGCACATTCTTCAAATTACAATATTTTTCAAGAGGAGAGCTGCCTACACCAAAGGGTGTTATTCCCAAAATATGGTTCGTTGTCTTGGAAGAATATCACATTATGCATTCAGAAAAAACATATATGTGCAATTGTGAAGAACATACCTTACGTGCTTACATGTACCATGTGTTCTTCATTAAATAAAATATCTTGTGAAAAGGGCATTGCATGTGCAAGAGGGTTCATATTTGACATAGAAGTAGACTAAGACATGACCTACTTCAATGGGACGCTCTACCATTTTTTTTAGAAACGCACTTGTTGAAGGGAGCACTCACTTCATGTGTCAACTCAAGGGCTTGATCCAAACATGTCAATATCGTTCATCAGTTCTACACATTCAGAATGGCTGCCTATGTTTTTGCATGTGTGAAAAACATCGTTTTTGAAAAATTACATAAACAGAGAAAATTGCCTAATCTGTGTCCCAAGCCCCGCAAGCTTCCTCCAGTGATACCTCTATTTTGCCATGTTTGTTTACATGGTTTTCTAATGGAACCACAGGCCCAAAGCAAACAATAAAATCAACCAAAAGCAAGTTTGCAACCCCTAAAGTGGGAGAACTGGCAAAGTGAGGTCTAGGTCCTTCACTTTTGTGTTGTTCTGCCAACCCTTCAAAAAACCAACAACGAACCAGAAAACAAGAAACCAAGAAACCAAAAAACTAAAAAAACAAGAAACCAAAAAAACAAATAAACAAAAAAAAAAAGAAACCTAGATTGCACACCCCAAGGGGGGAGTAGTGGCAGAGAGTTGGGTCTTGCCATTTTTTTTGGAGTTGTTTGTTTTTTTGGTCTTTTGGTTTCTTGTTTTTTTGGATTTTGGTTTTGTTTAGCCATTGCAGAAAGACCAACAACGAACCAGAAACCAAGAAACCAAAAAAACAAAAAAACAACAAACCAAAAAAAAACAAGATTGCACACCCCAAGGGGGGGAGTAGTGGCAGAGAGTTGGGTCTTGTCATTTTTTTTTGCGTTTTTCTTGTTTTTTTTTGTTTTTTTGCTTTTTGGTTTCTTGGTTTTGTGTTTTTTTTGATTTTGGTTTTGTTTAGCCATTGCAGAAAACCAAGCAGAAATTGTCAATGGTTGCAAAGCAGTGAGAGAACCATCGCAAATGTGCAGTGTCAGTGGTTGCAGAATGCAGTGAAAAACCGCACTCCCAGGGTGTCCCCTTCTGAAAAATAGATACGTACATAATTGACCATAATTTACCACTGTTTCAGTAGGATCTTGCGTTTCTATCTGTTGGGGTGTTGCTTTTGCATTCAACCTATTTGAACCATCCATTTTTTGGTGGTGATAAATTTTGAACCATATAATTACCATCATTGTTGGCCAAATTCCTATCCAAAAAATGATACTATATACATATTATGTGTATATATATAATATTGATACCATAACAAAGCCCAACTCCACATCAACAGAATTCCAATGAATCCACTTGAATTCTCATGGGTCACAATATCTGCATGTTGTTGTATGTTTAAGAATCCACAATCTCTGCTGGTAAACCATGGTAAATCCCAACGGTCCCAGCATCATTCAGCATCTTTCAGCATCGGCCCTCCTGATGCCATGCAGTCCGGCACCAGTCGAAGACTTCGAGCCAGGCGGTACAAGGAACGAGCGCTGATGCTTCGTTGTAGCCTGTCCTGGCGCAGCTCGGGTCGTCCGGTTGGGATTTCATCAATGGATTTCACTCGCCGCTAGCCCATTACCCTCTGGTGATTTAACATAGCCATGGAACATCACCATTTTTAATAGGTAAACCATCTATAAATGGGCCATTTTCTATGGCTATGTTAAATAACCAGAGGGTAAACCATTCACAGTGAGAACAAGATTGGTATTCAACCATTATGCCATAAAACATGATGATTCTGCAACTTGGAGATTGACACCAAGCCAAAAGCTGGGGATTTATCTTCATGAATGTCAATTCAAAGGGAACATGGAAGAATACTTACCAACATAGACACCAGTGGGGATATCATAGGGATATGCTACCGTAATGGAAATATTGTGGGGATATAATGGGGATATGTCATTCACAATATCATATTTCTTTGATCTCAAAACTGGTATACCATGGTATACCCAAAGTTATGCCGATTTGATGGCAAACATGGAGGGTTCCTGAAATGGGGGTACTCCAAATCATCCAAAATTAGATGTTGAAACCCATGGTGACTTGGGGATCCCCCATTTTAAGAACCCCCCATATGATCAGCAAGTGGGTGCTAGAGGCAGCTGCTGCTGCGTCCTCGACTCGTGGCAACGCTTGCCCTTCCACTTCCGTCTCCTGAGCTTTAACTATACATCTGGTGGTTGGTGCTTTGCCTTTCAAACTATACCAATCTATACCAGCTGGTTATTTAACATAGCCGTGGAAAATCACCATTTTTCATAGGTAAACCATCTATTTCTATGGGCCATCTATACCATGGATATGTTGAATAGCCAGAGGGTACATCATATAGTCAATGTAAAACCTCCGTCACTTTGATCAAATGATGGAGAAATGTGTTTCAGTGCTGCTGGCCACCGGCATACCCTGACACATTTCAACATCTTCTGTCTGATCCTTCTACCAAACCTCCTGGCCATGCCGATGATTATCGATGATTCCAAGAGTCGCCCATTGACATTAGCAGCGACATTTAAAGGCGACTCTAGATTTGTTGCCTGATGAGATCAACTTAAGTTGATCTTGTAGCCACGGCCCCAGCAGCGTGTTACGAAAATGGTCAATTAAAGCAGGCCAAAGTTACAAAGTGTTTAGCCATATTTCATGTGAGCTCAGTACTGACATGTACTGACAATATCATCCGGATCGGCTATATAATTCAAGCTATACTTTGGGACCCTCGTGGTTCTCAGATGCACTATTAAACCATGGGTACCTATGCCCCAGCGTCGTGTGATAATCAATAGTGTGGCCAGTTGCCGGGCATGTGTCTATTGCTTAGAAAGATTCAAATGGTGCGGGTCGATGGCCTCAAATTTTGAGCCATTTCCACCCATATGCTCTTCCTCCATTTGGGCATAGGTCAAGACGGCCTGATGCACAAAATTGGTGTCAGATGGTGTCAGTATTATCCCGTCCATTTGGGAGGCCAATATTGACATGGACCCATACCCACCCCAGAGCCGCATCCGATTTCAGCTTCGCAGGTTGGGTCTACCAGCGAGTCAAGATGCTGTGGCATGATGACGACCCAAGTGGCTTCTGATTGTTGGTCATTTGTATTCAATTCAACCATCCGTTGGGAAAACATCAAAAACGTAACAAACTTGCTTGAGCTTGTCTAATACGAGTCATCAGCAGCACAGCAGTGTTTCCTTTCCGCGGTCATCTCGGATCACAACAACTGCACCTTCGACCGTTGCCGTGCAGTTCAGCCACCAACTGCTCATGGCATCTGCAAGCCACCATGGATAGTGCTAACATCCTACAGATGCAGGGTGCGCCATGGCCCTGTCCTTGCCACTTGTCTGCCCTTTGGCGGCTCCTGCACTCTTGTCCTTGTCCTTTCCGGTGCTCTTGCGCATCAGCTTCTCCGACAAGAACTGCTTGAAGAGGGGGCTGTTCACGTCGTAGATCATCTTACGAAGGCTGCACTGGGATCCAATCTTTTCAGTACCTCTTGAGACCTTCTCTGGCTGCAGGTGAAGATGTATCTGCAGATATCTGCGGCACTTTAGATATCTTTAGATCACTCCCAATGACAAGAAACTCATCAACTTTGCCATACTTTGCCACTGGGGTTACTGTACCTCCTGACCTGGACCGTGAAAATGCACCGCACAACCCATGGCCCAAATTGTGGCCCTTTTTGTGGCAATCCAATATGGCCGGTACCCCAAAGTTGGACCCCAAAACTTGCAGGAGTGGGGTGTCCCAATCGTACGTTAAGCACCCCGACGTATTGCAGAAAGAGCTTTCTCATGATACTCTCGTACTCGTAGGCAGCACTTATCACCTTGATGTTTGTCAAATGTATGAGTTGTAAACAGAGTGGATTGTCATAAATGCATAGTCCACCGTCCACCTGCTGAGAATCTCAAGCCCCTCCTAACATTTGTAGTGCAAATTCTGACGACATGGCATTCAGCAGGAAGCTTTAGCGTCACATCATTCCCAGCCAATCAAATGAATTGCCTGGAACTTCAATTTACGGCGTTTCATAGAAGGACTGAGTTGGCTCCCCCTTGTGAAATGTTTGCGTGAAACATATTGAAACCATGCGTAGTCTGCCTGCTCGTCGAAGAAAGCAGTTCGCTTTGTGCTCACCTCATGTATTTCAGATGCACAAGCCTGCAAATCATGCATCAAATCCATTAAATCCAACCGATTGGCAAGGGTGTTAAGATGTGTTAAGCTTCAAAAGTTACTGTGTATTGACAAGACGAGCGAGAAGACTATAAAAGGCGTTTTGGCTGGAATGCAGCGTCAATTCATTCGCAACGCGACTTCTTGGTGCAACCACTTCCGATTGTTATGACTTCACCGGCTGCAGTTGAGTAGCTCCATTCAACTGGAAAGATACATCCGCGTTTCGGATGCTAACATCCCGCAACAAATCCTGAAGAGCTTGGTGGCACGGGCCGTGGCACCAAGGGTGGCCGGATTTGGGGAAATCAGTTGATTGGATCGAAAAGTTCACAGATGTTGAAATCACCCAATCAATGGGGCGTTTTTCTTGTCTGGCAAAATGATGCTTAAAATGTTTCGGAAATTCGAAGCTATCCAAACTCACCGATGAAAGATCACTTTGCCTCAGCTACACAAATCTTTCAATCAGATCCCTGCTTCCGAGTGAGAGCCCTCCCGACACGAAGCTGCTGACTATGCGCAGTGCATCTGCTTTGCATTTTGTATTCCTGAACACGGTTTTCCAATCTGATTGGCAGTGTCAATTGTCCCTATATATAATATACGTATATATATATACACACACATACTGTACTGTATATCAATTTGTCAATGGGTGTCATCAATCCCAAGTAGGGTTGAACGTATAAAGCATATTTAAAAATATTTAAAAATATTGGAAACAACCGTAAACCACCAGTCAATGCTGTTTGCTTGGTCTTCCATCCTGGCCGAAGCTTTACAAAAACACCCTGACAGGTCGGGACCCTTCCTGCAAGGCTTGGATCTTGTACAAAGCTTCCATCGCAAAGCTGGGTCTGACGGCAATTCTTCTTCGGAAATTTTCGGTTCATCACAGGGGAAACACATTGAGATCAGGTCTCAGAGTAACAACGCCTGCTGCTGTTGCGGCGCTCACCACTCGCCTGGGAAATTGGTGTCTCATTTTTTCCGGACCACAGGCTGACAGGTGTCCCAGGATACCCAGTGGATGTACATGGAAATCCGTATAGCCGCGGAAGATATTTGGCACACAACGCAATTGACGGGGTGTTCCTACCTCGTTCTCCAGTCCCATAACACTTTTTGGGGTCTGGCCTCGTTTTCCAGCCGCACTTGTTTTTATTTCAATAGCCAAATGCTTTACATGCGATGCCTACCTCGTTCTGGGGGTGTTCCTACCTCCTTTTACAGCCAAATTATGATGTTTTCAACAAACCGGGGTACGCCCCAATACTGGTCTCCATTTAACCAAATAAAAGCAGTCACTCATGTTTCTTCTAGATTTTCCCAAAGGAAACCCAGTTTTCCCTAGCCACCAGGTTGATACCAGCAGCATGCTGCCCAGTGGCACTCAGATTAGATGTCTGATGATCCAAGCCTGAGCTGGCCTCGGCTGACGATCCTCTGGAAGTATTGACAGATTTGGGGTCCCCATTTATGGGGTACCCCAAAATCCTCTGGTTTCTCATCCTTTTCATCACTCAAATGACCATGAAACCAGGTATCCATAGGTATATTAGGTTGGTATACTATGGTATACTATTTCTGGAAAAAAACGCGAACAATGCCAGCCCTGTCGAAACGGCGACAAATGAAAGCGTCCAACCTTCAAACCGTAGGGCGCCCCGTAGAACTCAACAGCTAAAGCCTTGCACAAAGGTGATGGATTTTTCTTTGCTGGCGATTCTGATGTGCTCATGGACAGCAAATGACGAACCAAAAAAGGCTTGTCTGAAATTTCCTTATAATCCGTATAATCCCATTATGTATAGAGATGTTGGGATTATAATGATGTTGCTTGTCTGTTAATCCCATATTATATTGGGAACATATATAATCTGTCATAGTTCCCAGTAGTTCCCAAGCAACATTAATTTTGTCACATCGCTCCTGCAGGGCTTGACGGAGTTGCTTGGAATCGAGCTGCGCGTCTAAAGTCTCCTGGATCGAAATGACACCAACATGACTTTCCGGTGCCTGTCGTAGATCCATTCGTAGGGAATGGATGGGATGATGGGAATGGGACCGGGGGATGATCGCTACTTCTTCATTCGATCATTCCCTCATTCCCTAAGCAGTGATGATTCGCGAATGTGGAAAGTTTCTCCGTTGTGGTAGTATTACGTCCATGTATGGTCCATTGGAAAAAAAACCATGGCATGAAAATGATGGGTTTAACATCATATTGCCAACCATGTTGTATGTATTGGTATTTTAACATGTATTAAACATGATTAAACCATAATATGCCATGGTGAAAAAAAAAACATCCATAACATTACCAAATAATATGGCAAAGCAACCATTGTGGTAACCAATGGATTTTCCAACAACTGGTTGATCCACAGATGGTACTTGTACCATCCCCTTAAATGGCCAAATGGTTGATCTCCTCTGCCGTCTGCAGTCGAAAGGTCTGCCGACAGGAATGCCGGTAATGGTTATTGGGTGCCGGAAGGGAAAACATGGAGACCTGGTGATAATATGGGTATGGATCAATACCTATTAATACCATTTTTAGGGGAATGAACATCCATTTACCAGCTATTTTGATGTTCACCAGGGGTCCCAGGGTTTTGACTCACTGCCATATTGCTGGATTTCATGCATATCATGCTGGCCCTGCTGTAAACATAAACACATCAACCCGCGGTTGAGAAAGGGAGCTGTTCATCCTAAGAGCAACACACATGCAGAGGGACATCTGTGATTTCACAGAGGTCTTCACTTCCTGCAAGTTGGACTTCAGCAACGAAACGCCTCAAACGAAAACCTCTGGTTTGAAAAAAGACTCTGACATCGTTTTTTGAGTCCGTCCCCCCTTACAACTGGTTGGTGGATTCTCCGTGATCCTCCCATAAAAATATTTTGGAAACCACCATCCGCACCAACCATTTACGAACTCATATAATACCAACCAGAAACCATGGTTAACAAAAATGTTTGGTTCAGCACCAACCATCACCAACCAGACAACTCGCAGCGATTTGAACCGGGTGCAACGGGCCGGTCACCTTGAGAGATGACAAATGATCGAAATCCCAGGAGAGAAGACGCTGATGGGCAACGAGATGGCAGAAACTGCGCCGCGGCAGATGGATGATGATCTTTCGGGAAAGCGACAACGAATTCATACTTCTGGACTTCTGGAAGCGAAATATCATGATATATCATGAATGATTATTTTTCTGTAGACATGATCTATGAAATATCTATGACATATCTGAAACATCTGCCACTTTCAGCCGTTTTTGTTTCCGTCCCCGTCTGGACCCATCCTGGACAGGGACACACCATCTCCAGTGGAACATTCGTTGTACAAGGCGGATACCGCGATCTGTCGCAGAATCAGCTGGGTATGGTGGGTATGGTGCTGGTACTGGGTTCATGAAAACCTTAGGCCACTAAAAATTCACTGCTTCTTGAGATTTGTGGTCTCAAATCTGAAGATGTCAGATGTCGAAATTCGAAATGTCAATGGATGATTTAAATGTGTACACCTTGGTCGATCTCAGTGACCGTTCAACAGCGTTTAGGCAACGGCTTCCGCGTCAACAGGGCAGGAAGACTCCAGTATCCAAAGCAGCTGCCGGGGCTCGCGGACTGAATGCAGTGTACCTCGGTGTATACCTTTTCAATGACCATATTGACATGGAAAATGATGATCAAATTGGATTTCATGGGATTTAGATGGGATTTAGGGGTACCATGAGGTAGCCGATTTTCAGTTTAAAACTCATGTTACACTCCGAAGTACGTCCAGGGGCTTCTTGGTCCAGGGGATGATATATCAGCAGTGTTCAAGATCCCCATGGGTTGATGCCGACATATCTTATGATATGGGCTTCTACTGTCCAACATATTGGGGAGTGTCACAATCCATTATGGTTTTTATCCGATTCACCTAATATCAATTCCATTCCAATGCCATCACACTGTCTCTGCAACGTTGGCTAAGCCGCTGGCGTATCCCGTTTTTGGTCCATGGCGCAGCCTGAAACCACAACTGACAAAGCCAAACCAACCGTTCTTCGTTGGGTTTTTCCTATTCTATTGGTCAGCATCGATGTGGCAAAGGATGCACTACTTAGCAGAACTTTTTTTTTGGCCAAGAAAGTCTCATCGAATGATTCGATTCCACGGCGCTTAAAGAATGTTGAAGTGCTAAGAGGAACTGGAGCACAATGTAACTCCCAGAGCTGAGCAATGTACATATGTATGTGTACAATCATATTATATATATACACACTATACACACATGTAACGTATGTATGTAATGCATATGGTCTTGTGATGCATAGTGATTCACAGTCATTTCATTATTATGATGTAAATATTATATAGCAATATAGCAATGTAATTAAAAAATGATGCATAGTGATGTGCGGTGATGTAAAGTATATCCAACAAAATATAAACACCACAGGTTTCTCTTGGAAGAACTTGCCCATTAGCATGCTATTGAGTGGTGGCTGACACGACTGTAGTCCGGAGGATAATCCTGAGATCCCGTCAACCTTCCAGTAATCAAACGTGGCTGGCTGGAAAAACCCATGACTAAATGTAAGTTTTCATGAAAAAAACAATCTATAAATGGTATGAGGTCCTCAGCATAGCATCATCTTCAAATTTAGGATGCGCAAACCTGAGATTGCGACACTAGCAACTTTCGGCCGTTTCTGCGCACAACACGTGCTCTACATCCTTTCCTTTGGTCGCATTGGGCCCACAAATGCTGCAGGTCTGTCCATTGGGCATAACCCAAATATCCACCTGATTGCTGGATACGAGTGATTGATTTGTGTGTCCAAAATATTCCCTACCCACTTAAATAGCCATTGTGGTTTCATGTGTTTTCCGGGAAACAGAACTTTGAACCATTGAATTTTGGGGTATCCAAAACCATTTTTTTCAGACAAAACTTCTCAAGGCGAGACCAGACCACAGAACCACTTTTCTCAATGTCAGCGTACTCTTCCTGCGGGCCACCACACCCACACAGGATGCCACGGCCGACTTTAAAATTGCGAGGTTGGCTTTCCAATGGATTCAAATGGCCATTAAATGATCCTTAAGCTCTTGTGAGACATATCTAAATTCGAGATGATGTTGCAAGGAAACAATTCAATCAATTCAGAATCAATCACCCAGAGCTCCGAAACAAAGGGATCCAGGGTATTGCTGGTCATCAGTCTTGCATCATGGCCAATATATTCATTATGCGTTCAGGATCCTGCCGCAAGGCTTCCTGAGCTCAACTGATGCAAAAACGGGAGATTGACCAACCACTGCCGTCTGAAAAGTAAACAAAATCTATGAATTCAATCATTTCAACTCCAAACATGAAATTCTTTGTTTCAGGCAGAAACAAAAACATGCACAAACGGCAACAAAGGATCATGGAAGATTTGGGAAATGGATTTCCCATTACAAAAACCATGAAAATCTGATTAGATCTTATTGATCTCCCATTAAATCCCATTAAATCCAATTAAATCCCATTGATACACCATATTACACCATTAAATTTCATAAAAGTTGGTACATCTTCCAAGACACCGCCAGATCCGGGTTTTGCGCCACCAAGGCCTAGACTCCAAAAGCAAATGGGTTAGAGTCACCATGGTTTAGCCATTGATTCATCAACCAGTTCTACATGCAACAAAAACACGTGTATGTGTATATATATATATAATTATATATATATATGCATACCCGCAAGACGGTGGGTTCGCCGTCGGCACACAGTGTCTACTTGCGTGCTTTGTCGTTGTTGCCTGTCATCTTGAAGGTTACAAAGTACTGTGCTTTATGGGTCAAAGTGCACATTGCATGGTTGCTGTTTGATGGTGTCGTATCGCTTTGCGTGCATTTGAGCGGAATTCGGTGGGTTAGAATTTGCGTCTCTTTCGGTCTTTTTCTTTGCGCTGCATCATGTTACGCTACACACGTCGTCGTGTGCGGTGGAGTGGAGTGGGGTGGGGTGGGGCTAATAACGTCCAATTGTACTTGTATTCACACGTTATGCTACGCTACTGGACGTTATCTTGCAGTAGTACAGATGAAAGATGTTGCTACGTTGAAGATGTTGCTACTTTGAAGATGTTGAAGATGCTGCTGCGTTGAAGATGTTGAAGATGTTGCTACGTTGAAGATGTTGAAGATGTTGCTACGTTGAAGATGTTGCACAATTTCGCAAGGACCTCACGAGCGGGGTGCTAAAACATGGCACCTCGCGATTGTTTCAAACCAGAAAAACAAAACTGGTTACACGAGGCATGAGCAAAAAAAAGAAGAACGTGTCCGCTGGCAAGATGATCTGGCATGCTTTCAATTAGAATTTTGACGTTCAGCCGACGGCGAACCCACCGTCTTGCGCGTATATATATATACATATAATGTATATCTATATATTATATATATAAATAATGTGTATATATATATATATTATGTATATATTTTGCATATACATATAATGCAATGGGGAAGTCAGTCATTGAAGTCGACAAGCCGTAGGAAGCTGGGACACCTGTGGACCAAACAGCTTCATCCAAGTGGCCATCAACTTTGGCGGAAGGTCCTTGGCCACCGTTGGGACATAGGAACTGTCGAAGCGCATGGGATCAAAGGCACCCATGTCGATGGGAGGCTCCTCAACGGTCAAAGATTGGAGTGTGGCAAATTGTGGAAGACCACCACCATCATCATCACCATCATCATCATCATCCTCATCCTCATCATCATCATGGCCACTGCACCCAAAGTTCCTAGATGGACTACCCCTAGGCGGCAACATCCTCGCCTCTCCAAGCGCCAAAGCGGCTGCTGCTTCGCCCATGGCTGGCCCGTTCCTCGGTGCTTGGGGAAGCTGACTTTCAACCCAAGTGGTCCGAAAAAAAAATGAGGAAATGTTTTTTCGGATATTTTTGGAAGATTGGAAACCACTTTTGGATATGTTTGGAATGTTTTGGAAGATTGGAAACTGGTTTCCCCACTATTCTCTTGGGCTTTTTCAGATTTTAGACTCCAGCAGCGAGGCTGGCATAGCTGAGACTCAGAATGCCCCAGCAACCACCTCCACATGCAATGATGGCCTCGGGTGCAGCAAAACACGAAGCCTGGAGAGTAGAAGAAGGACTAACTGATGATTCCAAAGCTGGATTCCACGCCTCACAATTAAAGAACAAATTGCAAATAAACATAAATAAACAATATATATATATATGATTATATATGTATCTGGTCTTCAACAAAGGGATTGAGATTGAGCATGTCCTCACCTGTGAAGCCAGCTCAACCTTTGGCATTACCTCCAGAGCTGACCAGAGAAACAACGTTCTAAGGCCCAGTCATTGGAAGTCTTGGGCACACGTCCCACCACGGGCCGATTGTCATCGGAGCCAGCAAGAAAACATGCAGTGCTTCGAATGACTGTGGCATCTTTGAGTCTGGGAACTGCTGCAATGCTCTCCACCTTCACCTTCTCGATTTCCTCCGCTGGGGGTTGGATCTCCAGTGGATCATCTGGCAACTCAGGCTGGCTCGGACAGCCATTGGCATAGCACTCATTGCTACGGGGGTAGATTTCAGTATGTTCATCCCCCATGGTGAAGACCATGGTGGCATCTCGACCTACGTCGCTGTCGTCCCAAATGACGCTGGTGTAGCGGCTGCCCACCGTGCTCTGTGGCAGGGTGCTCTCGGGAAACCACGCGGCAGCCTCGCGGGCCCAAACACCCATCCCGAGGATCACCGCAGAGCAGGAGATGGAGGTAGTTTTTCCAGGCATCTGAAGCTTCACCGACTTCACCTGGCAAACAGATTTATCACATGGAAGTTTAAAATATTGGGAGATTTATCGAATCTAGAATCTGGTTGGGGATTGACGGGGATTGATCAATACCTTCCAAAGATGTGTTGCAGTCAATCCGGATCTCTATAGCCCGTTTTGGGGAAAAGAGATCAACAAAAATGTATTTTGATATACAGTAAATGGATACCATCACCCATCACCCAGTCACCGTGTCTCCATCCACTTCAACCCCCACAGCTTTGGCGATGACGATCTCACAGCCCTGCTTGGTAATGGCTTCCTGCAGAGCCTCCATCAATTTGTAGGGCGTGACCTGTGCCAAGCCACTCTCATTCCCCATATCTCTCTGATACTCCTTCGCCAACCACGCAGGTTGTGGAATCCCAGCCTCTCCAGGTGGTTTTTCAGCCGACCCCAGTCCAAGACACTTCACCCGGCGGAAACCGATCTTCTCTGCCCCCAGCTCTTTGGCCAGTTCCTCATGCAGCGCGAAAGACCGTTTTGCCAGGCGACCGATGGAGCCACTGTGCCACCCCGAATCGCCGTCCGTCAAAAACCCACCGGCCTTGCCAGAGGAATGACACGCAACCCCGCATTTCTCCACCAAAATCACCTTCGCACCCTTCTTCAACAGGTACAAGGCGGCAGTCACGCCAACGATGCCGCCTCCAACTATCACTGTCGTCATATCGCAGGCATCAATCTAACTAGCTAGATTTTTTCTTGAAATATTTTGAATGCCAATAGTACGCTTGAGATCAAATTGTCAACTCCTCCAGCAGCAAGCCTCACATGGGTTCACCAAGTGCCAGATTCCTATGATCTGCTTCTGCGCGGCACGCTCCGCTCCCTTTGACTGAACTGCCTTCAGCACTTCAGAGTGCACTTTCGTGTCTACCCTCATGTTAAGGATTATGACCACGAGAGCTAAATCTATGTACAAATGAAAAGATATGCACTTAGTGACCGGATGTAACTAGATTGAAAACTACAAAGGCGCTGGGCGCGCTCAGTTTCGTGGTGTATTGCTGCCAAACGGAGGCCTAGAGCGATGAACCCGCGCTGAGTCGCGATCCGTTCCCACCCTTGTCAAAGTCGCATTGCCACTTGATCATCTAATCCTGTTCATAGCTTTGTGTCCATACCTTTTTACAAATCCTGGATGTACTAGATCTACAAAGTACCATCTGGTTATTTAACATAGCCATGGAAAATGACCCATTTATAGATGGTTTACCTATTAAAAATGGTGATTTTCTATGGCTATGTTAAATAACCAGATGGTAACACTTCTTTAAAAAAAAGGACCGTACATCTACCAGCTGCACTGGCGTGCTGCACTGGCGCCTCGTCTGCTTGCCTCTGATGCCCACTCCGGCGGACACGGGACGTCTCCTCCATGACTTCAGCTGATCCTGACCACTGGAGGGGTGGATCTGTGGGTGGCTACTACTTGGGGGTGCTGTGGTTATTCAAGGGTATAGCTACGTACAGTATGGTACTAATCACCACAAGATGGGATATAATTCCTACAACTATGGTGTAGCTACTGTTTGGAAGGCCAAGGGTGCCCATTGTTTGAGATACGACTGGATCAAGGACTGATGGGATATGGGACTGATTGGATCATATCATGTGGCATATATCAGATGATCGACATCACTTTGCAATATCATATTGTAACATAGATATATAGATATATATATAATATAATATAATATAATATACTATAATATACTATACTATAATATAATATAATATAATAATATAATATAATATAATATAATATAATATTGTATAATATAATATAATATAATATGATATAATATAATACAATATTGTATAATAAAATATAATATAATATAATATAATATAATATTGTATAATATAATATAATATACTATAATATAATATAATATAATATTGTATAATATAAAATAATATAATATAATATTGTATAGTATAATATAATATACTATAATATACTATAATATACTATAATATACTATAATGTTTGGAAGGCCAAGGGTGCCCATTGCTTGAGATACGACTGGATCAAGGACTGATGGGATATGGCACTGATTGGATCATATCCCACGAAAAAACACTACGAAAATCATGTGGCATATATCAGATGATCGACATCACTTTGCAATATCACATTGTAACATAGATAGATATATATACATATATATATATATACATATAATATAAAATAATATAATATAATATAACATAACATAACATAGCAAAACATAACATAACATAACATAATATAATATCTATATTGTATTGGGCTCATGCTGAAACTCACACGCCTCCACAGCGGACGATGGAGCTGGAGCGATAGGACGATCGCTCGCCACCAGCTCTGACAGAGCTGGACGTTGTCTGACACCTGGCTGGCCATAGATGGTACACCATGGTTTTTCCATGGTTGGACAAACCATGATAAACCCTAAGATACTGTACCCTCTATAATATATATATACATAATATGTATATGTGTATGTATATATATATTGATATATGTGTATATCAATGTTTATATATATATATTGTATATATATATATATAAAGTCTGGTTCCGGGACAATATCCACTATGGATCATCATGGTTCATTTGTAGTACCAGTAACTCTCCAAAAAAAAATCCCCATGCCTTCACGATCCCTCAAGGCCGAGGTCGCGGCCTGGAAAGATCGTCACCCCCAGGCGACCCCAACTCGAGGGGCCCATCAGAAATAAATCTGAACATCATTGGATTGGTTTAAGGGAAAATTTGAACCGGAAACCATGGTTTTTACCATTAAATATAGGGGTTCCCTGTAAATTTTCCCTTAAACCAATCAATCCAATGAGAACAGTTTCGGGGGTGACCTGAGCTTCTGACCCGTGTTTTGTGGCTCTGATAGCTACCTTTTGCAGCTTCCTGAGTGGAACAGCACGACTGTCATGGACTGTCATGGATGTTGATTTCTTGCAACGTTGAGATGGTTGGGAATTCTTCTAGTTTAGATGCTATGACTGCTATGAGACTTGATAAAGCAATCAAGAATTCAGGAACCTGTTGGAACTGAGAGAAGTTGATGGTTTCCTCGTGACCACGGAACACCCAGGAATTTCACCGCCCAGTTGAGGAACCTTCGACCTTCGCGGCGTTTCTGTGGAGACAGGTGGAAATCCTGCCTGACGACTTCGAGGAACGCCAGAAAATTGAAACGCAAATCCTTCAAGACAACTGTGGCATGGCAAGTCGGTTCTTTCCATGACAGTCTTTATGCTGTACAGCTGGAAACATCTGGAAACATCTGTAAACAAGGTCCAGTTGATGAGTCAAAGTGAGCGTGCAATAGCCCTCGCTTTTAGGTTCACCTTTCCATGTATTGCTGGTGTTTTAAAAAGCAGTGACTAAAAGAACTGATAGAAGTATAGTTATCACCTTTTCGTATATGTCCTATCTCTTTGTGGACCACGCTGAAACCCATATGGGGCAAAAATGTGATACAAATGAATCCAAACAATTTCTCTGTCTGAGAATTGAACTACCCTCAGGAAACCAAACATGGCAATAGAAACTCTAACTCCACCATTTATGTATATATCTATATATACTCGACTCAACCATTTATAGATTACTGATGATTGTCCCGTGACAACCTCCATTCCCAAAACGGAGGTTTTAGAGATGCGAAGGACCTTGAAAGTAGGGATTCAACGTGGCCCGGTGGCCCCTCCTAATTTTGTGAACACCTTATGGTATATAATTCCTTCGTAATCCTTGGTTTTTATCGCATTTCCCACAATGTCTTTTTTCAGCAAAAAAACGTGCAAAAAACATGTTTGATCCGGTAGAAACCCTTCGATCATCATCCAACTGGGAGGCAGTTTTCATACACCTGTCCCACCCCGCCTTTTCAACCACCTCGCTTTCCACGTTCGACCACTCTGAAGCTCGCTGCGAAGGCCCCGAAGGTTTTGAAGGCGAAGGCTGCGAGATCGAGGGCGACTCCTCCTCTGCGGCAGCAGCTACGGCCTGGTGCCTGGCAAAATGGTCGTCTAAAAAAAAGTCCCAGGCTCTAACCCCCACCCAACATTTCACATTGATATTTCACATGGATACTTTTTGTTATGCCCATCTCCAACTGAAAATCATCCTTCCAAATGCCATTTTTTAGGGTTTCATGTTGGAGTTGGAGGATGTACTCATCATTGATCATATATTTTCCCCATGAAAACTGCAACATCTTAGGGTAATTGGATAGCAGTTGATGAAACCGGATAAATTGCAGTACAAACAAGAATGCTGATGAAAATGGATGTAATAGTTGGTATGAGCCAACAAATGCAATACGTATCGGTCTCAGTCCTACACCCCCCAAAAAAATGGAAACGTGCGATTCTCAAACTGTCATTTTGGACTTGAGGCCCAGGGGTAAAGGACGAAAGCTAGCTTGGCACGGAGCGAAATATAATGATGCTGAGAATGCAGATGCTGCCGAATTTTGCTGCCGGTGGCGACATGCCTACGGTGTTCGCGGGGGGATTGAGCCACGGCCAAACTGCTTGCGAACCAGCCAGCCGGGGGGTAGTTAAACATGAAGTTTATGCGATTATTGCGATTGGGAATTACAGCCCCCAATACCTTGCTAAAGCAAGAGGGACTTCAGCTAGCAGAAACTAGCTTTCGTGATATCCCCTTTTTGGACTCCAATAGCCAAAATCATGAACACCTTCGGCAACTGGAATGATTGAAAGGTTTGGGCAATATCATGGGCCACCCCAATTTCAAAATCATGTCAATGTGGCTGTCATTGGTCTTCATTTGCTCACTTCACTCGTCACCTGCATTGCGATGGTTTCATTCGTGCCTTTGGTGGCTCGGCTGCCTGGAGCGTGGTTTCGTCCGTGCTTCGGGTGGCTGGTTCCGGGTGGTGGTTGGTTCTGTTTGTTTTTCCCTCTTTTGTTGGTTTGGGGTGGTTGTGGTTGGCTCTCTTCTGGGTTGCGGTTTCCTTGCTGTGGTCTGCTGCGGGGGCAGTTTACTGCTCCCCAGCGCTCATGCGCTGTCTACTTCGGGGCAGTTCATGGATAAAGTGATGATTGTTCAACATCAGGTGGCTGGTATCTTCTGCAGACAAGAGATCAAATTTGCCCCAAAGATTGAGGAAACCCCAAGCGGCCACGCCAGGGCACGCGATAACTCTCAAGCTCACAGCTGGCTGCGAACCAGGCCTGCCCGAGAGAAACCTTCGAAAACGGTTTCCAAAATTGTTCTAATTGGGGACCTCCAAACATCACAGCAGTCTTATAGCCGAAACTAGTCACTACTTTCTGTTTTTGCATTGATTCCAAATCCTACAAATGATCAGTTTTTGTAGCTGTAGCCACACCCACCGATATGGTATCTATCCTATCAAAAAAGAAGATGTAACCCACGAACCCGAATGCTCACACGTATGACAATGGTACGGCTTCCGAAACGCGTAGATAGGGAAACATCATAGACGTGAAAGACTGCAGAGTGTGGAGTGAAAAGTATAGAGTGTGAAGCGCAACGTGTAAAGTGCTAATTGTGAAGTGCAGAGTGTAAAGTGGAAAGTGTGGAGTGTGGAGTAGGGAGTGTAAAGTGTAGAGTGTGGAGTCTGAAGTGCAAAGTGTGGAGTGTAAAGTGTGGAGTGTGGAGTGTCGTGTGTAGAGTGTGGAGTGTAAAGTGTAGAGTGTGGAGTGTGAAGTGTAAAGTGTGGAGTGTGGAGTGTAGAGTGTGGAGTGTAGAGTGTGGAGCGTAAAGCGTAAAGTGTAGAGTGTGGAGTGTAGAGTGTAGAGTGTGGAGTGTGGAGTGCAAAGTGTAGAGTGTAAAGTGTGGAGTGTGCAGTGTGGAGTGTAAAGTGTGGAGTGTAAAGTGTAGAGTGTGGAGTGTAGAGTGTGGAGTGTGGAGTGCAAAGTGTAGAGTGTAAAGTGTGGAGTGTACAGTGTGGAGTGTAAAGTGTGGAGTGTAAAGTGTAGAGTGTGGAGTGTAGAGTGAAGAGTGTGGAATGTAAAGTGTGGAGTGTGAAGTGTAAAGGGTAGAGTGTGGAGTGTAGAGTGAAGAGTGTGGAATGTAAAGTGTGGAGTGTGAAGTGTAAAGGGTGGAGTGTGGAGTGTAGAGTGTGGAGTGTAGAGCAGGCAATGCGACACGTCTGAAGTGCTGCGCCTGCCACGCAAAATGACGACAGAGATCTCCAAAATGCTGCGCCTGGCACGAAAACGACGCAAAAGTATTGCGCCTGCCACACAAAACGACTTTCGACACGTTATCAACCAGGTTGGAATGTCACAAAGTGCCGCGCCTGCTACGCAAAACAACATTACAACCTGCTTTGACACCTTCGTAAAGGAAAAAGTTTTCCAGCTTCCCCCATAGACACAGCGAGGCCACAGGAAAACCAGAGACTCGAGACGAGACACGTGGGAGCATCAAAACGAGCATTGCGCGCGCCATCCTCCAATTTTCACACTTTGTAGCTTGAAAATCGATGTTTTCCTATGAGTTTTCTTCTGAACCTCTAAACTTTCTACCTCAATCGCGATGTTTTCGTGCGAGGATTCCGTCAATTTTCATCACATCTCACAAAATGCCACGCCTGCCACGGAATTTGCACCTTGTCGCCACTTGACTCAGCACTGACAATGCGATTTGCAAAAAACACGCAACACGACACGTCTAAAGTGCTGCGCCTCCAGCGCAAAATGAAGATGGACACGTCCAAAGTGCTGCGCCTGCCACGAAAACTGCAACGCATCTTCTGAAAACGTCGCAAAAGTATTGCGCCTGCCACACAAAACGACTCTCGACACGTTATCAAACACGTTGGAATGTCACAAAGCGCCGCGCCTGCTACGCAAAACAACATAACAACCTGCTTTGACACCTTCGAAAGGGAAAGGTTTTTCAGCTTCCGCCATAGACACAGCGAGGCCACAGGAAAACCAGAGACTCGAGACGAGACACGTGGGAGCATCAAAACGAGCATTTCGTGCGAGACATCCTCCAATTTTCACACTTTGTAGCTTGAAAATCGATGTTTTCCTATGAGTTTTCTTATGAACCTCTAAACTTTCTACCTCAAAATCGATGTTTCGTGCGAGGATTCCGTCAATTTTCATCACATCTCACAAAATGCCACGCCTGCCACGGAATTTGCACCTTGTCGCCACTTGACGCAGCACTGACAATGCGATTTGCAAAAAACACGCAACACGACACGTCTAAAGTATTGCGCCTCCCACGCAAAATGAAGATGGACACGTCCAAAGAACGCATCTTCTGAAAACGTCGCAAAAGTATTGCGCCTGCCACACAAAACAACTTTCGACACGTTACAAAACACGTCTGAATGTCACGAAGTGCCACACTTGCCACGCGAAACGAAGCAACCCCACATGTGAAACCTCCAAAAGTGACCCCTTTTGCAAAAACTTACCATAGGCACGGCCATACGGGGCTCGCGCGGACGGTTGTGAACGGTTGCGAACGGTTGCGGACGGTTGCGGACGGTTTCGGACGGTTGCGGACGGTTGCGGACGGTTGCGAACATAAACGCAACGTCGAGCGAACACACCCTCAACCCCCAGACCCCCAGAGTGAAACGGGAACCCTTGCTACGCATTCAAGAAAAATGCTGCCCTTTCTATGGGGGGGCCACAATCCAGCCGATGCAGTTTCTGTTTGATGCCGACTTTGCGTGACCTCGTCTTGAGATTTGGCGCTCAATGGGCATTAATGACTTGTTGTGACAAACATCCAACACGCACCCAAAAGTGGCTGGTTCAACTTCTGTCATAGAAAAATAGGGTTCCTGAGTCTTTCCGGGACCCCTCCAATGTTTCAATTTCGCAATCTTAGTAATTAGTATTTAGTCTTAGTAGGGATCCGTCGTTTGGGGTACCCCGAGTTGGGTCTGTCTGAAAATAGGGTGCCCCAAAATCATCCAGGTTTAAATCACTATCGTCCACATTAGAGTTGCGATATTGGTGTGGTTAATGAAAAAAAGGTCAATATCAGTCAGTTAGCTTGGTTGATCATACTTCTGCTGTGCATAAATCATCCAATGGTGGATCTTATATTGTTTCATCATTTATATAAATGAATATATATATATATATGTATATATATGTATATATATATATGTATGTATATATATATGTATGTATGTATGTATATATATATATGTATATATATGTATGTATATATGTTTTCATACATAGATTATGTATGTATCAATATGAACAAACACATGTTAGAAAAGAAAAAACATTACTGTTTCACGGGGTTCTACTTGTCTATCTTTTCAGGGCTTACTATACACCATTCAATGCCCACATTGTCTCGGCTGGCCTAAAGGACCCTACGTCATCGGGGTCATGGAATAAATGTTGAAGATCCGCCACGAGCTCTTCCATGGCATCCCCTTCCATGGTGACCTCACGTGATGTCTCCACATGATGCATGGTGATTTCACCAGGGATGTAGATTATATTTCTTACAATGGGATATACAATAATAATAATAATTATTATTATTATTAATAATAATATATATATGTATATATGTGGGGTCACCCCCCCATATATATACAACCAGTATAATCCAACTTAAGATGATACTAGGAACGTTTCCTAAAAATGGGATCAGCAACCCCTAACAGATCGCAAGTATAAACCATGGTATGTAAGGAGGTACCCTACAGACAAACACATATGGACCAATGGAGGTTTCTGAAATTGGGGGATCACGAAACCAGTGGTTTTCACATAAAAAAAAAATCGCCAGCAAGTCATCTGATTTCGAAGTTGTTGTATGATTTTGAAGTTCCGCATTTTAGAAAACCCTAATATGATAATATGGGTATCACCACGCCAAAATTGGTGGCTTCAGAGTGATCCCTGTCACGTTTGACGACAACCGACTCCCAGGGGATCAGCTGCAATCAGATCAATGCGAAGCGCAAACCCTAGATTTCTCTGGAAAGGGACTGGGATGATGACCTCACAACATGAAGGATGCACCCTATTTGCTCACAATCCCGGGTCCTGAGGCCCCGACCCCATGCCTCGTGGGGGTTCCAAGGTGTGATGCTCAGGATGTCTACTGGAAAGTATGAGATGTTGTTCAAAACAGATGGCAAAACATGGTAAATCCAATATGAAACCCAGTCAAATTAAAAATGTCACACCAAGAAAATGAAGGGTTGCGTTCGGATGAACCCAGGGATCTTCAAGCAAAAACTTCCACTTTGTATGCCATGAAATTTCGACGCCCTTTGGACTTGGAGACGAAGAGAGACACAGTTTAGATTGCACGTGGCATATTGGGTTTTGGAAATTCATCGGGGCAACACTAGCACCATTTTGTGGGGCCCCAATAGTTGGGTGCACAAATGGGACCGACCCAAAGAGTCGGCCTGGGAGGAAGTGTGACGCGGCTTTGCGGAATGGAAGGCGCCGAAGGGTCTGATACGAGTCCTGAGGCATTGGTGTTTCTGTGACCATGTGCTACCCCAAGTTTGATGTTTGATTTTCATTGAATCATTGAATCATATGCTGCCCTTACCCAAAACCTGGAACAATTGGCTATATGTATATATATATATATGAAAATGAATACGAAGATAAAAACACATACAGGATACGAAGACAAAAACATATACATATAATTATCTGTTGCATGTCAGGCAAAACCATCATATGTGTAAGTGTGTGAGAGTGTGTTTTTGGTTACCCAGCAGGACATAACCAATGTTGCACTTGTAACACGCTACAGGCAAACATATTTTCTATTGCATGCCAAGTGGGAAACTGAGGGTTGTCTGTAGCACTCCTGGTCCTTCTGCACCATCATCTTCAGCTGCTGGAACACATTCTCTTGTTCTGAAACCAGTGGGGCAATCCATGTCCAAATCAGCCTGTCGCTCCAGAGACCAAGAGTATGTTGTTCTTTAATTATACCTCTAAACATCCTTAATTGGGTTGTGTGTTGGTTCCAGCCTATCCCATCCCAAATTCGGGGGAAGATATGGGAATGGGAAGGTACAAATGATACAAACTTTCTGAAACCATCAACCAATTTAACATGTTTGCCACCCTAAATCCAACAAACCTCATTCGCCTTGACCGCTGTCGCCATTGGCAGCGTGACCCCTTCGTGTTGTTGCAACGTTGCGCCCACAGCCGTCTCCCGGGCACCGCCGGGGACGTCATCGCCAGGAGATGGGTTGGATGGCTTCGATGTGGACAAGCCACTGAAGCCACTCACCAAATGTCGATGCCTGGGATTTCTGGGATCTCTGACGGCCTCCCCAAGCAGTTCCAGCTGCTCTAATTCGACTTCATCGACTTCATGTGGGGTGAGCAGCGGGACCACTCCTCGACGAGTCATCGGCAAATGCTTCCGCAGTGGGCCCACGTGCTTCAGTAGCTCGCGGTCCTTCAGGCAGCTTTTCTGGTTTGTTGACCGAAGGAAGTTTAGAAGCTGAAGCCATACTTCTGTCACTAAGGGCAGATGAAGCAGCAGAGGTCGGAAGAATTCCAAGAAGAGAAAAGAAGGAGGAAGAAGATCAGAGAAGAGACAAAGTCAATAGAAAGAAAATCCAGGCGCGCGAAAAGGTAGAAAAAGTCGCGAAACGCTGTGTTTTTCCAACGTTTTGTGGCTCCGGAGGGTGGAAAAGTAGGCTGGCTAAAGCGGCAGGTGCAGAGCCATCTGGTCCTAAATTGCACGCCTTTAAAGACAAAATGCTTCAAAAAAAACTCCGCGTCGGAACACTTGTGGAAGTGAGTGGAGTTGCCAAAAAACGCACGCCGTTGCGGCGCGAAGCACATTTCGAAGTCAAAATGTTAAAAACACATGCGCTGCGTCGGAACATTTTTGGATGTTGACATGTTGAAAAAGTGCACAGAGCTGGGGCGGACACCACATTTCGAAGTCAAAATGCTAAAAGCACTTGAAAGTCAAAGCACTTAGAAGCTGAGATACTCAGAAAGTGGGCGCCGTTGTCGTGCGAAGCGAAGCACATTCGCAAGTCAAAAGCGTTAAACAGATGGTCTCGGAACACTTTTGGATGTCGAGATACTCAAACAATGCACGCCAATGTGGCGTGAAGCACATTCGCAAGTCAAAAGCGTTAAAACTGGCGGTCTCGGGCAACTTTTGGCAGTTGAGATGTCAAAAATTGCACGCTGGTGTGGCGCGGAGCACATTCGCAAGTCAAAAGTGGTAAAAACTGATGGTCTTGGACCACTTTTGGCAATTGAGATGCCGAAAGCGCACACCGCTGTGACGCAAGTCAAAAGTGTTAAAAACCGACGGTCTCAGACAATTTTTAGGCGTTGAGATGTCGAAAAAGCGCAAGCCGTTGTGGCGAGAAGCGCGTTCGTAAGTCAAAAGTTGTAATAACTGACAGTCTCGGACCACTTTTGGACCTTGAGGTCGGAGCATCAAAAACGGCGGGTCTCGGACCACTTTTGGAACTTGAGATGTCAAAAAAGCGCAAGCCGTTGTGGCGCGAAGCACATTCGCAAGTCAAAAGTTGTAAAAAACTGACAGTCTGGGACCACTTGTGGACGTTGAGATGTCGAACAGTGCAGGCCGTTGCACGTTCGCAAGTCAAAGGTTTTAAAATTTGACGGCCGCAGACCACTTGTGGAAGTTGAGAATGAGAAAGAAATAGAGATAGAAAGAGAGAGAGAGAGAAATAGATAGATAGATAGATAGATAGATAGATAGATAGATAGATAGATAGATAGATAGATAGATAGATAGAGAGATAGAGAGATAGATAGATAGAGAGAGACAGAGATAGATAGAGAGATAGATAGATAGATAGATAGAGATAGATAGATAGAGATAGATAGAAAGAGATAGATAGATAGAGATAGATGGAAAGAGATAGATAGAAAGAGATAGATAGAAAGAGATAGATAGAAAGAGATAGATAGAAAGAGATAGATAGAAAGAGATAAATAGAAAGAGATAGATAGAAAGAGATAGATAGAAAGAGATAGATAGAAAGAAATAGATAGAAAGAGATAGATAGAAAGAGATAGATAGAAAGAGATAGATAGAAAGAGATAGATAGAAAGAGATAGATAGAAAGAGATAGATAGAAAGAGATAGATAGAAAGAGATAGATAGAAAGAGATAGATAGAAAGAGATAGATAGAAAGAGATAGAGAGAAATAGAGAGAGAGAGATAGAGAGAGAGATAGAGACAGAGATAGAGAGAGAGAGATTGACAGAGGGATTGACAGAGAGATTGACAGAGAGATTAACAGAGAGATTGACAGAGAGACAGGCAAAGTGAACTAGGCAAATGGTGTGAGAGAGAGAGAGAGAGCCAGCGAGCGATCGATCGAGAGATAGTAGAGTGACAGGTAGATAAAGAGGTAGATAGAGAGATAGATTGAGAGATAGATAAAGAATGATAAAGAGATAGAGAGAAGAGAAAGAGAAGAGATAGAGAAGATCGAGGATAGATAGAGAGATAGAGAGATAGAGAGATAGATAGATAGATAGATAGAGAGATAGATAGCCACAGAGATAGCCACAGAGATAGCCACAGAGATAAACAGATAGACAGGCAGACAGGTAAAGACAGAGAGAGATGGAGAGAGATGGAGAGAGATGGAGAGAGATGGAGAGAGATGGAGAGAGATGGAGAGAGATGGAGAGAAATGGAGAGAGATGGAGAGAGATGAAGAGAGATGGAGAGAGATGGAGAGAGATGGAGAGAGATGGAGAGAGATGGAGAGAGATGGAGAGAGATGGAGAGAGATGGAGAGAGATGGAGAGAGATGGAGAGAGATGGAGAGAGGTGGAGAGAGGTGGAGAGAGATGGAGAGAGATGGAGAGAAGATGGAGAGAGGTGGAGAGAGGTGGAGAGAGATGGAGAGAGATGGAGAGAGATGGAGAGAGATGGAGAGAGGTGGAGAGAGATGGAGAGAGATGGAGAGAGATGGAGAGAGATGGAGAGAGATGGAGAGAGATGGAGAGAGATGGAGAGAGATGGAGAGAGATGGGGAGAGATGGGGAGAGATGGAGAGAGATGGGGAGAGATGGGGAGAGATGGAGAGAGATGGAGAGAGATGGAGAGAGATGGAGAGAGATGGAGAGAGATGGAGAGAGAGGGAGAGAGAGGAGAGAGAGAGCGAGAGAGAGAGCGAGAGAGAGAGAGAGAGAGAGAGAAGAGCCTCAACCACCTTTCGGTCAATCAGTTCCTATAGGTTTCCTATCGAAACTTCCGCCACCGCCTTGCGCAGTACTACTGGTGTACTACTGGTATACTTTTGACATTTATGACAACTGATAATACTCCATTACATGCAACCTGCAAGAAGTGAACTCTGATTTTTCCCAACTCCTGCGGTCTTTCCGCAGCTTCTGGCTGCGTGCCAGCCACAGCATTGGATGTTTCTGCAGCCTCGGGTGTTATCTGCCTGTCAGGTGTTGAAGCAGCAAACTGTGGTGCATCTGAGCCCATTTCATCTTCCAAAGTCTCAACATCCGAGGCGTTTGAGCTGGAGGGAGAAGGTTGTAACTCGCAGTTGCTGTGACTTACCACCACTCGAGCCTCCACCAGTCAGGCTGCCAGGTGCTTTAAGAAAATCAATGAAAATCAGCAACCAAATTATTTCGGTACAGAAACTCTGTGCCTATCATACCAAAACAAGATCTTTTTGGAGTCAAGTCGCTCGACCCAAGCAGCGCTTGCCTCTTTGGTTCGTGATGTTCATTGCAGCAGCTCCTGGACGTGGCAATGGAAATTCCATTGAGCTGATTCGTACCACCTGCATCTGATTGGCTTCTGCTTCTTCCTCAGTTGAAGTTGTGGCAGTTGTGGCCATCCGCGGGACCGGAGCTGCTTGCATCTCTTGATCGCCCTGGGGGCTCCCAGCGAGAAGCTTCCAGTCACCACCAGGTTCTTTCGGAAGGCATCGCCAGGACTGGACTTCCTCCGCAACCGGCTCTTCCTCAAGTTCCTCCTGCACCGGCTTGGCCGGCTGGGACGTGGGCCTGGCGGCGCGACTTCGCCCCAGGACACAATTTAGTCATACCATGCTATACCATACCATGCTATGCCATGATTGTGATGCCCACTACCAACATCGCCATTGTTTCTATTCTTTTGGAGGGGTCGCCACAGTCACCACAGTGGCCTTGCCTCTGATGAAGTCGCAAGCGTCGTGCCGTTCCCGGCGGCCCAGCGCAGGTGTACTCATTGCTGCTGCTGGGAAAAGCTCGCCCGGTGCGGGGCAACAAGGGCTTGGCCGAGGAATGGCGTTCGCTTTCCAGGACATCCTGCAGCCAACGGGTCGTTTCGGCCAGCGACCGAGCCTCTGGGCTGTCGTCTTCCTGCCTCGCCATCGAACTGCGACTTTTTCGGGAAGGGCTCCGGACCGATTGCGAACTCTTCGACCCCGGCGACGCATCTCGAGAAGGCTGCCTAAGGTGCAAATGGTTGCGGTCTGTCTGAGGCTTTTTCGCAGCCTCATCAGCCTCAATATCATCTCTATCTATCTCATCTACTTCACCCTCATCCTCATCTTCCTCATCCGCAGCTGCATCATCCACAAGAAGAAATCCGTCTTTCACCAGGGTGGGTGTTCGCATTCTGCTAAATCCGGTATCCTGGGGTTCTGTAACCTCCTCCGGCACCTCTTCAGACGATGTAGCACTCACGTCATCCTCTGTGTCTGCACTGGCTTTGCGCTTCACTTCACATTGGCTAACCCTGACCCCTTCCAGCCGAAATTTTGAAGTTTCAGCCTGCACAATGGGTGAAAAGAGTCGACCCTTGCCACGCATCAGTTCACCAGTTGGAGATTGCGCTAGCCGCCCCGGTTTCGGTGAAGTGTGACCCTCGCCCACCACCAGGGTCACCTCCTCGGAACTGGTTCTAGTTCGCGCATGTTTCTGGACACGTTGAGGGACGACTCTTGGGATCTCAACGGCCTCAAGGAGAATTCGCTGAGCGACCGGGGAATGCATCTGATCTCCATCATCTGATTCGCTGTACTCGCTGGCTTCGCTGGCTTCACTTTGAACTTCGGATGCTTCAGGTTCTTCAGGTTGCAGCACATGCCTTCCCATCAAGTCCATGTAGACGCGTGAAGGATCCTCTGGCTCTAGCTTTGGCTTTGCCTGCGGCTTCTGGCGCGGCTTCGTGCTGTGTCTCTTCGCAGTGAGAGCCAGGCCTTTCATCCTGCCCTTCTTTTGCGTGCGGGACGACGCAGGACGACCAGATACCCAGTTCAAGAAAGTTGCCTTGGAACGCATTTCCTTCATCCTTGGACTATCTTCTCGAACTTCAGAAACTTCAGCCTGCTCGCTGCTACTGGAGCTATCATCCACCAGCTTCCTGGATTGTTGCAAATGCTCCTGGAAGGCGGAAGACAGTTGGGACACCTGCGCCTGATTCGGCCTGCGACATGGCACGGGAGCTGCTGAGTGACTCGCTGATGGAAACACGCCTACCAATATCATCCAAGCAGGACGTCTCGTAGTTTCTTTTCTCATGTTGACTGGCTTTGGGGCGGCCTAGCCATTCAACTCAGTCAATGTACCAGGACTGTCCAGTTTCAAAGGCTATGTCTTTTCCCCAAAAAATAACAGTTTCCAGCCTCTTTGATGGAATCACACCCCCCTATGCCCCAAACAGTTTTTCCATATCCATAGCAGCGGCTGCGTGCATGTTTGTTGTTATACTAGCTCCTGATCTTTGCAATTTATACAATTGAGAACAGCATGAATCACAAGCGACATTTTTTTCATGTTATTGCTATCTGGGGTCTATGCTGGTGTAACTCCTGAGACAGCAAGAAGACACAAAGGAAGAAAAAAACAGAGATAAGGACCAATCACAAATGAAATCACGATGAGACAAGAACAGGACACCGCCACTAGGGGAGGCATTTGAATGGGGAGACACATGAAGTGGGAGACAGATGGTGAGAAACAAATGAGGGAAGACACGCACAAAGTCGAACAGGCGAAAGAATCAGAAACCACCGCTAAGGCAGACTGATGATTGAAGACACATGAGTTGGGAGACAGATGAATCAGGAGACAGATGGTAAGAGAAAAATGATTAGAGCCAAGTGAAAGCAAAGAGAAGACATCCGGACAGCCGGACAAAACTAGTCAAAGCAAGCCAGAGTGGGAGACATATAAAGGAAAACACGTAAAGAGAGAGCCAGACAACACCAGCCAGAATGGGAGACATCACTAGCCAGAGCGGGAAACAAATGAAGGGAGACAACTGAAGAGAGACATCTGACCCTGTCTTGGCAAGGAATGGAAGACAGGCATCTTAAGATTCCCATGCATTTCTTGCTCGATGGATGTATGCACCTAAGTTATATCAGGTGCTAAGACTAGGTTATTTGTAAAGCGGGGATAGATTGATAGATGGATGGATGGATCGATCGATAGATAGATAGATAGGTAGATAGGTAGGTAGATAGGTAGGTAGATAGATAGGTGGATAGATAGGTAGATAGATAGATAGATAGACAGATAGATAGGTAGGTAGGTAGGTAGGTAGGTAGATATGTATATATATATATATGTATATATATATGTATATATATATGTATATATATATGTATATATATGTATATATATACATATATATTTATGTGTGTATATTGTAGAGATTGAAACCACTAACGATCCAGCCTAAAGCGCTGGACAGCTATCTCCTACAGCGATTCACGGAAGTTTCCCATGGAGAAATGAGACATCCCCTGATGGTGATATGGAGATGTAATATCTATAGAAAAGTCTTTGATACGTCCCTAACCGAACGGTCTGGGGACGTATCAATTTCGCTTTGCTGATTTCTTTTTCGTAGTCGATTCATTGTGTTCAGATGATATATCACATGGGATGACGAACTTCAAACCTACGTGAAATGTTGAACAATGCCATTACATGTCCGATTTGATCAATCCATCCTCTCAGAGTCTTTCAACATCAAATCACACATCATTCATCAAAAAGCGGTCAATAGAAAAAGACTCCCTTTGATACGCCCCCACATGAATGGTTTGGGGACGTATCAATTTTGCTTCGCTCATTGATCGTCATTAATTGAAAGTTTAAAGGCGAACTTCTGGGGATGTAGTGGTTTTTGTTTCATACTTAGGCTTCAGTGATTTTCCGACCCCGGTTATCATCATTACAACACATCATCAAGCCTGCTTTTGTTAAAATATACGTTCCAAAAAGAAAACTTTGGAGATATATCATATATCACGTTTTATTCCTTTCGAGACATAAGAAATTGTTTCAAATTCGTAAACCCTGTTAATTATGTTAATTCACATGCCAACGGTGAATAGAAAACCATCTCTGATACGTCCCCAAGAGAACGCTTTGGGGACGTATCAATTGTGCTTCGTTTATCTAATCGTGAGCAGTCATAGACATATGTATATATATATAATATACAGATACACCGTCACCATATGTCACGGACAGGAACAAGGAAGGAAAGGCGGGAAAGAGGTTCAATCAGATGGGTTCAAAGTGGCTCAACCGAAGCACGTTCGGTTGGGGCACTTTGTATTTGGCAGGTAGAATACTAGGAGCGTAATGTTGACGCTGGTATGCATGTGTAGGATTCTGGGAACGGTTGTTCAGGAAAACTTTTCGATTGGCACACCTCCTGGCCTTGTTCCGGGCTTCCATAGGTCCCGGGACGTGCGGATTGACCCGCACTGTCACATAGATGCCCCCGTTCCACCGGACTCGCTGTGTCTCCAGTCCGGTTGTTGTCTAGTTGTCTTCCAATTTGTCCCCCAGGATCCGTCTTCAAAAAAAGTCTCCAAGTGTCTTCCATTTGTCGCCCTGTTGTTTCCCAGTGTCTTTCAAATGGTGTGAAAATTTCCCACTTGCCACCTAGTTGTCTCGCGTTTGTCTTGCAAATGTGGTATTCCAATTGTCTCCGAGTTTGTTCCAGATGTGCTCTCCCGATTTTCTCCCAGTTGTCTTCCACTTAACCCCCACAACGCCCAGTTGTCTTCCAGATTTTGTCACCCAATAATTTACTTAATTTCTTTCCAATTGTTTCCGAGCTGCCTCCCAGATGTGGTCTTCCAATTGTCTTCCAATTTTATCCCCTTAGCCTTGAGTTTGAAACCGTCACTGCTGTTGGGTTGCGAAGCCGGGTTAATTGTGTCCGGCTCTCCGGATGTCTCTCTTTACTGGTCTCTCTTTATTTGTCTCCTAGTCTGGCTTTCGACGGCTAGTGGTGTCCGGCTCTCCCTGGTTTCATGCAGACATCTTGAGGACATGGAATGGGAGACTCCAAGTGGTTGTTCTCGCATGACATCTCATTACTTTACATTACATTACATTGCATTTGTTTAGATTCCATTACACTAGATTACATAGATTACATCATCAGATTAGATTAGATTAGACTAGATTGCGTTACATGACGATTAAGTTGTGTTGCATTACATTGCATTACATTCACAACACTCATGGTGAATATCATCTTGTATATTATGTGTGTATATATATATATATATACGTGTGCGTGGGGCGTGATCACAGATGAAACCCAGCGGATTTTAGCAGGATGGAAGCAGTGGGAGTTGAGCCCGAGGGGTTGGGGGGGTCACAGTTCGACATGTCATGCCGAAGGGGGGCCCAACACAAGTTCGACGTGACAAATCATGGCAGGTGCGTCCAGTCTGCCCCCAAATTCATTGCTAAAGCAGATCCAACTCCAGCTAGCAAGCTAGCTTTCGTGACACATGGGTCATTAAATGTCCCCATTGAACATCACCCAACCATTAGGTATGTGGTCTATAATGGCTACTATAAGGTGATGTCCAATATTCCCAAAATGGGACAGTTACGAACCCCTGTGACAAGACTGGGAAGCAAATGAATTGGAGACATCCGGACAGCCGGACACCACCACCTGGAAAGAGCCAGACACTTCTTAAGAAAGAATTGAGGACCCCAACAGTAAACTGTTTGGGGAAAATCCCTTTAACCATTGAAATGCCTGTTGTGCAAAAGAGCGCCTGGTGCCAAATTACCATGGCACCAAGGTTGGGAAAAGTTGCGGTGGGCAAAGTTGCCTGTTCAAAACCCTTCGTTTCTGCTAAGTTTTTCAGAAGCTGCGAAAACATAAGTCAGCAACAAAAAGCCCAGTGTCCGGCATCCTTTTACGTAGTGACTTTATCGCAAAACCTCTGCATCACGTGAAGTTTCAGGCGTACTGGTTTCTCAATTCCTTCGTATCCAGAGCCCACAAGAGCGACAATGGCTCTCTTTCTCTCTCTCCTTTTTCCGTCCTCCTTCCTTAAGATATCTTTGTGCTTCCAATTCTTTTTCCCCATTGATGCTTTTTGCTGTCCCTTTCTCTGCCATTGGATCGGTGTGGTTTTGCCTGATGCCTGATGTGTTCGACTTGCTGCAACCATTTTTCATCCTTTTGCTGCTGGTAAGTTGTTCGACTGGCCCAAAATTGCAGGACACTCTCTATGCACTGATATTTCATCAAGCATGAAAAGAGAATGGGAAAACAAACAGCAAGAACGATGGGGCAAACGACAACAAGGACCCAAAAAAAAAACATCCTATTATCTTGCAGAATATACTGAGTATTGTGTGTAAATGTTACTGTGTTTGTGCATGAAGGACAGCTCGTTGAAAGGTAAACCCACTGCATGTCCGGTTACCAGTTATACCCGCCGGCCTGTCATGCAAGATATCCGACCACCTTCTCCACTTTGGTGGCCCTACACTCGCTGTCCCATCCGCATCATCCTCTCCCTCAGTTTTCTCAGTGTGTCCCTCAGATGGCCGACTCGTCTGAGAGATTTCTCTCTCCCACCCCACGCTCCCCACGTTCCAAACCTTCCCCACGTCCACAGATGCCGATCTTCTCTTTGGACTCTCGGGACAGGGACTGTCAGCTGCCGAGCTTTCCGATGGCGCGGATTCCTCGGAGTTGAGCCACCCCTGAAAACATGTGTGTATACGATTGTATGTGTGTATATATATATGTATATATGTATATATGTATGTATGTATGTATGTATGTATATATATATATATGTGTATATATATATGTGTATATATATATACAATCGTATACACATGAAACATTCTGAAACCACCAACTGGTCGCGTGTACTGATTCCTGGTAGTCTGGATGTCGTTTGCTGATGAACTTCTGCATGACCTGCAAGGCATCTTCCGTCTGCGAAAGCTCATCCTGAGGGAGATTGGGGCTGCATGTGGAGCGTAACCACTTCCGCATTCGCAGCTGCAGCTTCAAGAGGATCTTCTGGTACTGCAAGATGGTTATGATGTCTGTAGGACTTTCAGAGCCCTTCTGATATGCAAGCAGTGCCGGAAGATGTGCGATACTTTCCTGCACCCAAGTAGATATAGGTCAATTTAAGCAGTCAAAAACCTGATGAAAGTACTTGTTACTTTATGAAAGTAATTCCAATTTGATCTGGATTTTACAAAGAACCAACCAAACATACTCAACATGAAACGCCAGGATGTGCGGCATCCAGTTTCCTGCTTTCGTCGTGGACTGGAATCTACACAACCTGACATTCGTTCGAGTCCAAGCGGACAAATTCCAGTTGCACACCGAAGTCACTGGTCACAAGACATTGCATTACACAAAGTACAGGATCCTAGATTCTCTTCAGAGATCCCTTTGGGTCACCACTATCCCCTCAAGCATCTTGAAGCTGAGCAGCCAAAATCTGCATCTTGACTGATTTGACGACCGCTACCATGCCCCTGATGTGCCCTTGGCCTCAGTTGCAGGCTCCACCTAGGAACTCCTAAATGCTCTCGGCACCGCATGAGCAAACTGCAAGAAATGGCCATTGAATGATAGGGTTCATGAGGATTCACGAATGGATGGAACGTGATGGAACGAAGTACTACCCTACTTGCTGAATACTGCCGAGCGGCGCAAGTCGTTTTATCACCTTGGCCAGACCAGCAGCAACAGGTGGTGAATGAACCAGCGAGCTCTTGTGGTTCTACTTGTCCATCAATTCATCCAAACGTGTCCTAATGCTTTGTCAAACCTTGTAAAATAGTGCGTTCTACTTGTCCATCAATTCACCATTGTCCTCCACTGGTCGCCCCTAAACATTGCCACCTTGCAACCGACTGCCCCAGTGTCTTGATCTATGCCAAGACCCAAAGAGCACTTTTTTTTTCCCGAGAGCGTCTGAGCGCAGGGCTCTTCCAATAGTGGGGGTCTGTATCTCATCTTCTCATCTTCACACCTTCTCATCTTCACACCTTCTCTCACACCTTCTCATCTTCACATCTGCTCATCTTCACATCTGCTCATCTTCACATCTTCACATACTCACATCACCTTCTCATCTTCACATCTGCTCATCTTCACACCTTTTCATCTTCACATCTGCTCATCTTCACATCTGCTCATCTTCACATCTTCTCATCTTCACATCTGCTCATCTTCACATCTTCTCATCTTCACATCTGCTCATCTTCGCATCTTCACATACTCACATCTTCACTTTCTCTCTCTCGCACTCACATCTTCACATACTCACATCTTCTCTCTCTCTCTCTCCCTCCTCTTTCCTCTCTCCTTTCTCTCTCTCTCTCCTTTCTCTCTCCCTTTTCTCTCTCCCTTTTCTCTCTCTCGCCTTCTTTATCTTTCTCTCTTTAGGCCGAGGGTGGTGCCGGCGGGGAGTCACGAAACGTCAACCCTTTCGCACGAAATGAGGGTCGATCGTCAAAAACTGAAGAAAAATTGCGATTTTACTTGTGCCGGAGCAACCCTTTCGCACGAAATGAGGGTCGATGCGCAAAAACTGAGGAAAAATTGCGATTTTACTTGTCCCCGAGCAACCCTTTCGCACGAAATGATGGTCGATCGTCAAAAACTGAAGAAAAATTGCAATTTTACTTGTCTCCGAGCAACCCTTTCGCACGAAATGAGGGTCGATCGTCAAAAACTGAGGAAAAAATTGCGATTTTACTTGTCCCCGAGCAACCCTTTCGCACGAAATGAGGGTCGATCGTCAAAAACGGAAGAAAAATTGCGATTTTACTTGTCCCCGAGCAACCCTTTCGCACGAAATGAGGGTCGATCGTCAAAAACTGAGGAAAAAATTGCGATTTTACACGAAATGAGGGTCGATCGGACTTGTCTGTGTGTAAAAGCGTCTGTGTGTAAGAGTCTCTGTGTGTAAAAGTGTTTGTGTGTAAAAGTGTTTGTGTGTAAAAGTGTTTGTGTGTAAAAGCTTCTGTGTGTAAAAGCGTCTGTGTGTAAAAGACTGTGTGCAAAAGCGTCTGTGTGTAAAAGCGTCTGTGTGTAAAAGCGTCTGTGTGTAAAAGCGTCTGTGTGTAAAAGTGTTTGTGTGTAAAAGTGTTTGTGTGTAAAAGTGTGTGTGTAAAAACGTCTGTGTGTAAAAGTGTCTGTGTGTAAAAGCGTCTGTGTGTAAAAGCGTCTGTGTGTAAAAGCGTCTGTGTGTAAAAGCGTCTGTGTGTAAAAGCGTCTGTGTATAAAAACATCTGTGTGTATAAAAGTGTTTGTGTGTAAAAGCCTCTGTGTGTAAAAGCCTCTGTGTGTAAAAGCGTCTGTGTGTAAAAGCGTCTGTGTGTAAATGCGTCTGTGTTTAAAAGCGTCTGTGTGTAAAAACATTTGTGTGTAAAAGCGTCTGTGTGTAAAAGCCTCTGTGTGTAAAAGCCTCCGTGTGTGTAAAAGCGTCTGTGTGTAAAAGCGTCTGTGTGTAAAAGCGTCTGTGTGTAAAAGCGTCTGTGTGTAAAAGCTTCTGTGTGTAAAAGCTTCTGTGTGTAAAAGCGTCTGTGTGTAAAAGTCTCTCTGTGTAAAAGTGTTTGTGTGTAAAAGTGGTTGTGTGTAAAATCGTCTGTGTAAGAGCGTCTGTGTGTAAAAATCTCTGTGTGTAAAAGTCTCTGTGTGTAAAAGTCTCTGTGTGTAAAAGTGTTTGTGTGTAAAATCGTCTGCGGGTAAAAGCCTCTGTGTGTAAAAGCCTCTGTGTGTAAAAGCCTCTGTGTGTAAAAGCGTTTGTGTGTAAAAGCGTCTGTGTGTAAAAGCGTCTGTGTGTAAAAGCGTCTGTGTGTAAAAGCGTCTGTGTGTAAAAGCATCTGTCTGTAAAAGCGTTTGTGTGTAAAAGCGTCTGTGTGTAAAAGCGTCTGTGTGTAAAAACATCTGTGTGTAAAAGCGTCTGTGTGTAAAAGTGTTTGTGTGTAAAAGTGTTTGTGTGTAAAAGCATCTGTGTGTAAAAGCGTCTGTGTGTAAAAGCGTCTGTGTGTAAAAGCGTCTGTGTGTAAAAGCGTCTGTGTGTAAATGCGTCTGTGTGTAAAAGCGTCTGTGTGTAAAAACATTTGTGTGTAAAAGCGTCTGTGTAAAAGCCTCTGTGTGTAAAAGCGTCTGTGTGTAAAAGTGTTTGTATGTAAAAGTGTTTGTGTGTACAAGCTTCTGTGTGTAATAGCTTCTGTGTGTAAAAGCGTCTGTGTGTAAAAGCGTCTGTGTGTAAAAGCGTCTGTGTGCAAAAGCGTCTGTGTGTAAAAGCTTCTGTGTGTAAAAGCTTCGTGTGTAAAAGCGTCTGTGTGTAAAGGTCTCTCTGTGTAAAAGTGTTTGTGTGTAAAAGTGTTTGTCTGTAAAAGTGTTTGTCTGTAAAAAGTTCTGTGTATGAAAAACCTTACAAAAATACGATGCAAACTATTGTCTTGTACTAGTCATATATTGTCTTGATACTACTCTTCTCGTCTCCCTATAATACATCTTTAATATATTATCTTGTAATATAGTGTCTCCATACTAACAACAGAAGACTCTGCTCCTCTACGCTCTCGGGCCATCCGTCGTCTTGTTTTAACCAAGGTACCTGGATAAGATCATCGATTTGTTTGCCTCAGTGTACCAAAGACTCTCAGTGTTTGCCTGGCTGACCTCAACAGCACGTCGAGCACGTCGTTCGACCAACGCACCATGACGCTAAGCCCCGCACCGTAGACCTTCAGGAGGTTTGCAGCATCTTTTGCCAACGACTGGGCCTGGTTCCGTAGCACCCCGACACCGCCTTCGATGCTCCGATACGTTGCGTCGATGGTACGGACCTGCGCACTCATGTCTTCAGAGGTGGGCCTCAGTGAACACGATGGCGAGTAAATGCTTCCAAAAACATGACCGAATGGTTCCCAAATAGTATTTTCCAAGATACAAATACATACATTGCGTTACATTACGTTACGTTACATTACATTACATTACATACCATTACATGACATGACATCACACCAAATTACAATACATTAACAATCCATACCATACCATACATACATAAATACATTACATTACATTACATTGCATTGCATTGCATTACCTTACATTACAGGACGTTACATTACATTACATTACTACATTACATTCATACATACATACATGCATACATACATACATCCATCCATACATGCATACATACATACATACATTACATACATTACATACATTACATACATTACACACATTACATACATTACATACATTACATACATTACATACATTACATACATTACATACATTACATACATACATACATACATACATACATACGTACATACATACATACATACATACTTGCATACTTACTTACATTACATTACATTACATTTCATTACGTTACATTAGTACGGACATACCTTTATACAATTGTTCATTACATAGATACAGACATTACATTACATTGCATTGCATTGGGTTACAGTACGTTACATTACACTACATTACATTCATTACATACATTACATTCATTACATTACAGTACAGTACAGTACATTCCGTTACATTACATTACATTACATTACAGTACAGTACATTACATTACATACTTACACTACATTACATTACATCACATCACATTACATTCATTACATACACTACATACATTACATACATTACATACACTACATACATTACATACGTTACATACATTACATACATTACATACATAACATACATTACATGCATATCATACATTACACACATTACATACATTACATTCATACATACATGCATACATCAGATACATTAGATACTTTACATACATTGCATACATTACATACATTACATACATTACATACATTACATACAATACATACATTAGAAACAGTACATACATTACCTACATTACATACATTACATACATTACATACATTACCTACATTGTCTACATTACATACATTACATACATCACATACATTACATACATACATACATACATACATACATTGCATTGCATTGCATTGCACTGCATTGCATTACATTACATTACATTACATTACATACATTACATACATTACCTACATTGTCTACATTACATACATTACATACATCACATACATTACATACATACATACATACATACAAAGATTACATCACATTTCATTTTATTACATTACAATACAATACACACATACATGCATACATGCATTACACACATACATACATACATACATACATACATACATACATACATACATACATACATACATACATACATACATACATACATACATACATTACATACATACATTACATTACATTACATTACATTACATTACATTACATTACATACATACATACATACATACATACATACATACATACAACATTACATTACATTACATTACATTACATTACATTACATTCATACATACAATACATACAATACATACAATACATACATGCATACAATACATACATTACATACATACATACATACATACATACATACACACATACATACATACATACATAAATACATACATACATAATACATTTCATTACATTACATTACATTAAATTACATTACATTACGTTACGTTACATTAATTACATTACATTTACATTACATTACATTACATTACGTTACATTACGTTACACTTTATTTTTTATTACATTACATACATACATTAGCATACATTCACATACCTTCACATATATGAACATACATTTACGAACACAGATTTAACATACATTAACCTTTGTTAACATACATTAACATACATTAACATACATTCACATACAGTAACATACATTAACATACGTTAATATACATTAACAAACAGTAACATACATTAACATACATCGACATCCATCAACATTCATTAGCATACATTACATACATTACATTACATTCCATTACATACCGTGACATTACATACCTGCCATACCATTACATACCATACCATACCATCACATTACATTACATTCCAACACATTACATTACATTACATTACATTACATTGCATTACATTACATTACATTACATTACATTACATACCGTTACACTACATTACATTCCATTACATACCGTGACATTGCATACCTACCATACCATTACATACCATACCATACCGTTACATGAGATTGCATTAGAACACATTACACTGCATTGCATTACATTACATCTCATTGCAGTACATTACATTGCCTTGCATCACATTACACTGCATTGCATACATACTTAATATATATATATATGTGTGTAACTGTATATGTATAGGTACATGTGTATATATATATATTACATATAGGTCAAGGTTGAAGGTTGCTCCACAAGTCTTGGTCAGGTCTAGCAACTCACTATGGGGGTACCCAGTTTCAACGGTCATGAAGCCTTTCGGGACGGTGTAAGAATGGCAGGTTTGAGAAGCTACCGGCTTGCGAACTAGTCTTTCAATATCTTCCAAACACAATCTCCGTAATGCATATTCCAATATCCAAGCTATTCCATCTGGACTTTAGTGGCCAAGATGCCCTGGAAAGGGTTCGCTAAGGATCCGGTTCAACGCATGCTTTCGAAGTTGGAGACTGCGCAGGTTGAGGATGGCCGCCATCAATTGGCAGCCTGCGAGCCAGGCTCTGAGAATTGGGGATCCCCAAAGCCAATGGAGAATCAGTTCCCAAAAAAATCATTGCAATTCTTGGAGATCTGTCCCTCATGCTCAGATGCATCTACATAATGAAAGACTGCAAAATACCACTGTGATTGAGGGAGAAACATCACGATGGAACTGCCTTTTTATTCATATACAGACAATGTATGTGTGCACGTATTCTTGCACTTGTGTATGTTCCAATGCAGCCATCAAGCAGGCAGGCAAGCAGGTTTGCAGGCAGGTAGTTGGGTATGGAGGCATGGAGGTACACCTACACATATACAAACAAATACAGATACACATGTACACATCCCGAGACGTAGACACAGATGTGACATCGACTCAGGCATAGACACATATATATATATGTATGTATGCATGCATGTATGTATGTATGTACATATATATATATATATGTGTATATATATATATATGTATATATATATTTTTTTAGCGAAGGAAGTTTAGAAGTCAAAATTCCAACAATATGGACAGATGAAAAGCAGAGATGGGAAGAGTCAGGGAAGAGAAGAGAAGAAGAAAGAAGATCTCAAAAGAAAGAAGATCCAGGTGCGCGAAAAGGTAGGAAAGTCGCGAAACACTGTCTTTCCGATGGCTCGTGGCTCAAGAGGGTCGAAAAGTAGGCTCGCTAAAGCGGCGGGTGCAGAGCCAGGTGGCCAGATAAGAGATGAAAAATTGCACGCCATTGTGGCACAAAGCACATGTCCAAGTCAAAATGTACAATTCAGAGCACGTTTTGAAGTTGAGATGTCGAAAAAGTGGGCGCCGCTGTGGCGTGAAGCACATTTCGAAGTCAAAATGCACAATGTGGAGCACTTTTGGAAGTTGAGATGTCGAAAAAGTGCACGCCGTTGTGGCGCGAAGCACATTTCGAAGTCAAAATGCACAAAACACACCTGGTACGGAGCACTTTTGGAAGTTGAGATGTCGAAAAAGTGCACGCCGTTGTGGCGCGAAGCACATTTCCAATCAAAAGTGTAAAAAACTGACGGCACTTTTGGAAGTTGACATGTCGAAAAAGTGCACGCTGTGGCGCGAAGCACATTTCGAAGTCAACATGTTAGAAACACCACATGCTCCGACCACTTTTGAAAGTTCACATGCCGTTTCGCGTGGCAGGCACAAGGGATTCTGCAACTTGCCAAAAGTGAGCAAAACGTGAAGGCTTTGTAGCATATCCCTCAAACGATGGCAGGCGTGTGACATTTGAAGAGGATCTGGGAAGATGCATTTCGCGTGGCAGGCGCAGTACAAGAGACATATTCATCGGAGATGTTAGAAGGTGAGACGGGTTGCATTTTGGAGCCTGAGATCTTCAGGTTTGCTGGGATGATTTTGCGTGACAGGTGCAGCACTTCGTATGACCTGGCATCACTTTTTCGTGGCAGGCGCAGTAGTGTAGACAAATGGATTGGAAAAATCGCAAACTCATTGGTACGAGGCCGTCAGCGCTGCACGCAACTCGCAACTTTCCATTTTTGAAGGAAGTCTAGCAGAATTGCTTCGTTTTTGATGTTGTCAAGTTCGAAAATTGAGGAAGTCTCGCAGAATTGTCTCGTTTTTGATGTTGTCAAGTTCAACAACTGAGGAAGTCTCGCAGAATTGTTTCGTCGTTTTTGACGTTGTCAAGTTCAAAATTGAGGAAGTCTCGCAGAATTGCTGCATTTTCAAGCTTGCAGGTAGACAGACAGACAGACAGGCAGACAAACAGATAGATAGATTAGATAGATAGATAGATAGATAGATAGATAGATAGATAGATAGATAGATAGATAGATAGATAGATAGATAGATAGATAGATAGATAGATAGATAGATTAGATAGATAGATAGATAGATAGACAATTACAACTACAACTACCACTACACTACCCAACAATACTGCTACAATGACAAATACAAATATACTACGCTACATTACACTACATTAATTACACTACACTACACTACACTAATTACATCTAATTACACTACACTACTACACTACACCAATTACACTAACAACAACAACAACAACAACAACAACAACAACAACCACAACGACAACGACAACGACAACGACAACGACAACAACGACAACAACGACAACAACGACAACGACAACAACGACAACAACTACTACCAAAATTACAACTACAATTACAACTACATTACACAACACTACGCTACACTGTTACACTAATTACACTACACTACACTACAACTACAACTGCAGCTGCAACTGTAACTACAACTACAACTACCACTACAATACACTACACTACACTACACTAGTTGCACTGCACTACACTACAACTACAACTACAACTACACTACCTTGCACTAGGCTACACTACACTACACTATACCACACTACGCTACACTACACTAGTTGCACTGCACTACACTACAACTACAACTACAACTACAACTACACTACCTTGCACTAGGCTACACTACACTACACTATACCACACTACACTACACAACACTACACTGCATTACATTACACTACAGCTACAACTCCAACTGCAGCTACAGCTAGAACTACCACTACATTACACAAGACTACGCTGCACTACACTAAGTACACTACACTGCACTACGACTACAAATAAACTACATTACAATACACTACACTCTAGACTACACTACACCATACCACACTACAGCACACAAGACTGCAATACACTACACTACACTAATTACACCACGCTACAACTGCAACTGCAACTGCAACTACACGACACTAATTACACTACATCACAGCTACAACTCCGCTACACTACACTACAACTACAACTACAACTGCGCTACATCACACTACATCCAGCAGTTGTGGTAAGGTGACCACTGCAACCATTGCAACCACTCCAAAAACACAACTCCAACCACTTTTCGGTCCATCAGTGGATTCGCTCTGCCAGCCATGATTCACAACAACTCACCTCTCCTATAGGTTTCTTATTTTTGAAACTTCCGCCACCGCCTTGTGCAGTACTACTGGTACACACACATTAATGCACATACTCATATACACACACCACATATGTGTACCGGTACATGCACGATTGCCAACATAAGGCGTATATTATTTTTTGGTACATATCTCTCCGCACGAACGTGCTACTCAACACATCTAATTCTTTTAATGTGGGTGTAGATTGATACACAATACTCTAAATTTGAGCACTCACATCATGGATATGTGCACATCAGTGATCACGGGATGTCATGTTGTGAATAGATTTCTCGCCCCCCACGAGAGCCCTTCTGTGCAGAAAGATGACACACAGGGATGAAATTGCTGTCCAATTTGGCAGTAATGTGTCACAACTTATCATATCATAACCTGAAGAATTCAGGACAATGAGCGACTACCACGGATGAAAGTTTGACGCCATACTTACCAGCCAGAAAATTCGTATGATATCTTGCTATGTAGTGCTCCAGTTCGTTGCTATTCGTCACCAAAATTCCCACTGGGTCACGACTGGGTGTCGGACCACGTTGAACACGAGTCACAGCACCTTAGAGTCGTCAAGACGCTAGGATGCAGCACGACATGACCATATGATACCATATGTACGTATGGGTTAGGATTGAAGACCTGGGGGGTTGATTTGAATTGATTTGAATCCATTTTTAGTACCAACCATCCAATGGTTGGGGTACCCAATTTTGACCCATACCCACTATATAGATAGATAGATAGATATATATATAATTATATATATGTCGATTTGTGAAAATTCAACCATATACTGTAATATACTATACATATCTAGCCAAAATGAATTAGCAACCTTCTCACATCCCTTGTCATTGGGATATTTTGGAGACAAATCCCCGAGCTTTCTCAAAGCTGACTTCATTTCCGCCCACTTTCTACTATCACATCGGAGATGTTCAGCAAAGCTACCAAAGTTCGCCATTGCAAGCACCAAGCCAACCTGCGCCAGGCAGTGGTCTGGTGACAACTCCAATGAAAAGATGTGGAGACCCTATCATGCTATTTGACTAAAATTATCCCGGCAAGAGACCCCAAACAGTGTGGCGGAGTGGGAGATAATGTATATATGATAATGTGGATGGTGAAGAGGATGATGATCAGGATGATGACGATGATGATGATGATGAGGAGGAGGAGGATGAGGATGAGGATGAGGATGATGATGATGAGGATGATGATGATGATGATGATGATGATGAGGATGCACCCTGATCGAGAACCTGCCTTTAGAGCTATACCGTAAGAACCCCTCAGTGTGAACACACTGTTTGGGGAAAAATATCTCTCATCTCTGCTCCGCCATGCTCCGCTATGCTCCGCTCCTCTGCTGCCACTGAGTCATTCTGCTGTTCCTCCTTCAGTTTGCTGAGTAGCTTCAGAAAAGGCTCAGCCACAAACAGCAACTTCGCAGAGGCATGGCTGTTGCCTCAGTGAACCGGCCCACTTCACTTGAAACACTCAGACATTTGATGTTTCGAAAAAATAAGCTACCATCCTATTGACCCCTGAGCTACCACCGGAAGTACCATCATTTCGCCAAATGTTCTTTATGTTGTTCCCATGTTTCCTGGCCATAAAATGTGGCCTACCCACAACCCATGGCTTCCCATGTCCCAGTTGCGATCCACCAAGGCTTCCCGATATTCCTTGAGTATCTCCGCCAAGCGCACCTGGTCCTGGGCCACAGGATCAGGTGACCCAAGTGAGAAATGGCATTGCGTTTTCTGGGTCAATCCATGGTTTCCTGGAATTTTTTCCAATCGTGAAACATCTCTGAAAATCTGTGACAATCTGTGAACATCTAGAAAGATGTGCGAAAATCTCTGAAAATCACAACAACAAATTAAACGAAAAAAACATGCGTGTTGTTTTCCTGATTCCACCACATCCAATCAGGACAAATACATCAACGTGACACACCTGAGGCCCGCACGGGACCACGTAGGAGTAGGGGCGTATATTTGCTGGTGGCAGCAAGGAAGGGGGCCAAATCTTCATTGGCGCGTGCTGCTGAAGTGTACTGTAGCAGCTGCTGAACCCCGGCAAAGTCGAGGACACATTGCTGGCCCTGCGAAAAAACTGAAAGGCGCAAGGAAATTGCTTCATGATTTTCACAGCTGAAAGCATCCAATTTGGGATCTTCACAATTTCACCCCAAAATCATTTGTGTATCCTACTACTCCATCCCGTTATCATCCCAATGCAGTGCCAGGGGCCTCCCTGGTCGGTGTGAGGTTCTCTACCACTCGTTCCATCTTCTCATGTGGGCTTCTTGAAATCAATCGCTGCACCGCGTCAAAGATGATGGGAGAAACCATGGGTTCCTAGCAAGAAAAAGGTGCCGCTAGATGGCCACAACTGTAGCCCCAATGGTGGGATATCTATGTAGATACATCCATCTATCTATCCATCTGTCCATCTATCCATCCATCCATCCATCCATCCATCCATCCATCCATCCATCCATCCTTCTATCTGTCTTTCTTTCTAATCTAATCTTTCTATCTATCTAATCCTATGTATCTATGTATCTATCTATCTATCTATCTACCTATCTATCCATCCATCCATCCATCCATCTATCTATCTTACCTTATCGTGTCTTAATCTTAATCTTAATCTTAGTCTTAATCTTAATCTTATCCTATCCTATCCTATCCGGTCCTATCCATCCATCCATCCATCCATCCATCCATCCATCTATCTATCTATCTATCTCTGTCTGTCTGTCTGTCTGTCTGCCTGCCTGTCTGTCTGTCTGTATCTATGTATGTGTGTATGCGTGTATGTGTGTACGTGTGTATGTGTGTATGTGTGTGTGTATGTGTTTATGTGTGCGTGTATGTGTGTGTGTACCATCTGTATAGATGTAAAACTTCATTATGCTGCAGGGGCGTGTGGCACTCATGTCCTACCACACGCAATGAAGCTGTGGACATGAGTGGGAAGGGAAACGTGGCCGGTTTCCTGTACCTTTATATATATATATATATTTATTTATTTACAGATGGATGGATAGATAGATAGATAGATAGATAGATAGATAGATAGATAGATAGATAGTCCCGCCCCTGGGTGCATATAAGTCGCAGCTGGGGGGGACATATATTTTATTGCTGCTGGTTTATATGGTCAACGTCCACTGTGATTATACGTCTATATATGTATGTGTATATATATATATATGTATATATGTGATATGTATATTCATCTTGTTTGTTTATTGTTGGTGTTTTTTGCACGTCAGATGCATTCCACAAACCGAATTCATAACGACAGTTCTGAGCAAGTGTGTGACTCATGCTGGATTCGTCATGGTGGCATGAACCCTTTGGGGAATACCTTTCCAGGTAGGAAACTTGAGCCTCCGACCTGATCTCTGAATTTACATTTTTCAACCTAGTAATTCGTTTAAGTAAAGTGAAACAGCTGGCCATTTTTCGATTTTCACCTTGTCGGTCGAGTGTGTGTTGAACAGTTAGCCGCCGTGCCGGGCCTCACCCTTTTTTCTCTGAATTTACAGTTTTAATCTAGTAATTCGTTTAAGTAAAGTGAGACAGATGGCCTTTTTTAAGCTTGTCACCTACCGGTCGAGTGTTGAAACAACGTGCCGCTGTTCTGGGCTTCACCATTTTCTGTTTTTGACATTCAGGTATCAGGACATGTCTTTCAGGTGTGGTCTCTTTCTTTTTGGTTACTCTGGTGAGGTTCAATTGTGCACGTAATTCATTCTGACCACTGACAACCTTTGATAGGGTTGACTTGATGGTGTGGCCATTGAGCCCGAGTGGGGGAATGTGCACGCTAATGTGGCTGCATCTTTTCATTAACTTGTCCCCCATGGGTCCCCTATCTCATGTGTCTTCCTCTCTACAGGTAGGTTGGGTCCTGCGCGTGCTTAGGTAGGCTTAGGTTTCGCTGTGGTAGGTTGGTTCAGGCGCTTCCGTCTTCCCCCTCCTTCGCTGGTCTGTGTCCGTTTCCGTCGGCCTCCGTTTTTTCTTTGCCCTTTCAGGGTCTGCTCGCTCTGGTTGGTGTTTGATCTTTCCCTCTTCTCTTGTGTTCCCCTCTTCGCGTCCTGGCTAAGTAAATTTCATCGCATTTTCATTGTCATCTCACATTCATTGTCATTTCATTTGCCCCGCTGTTGCGGGGCGTGTGTGTGTGTGTGTGCGTGTGTACCATCTGTATAGATGTAAAACTTCATTATGCTGCAGGGGTGTGTGGCACTCATGTCCTACCACACGCAATGAAGCTGTGGACATGAGTGGGAAGGGAAACGTGGCCGGTTTCCTGTACCCTGCTTTATATATATATATATATTTACAGATAGATAGTCCCGCCCCTTGGTGCATATAAGTCGCAGCTGGGGGGGGACATATATTTTATTGCTGCTGGTTTATATGGTCAACGTCCACTGTGAGTATACGTCTATATATGTATGTGTATATATATATATATGTATATGTGATATGTATATTCATCTTGTCTGTTTATTGTTGGTGTTTTTTGCACGTCAGATGCATTCCACAGACCGAATTCGCAACGACAGTTCTGAGCAAGTGTGTGTGTGTGTGCGCGTGTGCGCGTGTGCGCGTGTGCGCGTGTGCGCGTGTGCGCGTGTGCGCCTGTGCGCCTGTGCGCCTGTGCGCCTGTGCGCGTGTGCGCGCGCGCGCGTGGGCGCGCGGGGGCGCGCGTGTGTGCGCGCGCGCCCAGGCGCTCGCGTGCTGCCGTGCGGCGGCGGTGCGGCGCGGGGCGGTGCTGTGTGCGCTCGAGGGGCGCGCGGGGCGCGCAGAGGGGCGCGCGGAGGGGCGCGCCGGGGTGGGACCGCGTCTCGCGGTTGCTCGCGTTGGGCTGCGCGGGGGTTCGCGCGGGCTCTGTTGCGTGGGGGTTCGTGTTTTTTCTTTTGTTTTCTTTGGGTGCGTGCGTGCGTGCGTGCGTGCGTGCGTGCGTGCTGGGTGGTGGTGTGGTTGGGTGGTGTGTGTGTGTGTGTGCATATGTGTATGTATATTGTATATCTGTGTTTATGTGTGCGTGTATGTGTGTGTGTATGTGTGCGTATATGTGTATATGTGTGTATGTATGCATGTGTATGTGTGTAGTTAATGGTAGTTGCATGTGTTTTGTGTATGCGTGCGATCCTCCAGGGCAGCCACTAAGGCGTAGATCTTCACGACCAATTCATCTCTCTTTGGGAGGTCGCCATAGGGATCCAAGTTGGATGCTCCAGCAGCACCAGCGTAGGGTTTCAATAGGGTAGCCAAGCTACTCTGAGTACTTGCCTTCTTTTCTTCGATCAATCTTAGCTTCTGCTCCGCCGCACGAAGATTTTCTTCCATCTTTTTCTTGCCGTTCTTTAGCTGCCGAATAGCATCTGAGTACTTCTTGCAAAGCTTCTCATGCCACTGTCGCAACTTATCCGACAGCTCTGTGAGAATCCTAGGGCAAAAGACTGTAAAGCATCTCCAAATCAAAAACGGATCTCTCTAAACATTGAACCAAACATGGCAAGATAGGTCAAGCATATTCGGCGAAATCACATCCAGTACAACAACTCATCCGCTCCTAAGAAGTTCGCTGCGCAAGGCCACTCGATATCTCAAGCACGATTCAACTTGTGCCGCGGTTTCTGCCCGTTGCTTCGCAACTTTCATGACCATCTGCCGCGTCTCTCTTTCAAAGCTCTTCTGGTATTCTGCTTCCACCTCGGGATTCGAAACCAAAGAAAAAAACCTCCGGCCATCTAGGTCGGATTAAATAAAATATGAAAATAATTAGATTAAATTCACAAATTTGAACAGTTCAACAGTTCAACGTCACTTTTCATGATTTTTTCATTTTTCTTCACGCTATTTCCCCACACTTTCCCCACCCATCCCCACCCACACCTGCTTGACCAGTAAGAGTTCGGCGCTTTCCACTGACGCCTGCAGGGCGGTTTTGCTACGCACGGCTTCCTCCAAACCAGCGTTCAATGCATCCATCCGATGCCAACGCTCGTTCAACTCGTCGTACATGCGCAGCAAGTTCAAGCGATGCCTGCATGTCCGGTCAAAGTGTGATGCGAGGCACAGGGAAGGTCCGAAGCGCTGCTGTTGAAACTGGAAGTGATCTTCAATCTTGAGCGAATCCGGCCAACAAGAGTCATAGACTCAGAAACTCTACAGACCAACCAGGGCAACGCACCTTCACCCCAAATCCACAAACCCATCAGAGACTTCTGCCGTCAAGATGCTTCAAACCATCTAAATCTTTGATTTCGATGTTCCCAAATCTCTCCACATTGAAGACCTGCGTGTACGGATGAAAATTTTGTGAAGATAAATCTCAAATGTCGGCCTTGTTCAAGGTGCGTTCCTGAGCACCGGTAACATCCAACCATTGATTCTGTCTGAAAATATGATAATACACATTTTGGTTTTGGGGAGCGCAGCAGGCAATATTGCAAATACACCCGGCCAGGTCATAAGCCCGGGCCAGTTTAGACATATCGCGGACCAGTGTGTAGCCATGCAAGTTTGCAAGCTAGTTCGGCCCAAATGATACATAGTTCCGGCCAATTTTTGTAAAAAGTTCCGACCAATTTAGAAGCAGTTCCGGCCAATTTATACATAGTTCCGGCCAGTTTGTGAATTGTTCCGGCTGGTTTATGAATAGGCAATAGTTTCGGCTGGATTGTAAATAGTTCCAGACAAAATTCCCACAGGGAGAGCCAGAGGCCGCGAGCGACAACGAGCAGTGGCTCCCATAAGCCCTAAACAATTTGTTACCTGAGCAGTCACCTGAAAATCGCATTTCCAAGCGCGCTGGTTTTGTGGGGTTGGCTCAGGACATTGGCTTCTGGGCCGTATTTGGGGGAGTTCTGAGTTTGAAAGCATCAGTACCTCAGCCACGCTTCCTCCAACTTGTGTGCGTGAAGCAGATCTCATCACAACCACAAAACAACACCTTTCAGCCTCACTAGGTACTTGACCGTGATTGACATTGCCCTAGACATGTACGTGTGTGTGTGTGTGTGCGTGTGTGTTTGCTCCATGTCCCTTAAGGCCGCACCCCTTTGCGGTTGCTAGGGGGCAGGGCCGAATCACCGACTTTTGCACCGCAGTGTCAAGTTCTTTTTTCACCTTGCGCTTTGGTTTGACAAATGTTTTTTGCTTTATGGCTACTTTCCCGGCGGCTAGGCCATGCCAATGCGGTTGCATTAAACTGCTGCCACAGGTGACAACATCATGTGACTAAAAATCATATGCTGTATATTGCTATGATGGGCCTACGGTTGTGGAAGTGGCAACTGACTGCAGACTGCAACGTGCAACCTTGAGTTCACCTAATATTCAGAGACTTTGTTCAAGTCCACCTGAGATCCAAACATGTTTTGTAGGGAGCCTTTTGAGCTCATAAAATCTCGTTTATATACCTTTAAAAACAGTGGCTTGTACTGCTTCGGTATATATTTGAAGGTAAGCCGGGTAAGCACAGTGCATAAAAAGATCCAAACCTTAGGCCTGGTAGGTTTTCACTTCCAAAGATAAAACAAACATGTGAATGACGACTTTCCCATGGTGCATCCTCTTCTTCTGCCAGATTGGATGTATCAATGTATTTGTTTGTTGCATCTATGGATCTATGGGCTGAAGCACTTTCGGCCTGATTTCTGCTTCCCGGGGGTCTGCTCTGGCATGTCCACCTTCAACCCCGCCGAAACACTTCTTCCCGGGGGTTTTCTCTGGCATGTCCACCTACAAACCGAAGCTTTCAGCCTGATTTCTGCTTCCCGGGGGTTTGCTCTGGCATGTCCACCTCCAAACCCCGCCGAAGCACTTTCAGCCTGATTTCTTCTTCCCGGGGGTTTGGATTTGCTGCGCCCGAGAAGTAAATGCTGTTTGAAAGAAAGAAGACCCCAAAGCATTTAATTTGAAATACTTAATGTGGAACCTGTGCCCGGTCCGCGGGCTAATCCGTAAAGCGCTAATCCGTAAACCGGGTAATCATTAAGGATTAACTTGGATCAGGCTAGGCTGATGAATATTATATATATATATGTGTGTGTGTGGGTGTCATAATTATATCTAGTTGGTGTGGCTCTACTAGTGTGCCATGGTCTCCACGTTTGCAGCTGGGATTGCACCCCATTCATTTTTCAATAAGTTTCACAAATACGCTATAAATAGTTCCGGCCTTTTACAAATAGTTGGAGCACGGCCTTTAGAAGGCCGTGCTGTTTTGTGGACATCAGGGGGGTGGGGTGGGGTGGGGTGGGGCATGGATTAACGTTCATGTGAGCTTGCGGGTAGGTGCATGTATGCACGGGTGGGGTGGGGGGGGGGGGGGTGGGGCATGTAATAACGTTCATGCAAACTTGCGGAGGAAGGACATGCTTCTCTGTGGCTACTGTAAGTTCTCTGGAACTTTCCACTCATGCGTCATGCCCGCTATGTAAGTTCTCTGGAACTTTCCACTCATGCGTCATGCCACGCTATGTAAGTTCTCTGGAACTTTCCACCCATACGTCATGCTACGTTACTGTAAGTTCTCTGGAACTTTCCACTCATGCGTCATGCCACGCTATGTAAGTTCTCTGAAACTTTCCACTCATACGGTACGTCATGCTACGTTACTGTAAGTTCTCTGGAACTTTCCACCCATACGTCATGCTGCGTTACTGTAAGTTCTCTGGAACTTTCCACTCATGCGTCATGCCACGTTACTGTAAGTTCTCTGGAACTTTCCACTCATGCGTTCATGTATTAACGTTCATGTGAGCTTGCGGGGTAAGTAGTACCTTCTTTTTTTCCGGTGAGAGAAAAAAGATTTATGCACCAGAATAAGGGGTTTCTGGCCTTTAAATTCATATCAAACCATTACAGGTCGAATTAGTTGGGGAGTTCTGAGAAACATCAAAAATGATAGTTTCCCCTAGGCGAAATGCTAGTTTTTGATTTTATGCACCAGAATAAGGGGTTTCTCGCCTTTGAAATCACATCAACCAAAATCCTATTGGCACGACCACATCAAACATCATCCATGACACCCCGTTGATCACAAAAACACCACGGCCTTCTAAAGGCCGTGTTCCTAGTTCCAGAGGTTATAAGGGTCGCCTATGCTCCAACTTGTCTCAAAGTGGAAAACATGGCTAACCTTACCGCACGGCCCCACCTCCTTCGAGATGTACGCGAACCACTGACGGGTGACCCTCTCCGCGTAGCCGCAACCTTTGTCGTGCGCCTCCTGCCAAAGCTAGCATGAAGAAATGCGAATTTCGATGGAGCAATGTTTAAAGTACTGACAAATTAACAGGAATTACAATCATGGAATATTAACATGAATGATTATGATCATTCCCAATATATTGAGTAGTATAACCCCCTATAATCATCAGCCAACAGGGGTTTGCACATTGCTCAATTGTTTCATGTAATATAAGCGTATTTTAGCACCAGAAAATGGGTACGGGATGGTACTGAATTCCCAGAACCAAAGCCATGGCAGCCATGGTCATTGGTGGTGATTTATCCATGAAAAATGGCGACCTCAAACCAGTTAAATGATAGTTGGCCTTGCAATGGGGGAGTACCAAAATACATCAAAATACTATATGACAAGACAATACAAGACAAATATACAATATAATCATGGAGATTGATGATAAACAAGTTTTGAGAAGCAGCCAAATTTTGGTGAAGATCGCCGCAAGAATTGAGGACATGAAGCTTGATGGGGAATTTCAAAAGCTGAAGCCAGCAGCTTTCACCGGCAAGAGTCAAGGTACAAACCGTAAAAATGGATTGATTCCGCAGGCAACGTCTTGTGCAAAAACCAATGTTTGTTTTACTGCCCTTTCTGCAGACTTCCATGTCAATAGTCAATACATGTCAATACTGGGAAAGTCTGAGTGGGTTGTCGTTTTTTAGGGTTCCATGCTTTATTGGATCCTAACCGATTAGACTCGGCGCCACTGCCGTTGCAATGCAAAGACACTTGGCTAGTGAAAATTCGGAAATCCACTCGGGTTGTGGGGCTACTTTCCACCTGGCCATCTTGACACCCCTGGCCCCGGCCACTCCTTCAGTGATTGCTGCACTGCTTCAAGCGATCCCTTCAAATCTCCCAAATCCTGGTCCGAATGGAAAACAACTGGCCGAAGCCTTTTTTTGTCCACCCATTAACGAGACCAGAAGCACGTTTGTATCGCCAGATCGTGCTTGGAACTCTTCAATATGATCTGAAAAATCACCAACCAAAATATTACGCCCTGGTGCTGGAAACAGATCCCTAACGGACGACGGACTCATGATTGGGCTTTTGGAAGTCTGAATCGGCTCAGAGATCCAAAAGACAAGCTGAGCCAATCCCTCAACTTTGCCCCAAGAAAACTTGGATTCCAGCCAAGCAACCGAGGGTACATCAATTTCTTTCTCAGAGCTCAGAGTTTTCCAGACCTGACTCAGCTTGTCCATCACCGAGTCGATGCTCTCGGAGCCACATTGGAAAAAGTTGGTGAAGTTGTTGTGAATCTGCGTCTTCAATTCATTTTGCTCCTCCCATTGTCAAATGCTGGATGATTTTGATATATTTTGATATATTTTGATCATGATCCACTAGGGAACAAGAAGATGAATACCAAGATGAACCAGTGAACCCTGCAGTGGTGGATTCGTAGACAAGAAGACAATGCTTCTTGGATCATCGTGGCTCGTTCTCACTTTGACACGCGATTAAGGTGTACCATGTGGGCCCCCAGAAAAATCAGAACAGCCATGAACATGTCGTTTTACTGCAGGTATACTGTAAACACATTCTTTCATTGTTGTCCACCTCCCAAAGTCACACATCGCATTTGGCCATGGGTCAAGTTAGTCAAGTTGGGCGACCCTGCATTCTTGGATCAAGCGTAAGTGAAGACCCAGACCATCCCAGCCGTGCCCCCAAAAAGGAACGAAAATAATCCACAATCGCCCATCGGGCCCATCATTCAGCCATCGGCATCGGAGGCATCGCAGGTATCGCAACCAAATCGCAGGGCGCCTGACTTCTGATCTGATCTTGCCAGTCGTTCTTCCCACCATAAGCTCGATTCGCTTCATCAAGGATCTCCTGCAACTTGTCAATCCAAAGTCCATCCAACGCCTCAGAAAAAACGGCGAAAAAAAGTCACGGCCCTGGGGACGACCTGCTGACACGATGCATCGATGCTGGTAACTTTAAGGCAACTAGTTGTTTAATGTCGTTTAATGATGTTTATTAGTCGTTGATGCCGGTAACTTCCACAAAGTGTGAGATGCCTTTCTTACAGCGGAAACGGTCCAGAGAAAAAGCATCCAAGAGCTGCATGAAAACTAGACCGTCGTCATATCCCATCACATTTCTGCCAGCCTTCTCTCGCCCCTGGTCATCTACTGTCATCCTTGGCAAAGCTGCACCAAAAATCGACGAATCTACAGGACTCCCCAGTCATGAGAAACTGAGGAATCCGGTTCCCTTCCCCTCCACTCAGCATGGCTGGCTCGAAAATGGTGTACTAATGAACCCACAAAATTGTTTGTGTTGAGTAGCCAACACCTGAACGTATTACCCATCCAGTTTTGGGGCCTATATATATAATATACAATATACGTATTAATAATATATCTGCATATATAATATCGAGCCATTCCCAAACCCGGCATCTGCGCTTACAAAAATCAGGACAACCAATGACCTCACTCCGCTGTCATTCCTGGGTTTTGAATGGTTCTTCGCATGTTCATTTGATCCCCATTTTGATTGGTTTTTGCTGGCTTCATGTGGTTGTTTATTCCCATGTTGCGTGGTTTTTTGATGGTTTTGCATTGTGTTTGAGGTTTTTTGAATATTTTTGACGGTTTTTGATTGGTTTTTAATGCTTTCTGCTTGGTTTATCTCCCAATTTCCTCCCATCCCATCCCACCATTGGCTCATCTGCGTCACAAGGCTCGCATAGAAACGCCGCTTCCTGGGACTCACTTGCTCAGTTGTGACCTCAGTTTTTCCGGTTGATGGAGGCACCCTACATGATCTGATTTCTTCTGTATTCTGCTAGTAGACACTGTCAGTATCCGATGTTGTAAGTGTATATTTCTCTATGTATATATATATATATTGTTGTCATTGTCGTTGTCGTTGTCGTGGTCGTCGTCGTCGTCGTTGTCATTGTCGTCGTCGTCGTCGTTGTTGTTGCTGTTGCTGTTGTTGTTGTATGTGTATATGTATATGTATATGTATATGTATAATGTATATGTATATATGTATATTTATACGTATACGTATACGTATACTGTATACGTATACGTATACGTATATGTATATGTATATGTATATGTATGTGTATATATATATATAGTTGTGTATATATATATATATATGTAGTTGTGTATATATATATATATATATATATGTGTGTGTATGTGTATATATATATATATATATTTATTTATTCAGGTGTGTATGTATATATATATATACATATTCAGGTGTGTGTATATATATATATGTATATATTTTAGGTGTATATATAATATACATATCTGTTTGTGTGTCCTATGAACCTATACTTCACTTTCTTGGGCAGTGTGAACTGAGGCCAAAAATGTTATGTCACTCTCATCTAGCCAAAGAGTCTCAGAAAGCGGTTAACAGTCAACACTTACCAAAAAATGAAGGATGCTGCTCCATTTTTGTTGTTTCGCCACGGCGCCTCTTGCTCCACCTTCCTGACGCGACGTCCATCTTCCAGCATTTGTCGAGTGAAAACACCCGCATGGTTGCGACAGGCCGCTTCGATTTCCTATCCAGTTTTGGCCAACTGAATCTAACTGACATGGGAACCGAACCGAAGCCGCAAGGTACAGCAGCACTGGACTAGATAAGCCTTCAAACAACCACAATGTCACATGCCCTACTTGCCCTACTTGCTGCCGGGCATCAGTCTCTGTAATCGATACCTCAGCCAGTTCGGCCAAGGATTTTGGGGGGGTTCACAGTTGGCTGAAAAATGGCAGCCGCATGTGGTCTCAAGCCACCGGAACATGAGCCATTTGGGGATCATTAACCCACTGATGGAAATGAACTAAGCCCAAAGAATTCCCGAGACACAGAAAACAAAGGCGACTTATTCCCTTGAACAGGGACACACAACTAAAGACCCTTTACTTGGGAGGCATTCGAAAAAAAAAAAAACACAAACCATCAAAGCTGTAAAGAAACCTTATAATAAACCCATCAAAGAAACCCCAGTCCGTTCGCAGAGTCATTGTCCACCTGCCGGGGCCCATTTTTTGTAAATCTCCAATCCGAGCTGCTGTGGATGCATGGCTGAAGAAGCTCGCAAGTGAGTCATCGGCCAAGTCCATTTCCGTCACCGCATCACCTGGAGATGATTTGATCAATTGGCTCGAAGAAATCCTGAAGTTTGGCCGTGTTTGATGGGGATTGATGAAGCCTAACCAGTGGATCTATATATATATTATTTATAGGATTTTATAGGATTATAAAGGATTATTTATAGGATTATTATTATTACTATTATTATTATTAATTATTATTATTACTATTATTACTATTATTATTATTATATCTATATATATATATATTTATTTATAGAATTATAAAGGGGTGTTCCCTCCAAATGTTCAGACAAAGCCATTTTGTATCATTTTGTCGATCTGTTCTGAGTCAGCTTTGGTAAGAACAATCCAGAATTTGAAGGTCCCAAGACCCGACCTTCACATGGTGAAGGAGAGGGGATTCATGCAGTGCCATGTGGGTGACCAGGGGCTATTGTCACCTATGTCTAGTTGGGGATGCAAGCTCTGGTGAGCCAAACGCTCACATGCTGTTAGGCAAGCCAGATTTGAAAAATATGGGACAATCAATAATCAACTACGGGGTCTCATGAGACGTTCCAGGTTCTACAGGAACTTGATCCAGGCAGAATCATGTATCGAACATCTGTGCCCGTGTGCACGTGTATGTGTGTGTGTGTGTGTGTCTGTCTGTCATGATTGTGCATGTGTGTCTTTCCGCAGAGAGTTTCTGCAGCGCATGAGGAAGCAGCATGACATCTTGACAGCTGTTGAACTGTTGGCAACACAGCTGCGCGTGTCTTTTCTCTTCCATTCAGCTACGGCACAGGAGTTTGGCCCTGCCGAAGAAGCTACGTCGACAGCTGTCCGCTAAAAAGCGTCGGCACCCAGCTGACACCACAGCACCCAGCTGTTTTCCACAATGTCAACCTCCAAGGTTGGGCCGCACAAATACCCAGTTTTGCACACCTATGACCGGTATACGGTTGTAACGATATACCCCATGTGTTAATGTTTTTCAAATTCTTCAAATTCTTCAAATTCTTCGTATCGTGCGAGGCCCATCATTCAGGCCAAACCTTCCCGGAGGAGGATCACTAGTCACGTTCTAACATCTTGGCCGCCTGGCACTGGCGCAGATGTCCCACATCTAGTAGTGGCCACAAAATCAGCTCGCAGCGCAGGGATGGGGATGAAATGGGATGAATAGCAACAAGATATACACTTAAAAAGCATGAACTAACCATCCAAACTGGGATTGAAGCATCAGATGTTCATCTGTCCATGCCCACGGACCCCACATGTCTTCTCTCAACCAAAAAATTGAGCCCCTCGCTTGTTGCAGCGTCCTCTTGAGCTTACGGAGCGCCTCAAAGTGATGAGAGGAAGTGATGAGAGGTAAGACGAGGTAAGACGAGGTAAGACGAGGTAAGACGAGGTAAGATGAAGAGATAAACTCATCACTGAGTCTCTGGTGGAGATACCACCTTATCAGTGCCACAGACCCCACATCCATAACTTTTGGTTCAAAGATAAAGCTGGGCCTGCTCCCTCCCGGGGCCCTCAGCGCGCTCAAGAGCCTTGGTCCAGTTTGTAGAGGTGACACTGCTAAAGACTGACGACCATAACTTACCAGGTCTGTTTCAAAATGCAATGTTTCTTTATCATCCTCTTCCTTATCCAAAATCCTTTTAAAAAAAAAGGAAAAAAAAAACATGTTTGAGGCTGTTTGAGGTTCAAAATATCCCCCAGTGACACAGTGACAAACCCAAATAAAGTTAACTCCACGGGACACCTCATCCGCTTGGTGCATTTCCATAGCCATTCCCCCGCAGCCGAGACAAGCCCCGGCACCTCGATCATCTTTGTACAAAGGTCTTTGGCTTGCAGGGCCTGGAAAGGCAACCCGCAACCCGCAACCCAAATACTTCGTCTAGTCGGACGTTGGGGAGAAGCTCTTGGAGACTGACCATTTGGACCAGAAGTTTTCCCTATTTTTCCATGACCTATCCTTTGCTCCCCAGAGGTTCTTACCATGAAGTCCTCTGCGAGACCCCACTTGCCACAGTTCCCAAAAAAGGCCTTGTCGCCAAGGTCGAGACCCAACCAAAGTTCATTGATCCATTCCACCTCAGCGGCTCCATTCCAAGCATTCCAAAGCTCCAGGTGGTCCTAGTGGATGATTCATCAAGAAATGGTGTTCTCTCTTTTTGAAAGGAAAGGACACTGAACAATCTCCTTATCTGGTTGGTGGTTCCAACCCCTCTGAAAAATGATGGAGTGAACGTCAGTTGGGTTTATGACATTCCCAATATATGGAAAAATAAAAAATGTTCCAAACCACCAACCAGTTATGTTTTTGGCTGCACCTTGCTGTGGAAGATGCCCTCGTCCAGGGACTTGTCAGAAAGCTGCTGCGCAAGGGCATACATCAGCTTCATCTTCACCTGGATCTCATGTTTTTTCATCCCATCCTCCGATCATTCATATTCATCATCCTCTATTTTGGGGCAAACAAATCATCAAAAAAGGTCCAAGAACTAAACCAGGTATCACCAGGGTTTCCAGAATTTTCCAGGGGTTTCCAATGGACGGATCAGCCTGCGAACCAAGGTGAAGCCCGGCCGGCTCCTCATTGAGCCACTGGTCTGGCTGCACCAGGGAGCACAGTTGCCTGGGCTGGGCGCACTGGCAACAAATCTCACTTTGCCCTGTCCTTTCACATGGTTTTTCACAGCTTAGAAAGGGAAATGTTATTAAACTTCTGTCGAAAAGTGGAGTCCAAGGGAAATATGTGGAGCACCTTTATGAAAGCTCCGATAGCTTACGCTGTTGCTAGAATGCAGCTCAAACGCAGAAAGGGATTGGTCGATTGGTCGCCAAGCAACTCCAAGAAGTCCACATATCTCGCGTGCTCTTGTCTCTGCAAAGCACGCTCAAAGGCATCCTCCACCTCTGAAAGAAACGCTGAATGAACTTCTGAACAAAAAAAACATCGGTAAACTCAAAGGTGTCTCCCAAAATGGGCTACAACTGCACTGTATAATTACTCAAAATGGATGGCAAATGGGGAAAATGAATGTCATCAATCAAGTTTAGGCCGGCGGCCGATTTTCGAGCCGGCCTTCCGATTGGGGGAGCCAAACCTTGGACCCAACCTTCACACTATCCCCATTTTGCTGGGTGTCTATATATATATATATATATGTATATATATATACATACATACCAACAAGCCTTTTGTGCTTGAATTTACCAGGCATCAGCCGGGCCATTGTGAAGAACCAGGTGACTAGCACCATGCCCAGAGGCGCTGCGATTGGCAAGACAGACACTGGCCAGTGGGCCACAAGCTCCTTGAAGGAGTATCCGCCAGCACTCAATCGTGCTTTGGCGGCGCAGTTTTCTGAAGCCATTTCTGCTGCCCCTCTTGACGAGTCCGTGGCAATTGCTGACGATTTCCTCCTGGCCTGTAAAGAAATGACTGTAACTAAGTTTACAGATGTGCTGGGCAGAGATTTCGCGGGCTGAATGGCTGTGTTTTCGAATTCAGGTAGCTCGAGCCGCGACGACAGTCACAAAAGGCCGAATGTGAAAAAAAAAATACATACATACTAGTCTATATCTTATATCAGAAATTGATCCCCATCTTAGTTTACTTCCAAGTTTCATTGCTCAGCCATCTCAGGCCCCCGGCAGAACCCTCCTGGAAGAGTTGTTGCAGCTCCCTGGCCTAGCCACGACGGGAAAAAAAACACTGAATTCTGGGCTACGCTGACGGATTTGTTTTTCTTCGGGGGAACAAGATATGTGTCATTATGTGGATGTAACTTGTTTAACTTATGCCCAAAATATGATAATCAACATTGATCAACCATCACTGGTTGATTAACCATCTAAAAGAGTGAGCCACTGGGATCATCGTCAATTCATTGTCCAACCTGCGACCTGAAGGTGAAATTTCCAACATTGCTTCACATATCATATCAACCGACGATCAACTATAGACCAACTATCAACCAATAGTATGGGTCGAGGTCCAACCAGACCGTGTGCTCAGTATTGCTCACACGTAGTCCCAATGGACCAATGGATTGCAAGCTGTTCTCACCTGCGAAGCTTCCGCTTCAGGGCTTGAAGGTTGCTTCCCTGCGCGTGGTTTTTGCACTGCAAGAGGGCCTTTGGGGGCCCCAAAGCATCCAATGGTTGATTTCTGTGGACCAAGTCTTGGAAACTCAATTAACTCACTCGATTCATACATTAATTCTCAGTGATATCCATTGATCATTGATATCCCCATCTTTGATCATGTTCGTTGGTTGAAATTGGTCAAATTGGCTAAGCCAAAAAACGAGGGAAGGCAACGACAGATGTTGATCCTCCAGCGGTAAAATCTGCAGATCCCGTCGCCTTCAGTGCGTTGAAGCTGCTCCACCTCCACACGAAGAGCCTCGACTGGCATTCCCCGCCCGGTTGAATCCGGTTGAGCCAGGTGGCTTCAACCTGTTCAAAGAGGGTAAAGTACGGATATCAATGCAAAGCTTCTAATCAAATTAATCAACCAAAGTGGAATGTGATCAAACATGAATCGTTTCGTTGGTGTTTTTTTCACCCCATCCCAAAAGCATGACCTTTATATATATTAACATATACTAACTAATTCCAACAGATGGGAACACGTTTACAGTACCCGCAAATTGAAGAAAAAAAAAACGACCCTGCCAGGAGTCGGCTTGGAAGACTCTTTTGAATTGGTGATCTTAAGGCTCTAACATGGTCCACTGTTTACCAGAGAGATCCAGAGGGTATATACGGCATATCCTACAAGTAGTAGCCCGCCCAGGCCTTCACCTGACTGGTGAGTTCTTTCACACGTGCATGAAGAGGTTGAATGACCTGGCCAAAACGTATCAAAACCCGACTGATGTGGCATGTGTTCACAAATTGGGCGGTAAACCTCTTTAAGAACTACAGTTCGATTCCATTTTAAGAGGCAGAGAGGCAAATTGATGACCAATCACTAGGGCCGCACCCCAGTTTTGGACAAACCCAGAAACCATGCCTGCAAAGTGCTTGCATCATGACAGTGGAATGCATGAAATTCCCTTGACTCAGGCAAGAAAGGAAAGCATGGAAACAAAACAGGTAATGAATGAATACCATGGTTGTTGTTAAACGCAGGCTAAAAAGTTTCCATTCTTGTGATGCCATGTGATGCCTTCTCCCAATTCGGATGAATTTCACATAGCTTACATATATTCAAATATCATGTTTGGCCAAGGAGCATGGGACCATCCCACTTTCCAAACTGTTTGACCAGGCCTCCACTTCTACCTGTCGTGAAAGATCTTCCAGCTCAGCCTGTTTTGGTTTCGCGAACGCTGGGACCAGATGCACCGCCAACAACTGGGACCGACGATGTCTGGATCAACATGAGACTTGAAGACTTTTTCAGACTTTTTCAGAACGAACAGAGTGCTGGTCTGTTCGAAAAATTCTAGCTGGAGATTAGCTGGAGATATCTGGAGCGCCTTAAATGGGCCTATGTTGATCAGTTTGTTGCCATTGATTTTGGGTGCCACGGTGGCACCACGAGCACCGAACCTCCGACAGACTTCGACTTCCAGAGCTACCTGAGGTCTGCAGCAGGTCTTTCACCTGTGAAGGCCAGGTCTTTCTGCCGCTGCCCCTAGGCTCCTTACACCACCAAAAAGACTCCATTCCAAATAGAAAGGGTTTCATGAAACGTGGTTTTTTTTGGTGGTTCTTTCCAATGCTGCACCACTGAAAAGGCCCAAGCATCCCGAATCGCAGTGTTCATCTTGGGGGTACTCAAAGGTTGATCCATTGTTCTTGATGATCTTCCATGATCTTCCCACAAATTCTCGGTTGCTCCCTTCAAAATTGATGCGTTGTGTCACCAGCAACTTGCTTCACGCCACACAGAAACCTCTTCGCTGATGCTGGTGGACCCCATGTTCGGCTGAGTCCACCCAGTGGGTAGAGAACAATTAAAGGACCAAGGGCCGGTTGGCCGCCCCGCATGGTATGCTTTCCTCTATTCTACAAAAGTTTGAAAGCTATAGAGATGAGTAATGCGGGCCGGTTACAGAAGCGGATTGAACAGTTCAACAAAGGCAGCGACAGGAAAAACCCAGCAAAAGGATGCATATTTTGTGGGGAACAACAAAGCATCTAGTGAATCTAGTGAGGCAAACCAAGTAAACCATCCCAACCAACCATTTGTGGGTCATAAGATGTCATAAGTAAGAAACCTCATCCCATAAACCCTGGCATCTGCTGAAAGATATATTGGTCCCAACCTCTTTCAGTTCCTCAGCCACCACAGGGGCAAGATCTCCTTGGAAGCCGACACGGAAATCCATGGAGGATCCATGGAAGATCAATGGAAATCCGGCAAAAATCAATGAAAAAGTCTGGAAATACCCATGGAAATATAGCCATAGAAATATAGCCATGGAAATAGCCATGAAATCAGAGTGGTTTCTTTGTTGCAAACCAAGATGTTCTGGCTCCACTTTGGAATCGACCCCAATGATGCAGCGTGATCTCTCCATCGGGTCTTACTTTGCCAAGAAACTGCCGAGTCGTAGCGCTGCTTGCTCATGTTCAACAGCAATTCCCTGCATCCAAAGTTTCAGCTTTCAGATTTTTAAACACGTCCAGTTTAAGAAGAAATTGAATGTGTATGTAGATATATATGTATATATAATTATATATATATATACGCATATATATAACACTCATTATAATACTGGCACATGTCACAATACTCCTAGTCTTTCTCACCATTGCCATCGACATTGTCATCGACATCATCATCGACATCATCATCATCATCATCATCATCATCATCATCATCATCATCATCATCGTCATCGTCATCGTCATCGTCATCATCATCATCATCATCATCATCGTCATCGTCATCGTCATCGTCATCGTCATCATCATCATCATCATCATCATCATCATCATCGTCATCATCATCATCATCACCACCACCACCACATGCATAATACTCATCATCAAATGCATCAACGATCACGGTCATCATGGCCAGTAGTGAAAAGAACAATCATTAGCAGGAGGACTCTCTAAGTCTCCAATTAAATGATCCAGACGACCACGTCTTCGCTACGTCTTCGCTAATGCTGTTTCCAGACGACCAAGTTGGTGCACCTTGAGGCACTCTGTCATCTGCTCCCTGAAGGCAGACAGCATTTCCGTGACCTGAGATATTGAGATATCGAAAGTGTCCTGAAATTGACATCCCACAGTAGGGGGGTCGGAGTGGACCCCTTTTCACCAAGGATCACTTGGATGATTTACAATGGATCCCCCATCTAAAGAAACCCCTAAATTCTGGCCAATATCAGGACTTGCACCAAGCATTGGAGTTATATTGGCATGGAGGTTTCCTAAAATAGGGCTACCCCCAAATCATCCATTTTAAATCATGTCAATAGGATTTTCCATATTTTTCCACTATAAACCATCCAGCTACTGCTTAGGAAACTCCCATGTCTCCAGTCCTCGAGCTAAGCAGCTCGAAGTCCAATCAGCGGACCGAGTTCTTGCTCGAAATGCGCACGGAGCTCTTCCTGAAGCAACGGCGGAGCTGAGATTTCCTCAAATGGTGGCATCCCAGAACCATGGGGTTTCAATACTAAAACGGTCTAATGACTTGGATGATTTGGCGGTTTTTACTATTTTAGGACACCTCAATGTGTGTATCCATCTAATACACAATGTGTGTGTGAAACCAGGCTTAAGTCAACTACTTCATACCAAATGTTAACTCCATAACCTGGTCACAGCGCTTTATTCGCATCGGCCTTGAAGACAGGTGCCAGGGTCTCTTCCAGCGACTGACAGGTTGGTCCATGCTGTTGGTGGGAACGACAATGTCACGATTGGGTTCAATGACAGGCCCTTTCTTGATGATTTTGGGATATTTTTTTTGGGCGGGGAGGGATTCTGTTTGAAAACATGTTACAACCAACACGGCGCTGCTTCCTTTGACCGCGTGATGTATTTTGCCACAGCTTCACGGTTTCGAAACACCCCGGCTGCTGATGCTCGTAATTTCTTCGTACCAGTAGTACCGCACAAGGCGGTGGCGGAAGTTTCAAAAATAGGAAACCTATAGGAGAGGTTTGTTGTTGTGAATCAGGGATGGCAGAGCGAAGCCACTGATGGACCGAAAGGTGCTTGAGGTCTCCTTTCTTTCGCTCTCTTTCTCTGACTATCTACCTACCTATCTATTTTCTATGTATCTATCTATCTATCGATCTATCTATCTATCTCTCTTTCTTTCATTCAATTACCCTATCTATCTATCTATCTATCTATCGATCTATCTATCTATCTCTCTTTCATCTGTCTATCTGTCTAGCTGTCTACCTGTCTATCTATCTATCTATCTATCTCTCTCTCTCTCTCTTTCATCGGTCTATCTGTCTAGCTGTCTAGCTGTCTACCTGTCTATCTATCTATCTATCTGTCTGTCTGTCTGTCTGTCTGTCTATCGATCTGTCTGTCTTTCTGTCTGTCTATCTGTCTAGCCATCTATCTATCTATCTCATCTACCCAGCTGGCCCCTCTCTCTCTCTCTTTCATCTAATTACCTATCTATCTATCTATCTATCTACCTACCTGTCTATCTCCCTCTCCCTTTCATCTCTCTATCTGTCTAGCTGTCTACCTGTCTATCTGTGTTGCAGTGTCATTCAGTGTAATGTAGTGTGGTGTAATGTAATTTAGTGTAGTGGAGTGTGCTGGAGGAGTAACGTACTGTAATGTAGTGTGACTTCGAAGTGTGCTTCGCGCCACAACGGCGTACACTTTTTTTCAACATCTGAACCTCCAAAAATTGTCCGAAACCCTAGTGTTTTGTACATTTTGACTTCGAAATGTGCTTCGCGCCACAACGGCGTACACTTTTTCGACATCTGAACCTCCAAAAGTGGTCCGAGCATGGTGTGTTTTGTACATTTTGGCTTCGAAATGTGCTTCGCGCCACAACTGCGTGCACTTTTTCGACATCGCAACTTCCAAAAGTGGTCCGGACCTGGTGTGTTTTGTACATTTTGACTTGGAAATGTGCTTCGCACCACAACGGCGTGCACTTTTTCGACATCGCAACTTCCAAAAGTGGTCCGACAATGGTGTGCTTTGTACATTTTGACTTGGAAATGTACTTCGCGCCACAACGGCGTGCGCTTTTTTGACATCTCAACTTCCAAAAGTGGTCCGAGACCGCCAGTTTTTAACACTTTTGACTTCGAAATGTGCTTCGCGCCACAATGGCGCGCAATTTTTCATCGCTCCTGTGGCCACCTGGCTCCGCACCCGCCGCTTTAGCGAGCTTACTTTTCGACCCTCCGGAGCCACAAATCATTGGAAAAACACAGTGTTTCGCGACTTTCCTACCTTTTCGCGCATCTGTATCTTCTGTCTTCTTACTCTTTCTCTTCTGATCTTCTCTCTTCTAATCTTCCTCTTCTCTCTGCCTCTGCCCTGCTCTGCTTTTCATCTCTCCATATTGTCGGAAGTTTGACTTCTAAACTTCCTTCGAATAGCTCAAAGTTCACCAAATCGGTACTGTATTGTTCAAAAAAAAACATCCCATATAATTCATATAATCCCCATTTAATTTGGCCAGTGTTTGATACAATACGTGACCAACCATTTAATTTGGCGTCAAAAAGTGTCCAGTGTCCAGTAGCCTCACAAACAGGGCAACGGTGAAGTCTCGGTGCTCGATGGTGTCCCAATATTTTTGTTTGTATTTCTGGTCGCTCAAAACGTTATGGTTTTTAAACGTTGAAAAACCATGGTAAAATCCAATGTACCCTCTGGTAAACTAACATGGCTATGGAAAATCACCATTTTTATTGGGAAAACTCACTATAAATGGCCATGTTCAATAGCTATGTTAAATTACCAGAGGGTAAACACTGTAAACTGTAGAAACTCCCCATGGAAACACCGTGAAATCCGCGCCGTTTTTGTTGTTTCCAGCAACTCACTGGACTCTGCCACTCGGCCTCGCCAAAGCCCAAGGACTCCTGGATCTCTTGCGGCCGCAAAGCCTCAAGGGCCTGGGATTCATCTCCATATTTATCTAGGTACCCTCTGGTTATGTCAAAATAGCTATTGAAAATGGCCATTTATAGTGAGTTTTCCCAATAAAAATGGTGATTTTCCATAGTTATGTTAGTTTACCAGAGGGTAAATGAAATAATATTTCACTACCCTGAATTGTTGGGCCATAAAAGGGGATGATTCCCCGTATACTAAATATAATTATAGTGAGGGAGAACGACGTGAGGTCGTGATGAAATTTACCCAGATATTTATGTAGAGATGAGATATTTAGATATAGCATGATATAGCTGTATGAATGCTGTATGAAAACTAATATCTAATCAACATGAATTCACCCTAAGCATCCCTAAGCTATGAAAGTAAATAATGTTTAATATATTTTAATATGATATATGTGGATTTGTAGCTAGGGCCATAAATGTATAGGTAGTTAGATAGATGGATAATGATGGATAGATAGGTTTTCAAGATGTACAGTTTCATATAAGGTCAGTGTCCACCGCGTCATCCTCCATGTAGTGGGAAAGCAAATGGTTGCGGCAATTTGTACACTCCCAAACGCATGCAAATCGTCAATTCCGGAAACGCCAAGGGGTGGGTCCATATTGTTTGAGGCAAAAGCTAACAGGTTTGTCTCGATTTGTCTCGTGGAATGGCGTTTTCTGTTTCTCTGCTTGGTTGCAAATTTGATGATTTGTCCAGTGGCTGCTTGCGCGGTTGGTCGTACCAGAAATAGCTGGCAATCTTCAGTGACTTCAGTGTGCCAAGGTCGGTACAGTTACAAAACGATCCAATATCTAGAACGCACTGCAAGACTAGGTGACTAGGGACATGTTTTGAAAAATTTCTATCCCAGGTTGATCCAGCAGGAATCCAGAAAAAATCCCTCCAGCCGCCTGTTTCGTTGCAGCAGCTTGGGATTTTTGCACTCCTCGAGCCAGAGCCTCGCAGAACCTGTAGCGCCACATGTGTTGCTGCTCCTCTTCTTGAACAAGAATCTGCCCCTGGTGAAATGTTTCCCGGTATTTCGGGAGAACAGTAATGTGGTAAACCCAATACACTGTTAGTAAAGCAATACGAAACACTACCCATATGTTGCATTTTTTTGCTGCTAGCGGTAAAATTGGGGATGGCGGATTCCGAATCCGATTGCTTTATATATATCTACGATCTGCAGGAAACTGAGCCACAAACTTTCTGGACTGAGCCAACTCTTTGGCCAAAGTGGCAGCCACACCATCTGAGATCTTTCCGAATTCCTGCCGCAGCTGATCAACCAACAACTGACTTGAAGGACATCTATGATCCATAGACATCATGAGTTTCATCCGTGAAAATGAGACCTCAACTGCCCCACACAACAAAGGTCATGTTTGGTGCTCAACTATCCGTTTGACACTCACCGGAAGTAAATATGCCGTCTACTGGATGCTTCAATGTTTCAATGCCATGCCAAGCCATTGAACAATGTAAATGAAACAGGAGTCCTAGTACCTAAAATCATCTAAAATCCACATGTTCCATCTCCATCCATTCAAAGATGACGATCATGACGTTTAAAGTTCAATGGATTATGGTCCTACTAAAATTGGTGGATGGGTACACCTAACATAGATAGCCCCACCAGCCTTGGACAGCTGAGAAGCCATGCTCGCCGCAGACGTCTCTGCCCATGCATCGCTGGCCTGTGGGGAGTGAGACCATGGATGAAGCAGTTACAGTAGGATCAAGAATGTCTTGGAAAAAATGGAGGGGTCGGTTTGGTATACCATGCATTAGCATTAGTATGTTCATTCCCATTTTCCTATAGTGATTCTTGTGTGGGGAGACCCCTCGCCTCTAATCAACCAAGCAGCAGAAGAAAAAAAAAGTGTTAGGAACCATCTTTGGGTGACAGGTGGTAACAGATTGACCCCCCATCTTTCAAGGCTTCTCCCGCATGACTTGGGTGGGTGCCGATCAACCATTGAAATGGGTCGGTTACGGTCGGCTTGACAAACAATAAGCCATCCAGCTTTGGGGGCGAAGTTTGAGCCGAACTACTTCCATGCACAACATACCAAGTCCGTCCCAGGGGTCCCAGCTGTTCGAAAAAAAGCTTCTGCTCTCCAAAAGGGTCGTGTACAACATCAGGTATCCCAATTCGATACCATGATATACATCCCAAATCTTGTCCCCCACATCACTTCCTCTCCGCGACCAGTGGGAAGTCTTCGAATTGATCGGTGTCATCCTTGTAATGCTGGGATCTGGCTTCACCAAAGGCTTCTCCGTGGAATGTTTCGAAATGTTTCGAATACCACACAAACACGGAGCTGGTCACGAGGCGAAAATACTGGCGATGCGTATCTTCCTTCAAAGGAACAGGCTCATGGGGCGTCGCATCGCTCATCCAATACAATCTCTGGGCCTTGGCGGCTCCAGACCCCAACGCCTGACGCATGTGTTCCCCCCAAGGAGCCACAAACCTCCGCTGGATCGAAACAAAGGTGTCCCAAAACCTGGCAGACTTCTCGTGGCCGTGTAGATATCCAACCGGGGATCCACTTGGTGCCGTCCGAGGGGTCGTCCTATCTGATCCTGGTCCACATCTTCATGAAATTCAAGTATCGGAGGTACCTCCTTGGGTTCTTTCGCTTTGAATTCTGCTAGCCCAGCGCCCCACCGGGCTCCGATAGATGCAATGCACCGGCTGCAGGAGCACCGTGAGGTCGGAGGATTTGTCAATCACAGAAAAGCCACGGAGCAGGTAAATATCATCTATACCATCTTGGAACCACTGTTCCATATTTTGGTTGTTAATTAGTACAGAAAACAGGGGATATTTGAAATCACAGGTGACACTTCTGGCGATGCTGATGGCTAACTTATTGTCGTTATTAGTACTGCAGTACTGCTATAGTTATTACTATGCATGCTCATTGGTATTGTCATTATCATCATTATCATTGTCATTACTGTTCTCATTACTATTATCATTACGATTATCAGTATATATATATATTGTTCTTCTTATCACTATCATTCTATAATTCATGTTACTATAGTAAGTGTTATTATTGCTAATTACTATCAGTGATATTTTTACGTGGTGATCATGCCATATCATCGTTGCGAAAAAATGATCATTATCATATCATTGTCGTTACTATCATCACTACCCTCTGGTAAATTAACATAGACCCTGGCAGATAGGGGTTGGAAGATTAGTTTCCATTAAACATTGGTGATTTTCAGGGTCCAACTGTTTATTTACCAGAGGGTACCATTCTCGAATTGATGACATGATCGCCATGGCACACGTCATGCTGATGTCCAGCCCAGCTGCCCTGGGCCTGTCTCGCCGCTGCCTGCAGACTCTTCTCGCTGGCAGCTTGCACCTCCGAAGCGGATGAAAGAAATAGCAATCGAAATTGGCAGTAGCTGTAATAGGTTTAATATGGTTTAATCATTAGAATAGTTTTAACACTTATCATAGTCTTTTCATATGGTACAAGCACAAGTTATATTAAATAGTAGTCAGCAATTTCCCGCGATAGTTATCAAATATGTTATCATGATAATTCGCAGTAATAATAGTGCCATAATGTCTATCCAAAGATTGACATTGCGCTTCCGTTTTTCGCTTCATTCAAAGTGGATTGGATCTCGCACCTCACGCACTTCCTTGACCTTGGCCAGCACCTCGCTGCCAGTGGAGGCGTAACCAAGATTTAAAAGAAAATACCACTTCTGAGCATATGGCTGGGTGCGTCTTAAAATGGAGTATATTATTTATATATATATATATGATATGATATGACATATATATATATACATATATATATAATGATATATATATATAAGTATATGATATAATATATATATATAGCCATTCGAATTGGGAAGATGATGGTCCAGGAAACATGGGACTTTGAACATAAGCCTATTTAAAATCCAATCCTATGAGGCGATTTTGTCCTCCGCGCCTTGATGACTTCAGCGTATGGCGTAACGACCAAAGAATTTGTGATGAAGCCCCCAACCAGAGTAAACCGGCCATTCCCAGAACCACAAGAAAAGATACCCTCTGGTAAACTAACATAGCTATTGAAAATGGCCATTTATAGTGGATTTTCCCATTAATAATGGTGATTTTCCATAGCTATGTTAAATTACCAGAGGGTAAGGGGACACAAAGAACAAAATGCAAAGAATATTAAGAATATAGAAAGCTGAAGGGGGAACGCAACAGGGAAGCAAGCAAAAGAATAGTTGCCTGTTCTGCTTGCAAATGTTGCTAGCCTCTGGCATTCAATGGAACATCCCCAAATTATCGATTATTTTCCAATTGAGACCTCCATTCATAGAGGATTTCACAGCTAGCCATGTTTGATGACACCGGAGGTTTATGGGTCCTTGGGGCCTAGGTCTGACCTGCCTGGTTGAGCACCTCATTCTCCATGCCAGACTTCCTGAATCGATTTTTGGCTGAAAACAGCTTCAAGCAACGGATGCGGATGGGTCAAAGTTCGTACTTCAAGAAATTGGAAGACCAGTTGGACATAATGTGGTCTGGACAAGTTGTACTGGACAAAAGCATAATGAAGTACAACTGGTCTGGATATGAAGTTATTGCAACTGGATATATGACAAGTTCTTAATGTGTTTTTTTCAAATATCCAGTTGGACAACCAGCATGTTGTGAATTTCCGAATTTAATGGCTATTCACTAACCTTTGACCCCGAAGCCGCGGACCCCAAAAAGCGCCAAGATGCCCGCGGCTCTTCGCTACCTCGGAGACAATCCTTTCCGCCAAGTCTGCCTTCCTGGCCGTTGAGTCTCCACTGAAATATGTCCCACCACTTTGCCGAAGCACAACGGGCGAGGATTTTGGTGTGCCCATTAAAAATGGTGATTTTCCACTATAAATGGTGATTTTCCCATTAAAACTGGTGATTTTCAAATTTGGCTACCACAGGTCTCGCCTCTTCTCGAGTCCCTTGACAAAGGATGCAGCGATCTGTTTCCTCGGTGGTTTCTAAGCCGTCATCGAATTCGATGGTCCCTGCTGAACGGCTCACACACTGTTGAAAAACATCATCAGCACATAGATCACATAGTATTGTTCCACACCTTTGCACCAAGTTGCACGAACTCTTTGTCCACCACATCATGTTTTTGCGCAGAGCTGCTCGCAGCCTTGGTCACACGGTTGCTAAAAACACAATTAAACTGGTGCCACTGACAAACTAGGAAAGAGTTGAAAAACAAAATAAACGAACAAAGTTGGACTTGGACAAACATCTATACAGGTTGGATGCTACACTTTCTGCTGAGGCACTTAGGAAATGGAACATAGTGCAAAATCATACTGCAACGAGCAAAAGGATGTCTTCCAATATAGGTAGCAAAGACTGTGCAACTGGGGTGCTTCACGGATATTTTGACGCTTGTCAAACCACACGAACGTCACAGGGTAAGTGATGTGTTTGGTGTAAATCTGGAGGACAAGGTCAACGTCTTGAATTCTCACTCCAAAAAGAATCAAAAATAACGGTTGTGCCAGTTGTCCCATCGTCCAGTGTCAGGTGTGTCAGGCAGTTCATCTCCCATGAGCTTCAGACCGCCTCAGGTTCTTCGGCCTCCTCGCCCTCATCATGGCCTTTGAAGCCGTTCACCTCACAGGCTGTGGAGTCGCAGAACGAGGCTTTGGGATGGAAAACTCAAGAGCCTGTGGAGATACCTCTGGAGACTGCTCCTGGGGCGGAGTGGAACGGAAAATCGATGAAAATCGGGGCCGCCGAATGACTCTTCCCACCATCTGTCTGTGCTGGGAATAATCGAAATTTGGTGTGCTTAGATCACTCGGCGCACTCCAGTCCTCCGGGGTCTTCTGCTCTGGAGGCTTGACTTCCACTTTGAGTTTCTGCTCTGGAGGCTTGACTTCCACTTTGAGCTTTGCCTCCTGGAGCACTTTCCACCGGCATAGTCATCTCAAATATCATGTGCAAACTGGTCATTTCACGGCTAACAGCCACACGCAACAGGACCTGCGGTCGCACCATATTTTCTGGAAGTTGGTGGACCACAATATTCCATTTTCCATCCTGACAGCTCCAATCTGCGACAGTCGGTGTGGGAAGGTCTTGCTGCATTTGCTGCTGCTGTTTTCGACCAGATTTTGGCCTGATCGACCGCGCGAGTCGCTCGATAGAGGAACAAATCCTTGATTGTCTTCTTCAGCGAAAGCGCTGTCCTTATGGCATCGTCCATGGCATCGTTCGAAAAATTTCTGCGACCCAGCAGACGGAGAGGCAGAAAATTGCTGAAAGGGCTATCATCAACCTCCAGAATTAATGAAAAAATAGATAGTTCATGATAGTTCTAAATCAAGCGATCCTCAAGAAACCACCTGGTAGACACCAAAAATGGATCGGAATTTTGATCACCGTTTCACACCTCCCAGAACCTTAAGTGCCCGGGCATGAGAGCATGATGGCTACAAGGTGCACAAGCTCCAAAACGCTGGGCGAAAGGAAAAGCGATCCTGCCAGCCATAGGAACCAGCAGAATTCACCGGAAGCCGCAAGATATTTCACCAGATGATGGTTATCTAGGGGAATTATGGGGAAATCATTTTATAGATCATGACACCTTATCGTATGGTTATCTAGGGGAATTCATGGTAAATAGATCATGACATCTTATTTTTGGTTAATGAACCAGATGATCATAGCCCTTAACCAACACCTCTCGAGGGTCTCGGTGAAATCTGGGTGTCTCCTGGAGGAAGTCGACCAGCCCTGGACCAGCGGCAGCAATATGAAGCAATTGCGGTTCGTGAAGCTCGCGGCCAGCGTGCGGTGCCTCTCAGTTTGCTGTTCGCGAAAAGTTCAGTTTCTTCGGGAAATCATCAACTATATCAACTGGATCCCATGAATTTCACTTTTTGAGTTGGGTTGGTTGAGTGTAGCCGCGTAGCCCCAAAACTGGATCCAGTTTAGCCCCAGTGAACTTCGCCCGGAGACAAAACCCGCCGGGCTCACTCGGTTTTGTCCACCTCCAAGCGTGCAATGGCGCTGGAACCTGAGCCAATGACTTTCGTAGGTGGTTAAGATTTGAGGATGGGATAAGTCTTGACAGTCATTATCTGATTGGAAACCATCAAATCACTATCTATATCTATGGGAAATATCAGTTCATTATCTGATTGGTAACAATTAACAATCATAATGATGATAAATGGCAGTAAATTGTAAGATACTATAATGACATATAATGACAATCACTTCAGAATGGTGATGATCAGACCCACCTGCAGGAGCCAAGCGAAGTAATTGCATCAAGGGTCCCACCTGGCAGTCAGGTGCCATGGGGATTCCCAGTTCATTGGCTAGTCATTGGGTATGTACATAACCAACCACCAACCAACAACGCCCGGCCGGGTCGTAAACACGCGCGTTCCAGAAACGTCTTGGGCACCATTTTGTTCTTTGGAAGTTGTACATCGTAGGATCACATATTCATCTTAGTTTCCAAACACACATATGGCCAACCGTTCCCCGATAGAAGTAAGCATTTACTGTATATAAAACAGTTTCGTATTGTTTTAAAACATACTTCTCCATCCAAGATGCAACTTAACATTAAACGTACTACCCCCAAACCCCATGACGTAACGTAGAACATCTCTAGCAAAACACATCCCCCATGTACAGGTTAACATGAGACATACTACCCCAAACCCATGACGCAACGCAGAACCCCTCAGAAAAACACATTCGTGACGTAAGACCCATGGTACAAGTTAACATGAGACGTGAGTGCAAGTGCCTAGGAACGTTATTAGCCCCCGACCCCACCACACCCCACCCCACCCCATCTATAACGTAGCAGGTGAGTGCAAGTGCCAAATGACGTTATTGCTCCACCCACACCACCCCAAAACGTGGCATACGTGGAGGGTGCGCGAGGGGCCACGGTTCCCCTGGTTGTCGGGGGAAACACGCGTTTTCAGCCCGAAGAATATCTGATGGGATTCTACTGGATTATTTGTTAAGAATAGGGTTGGAAATATTGTGATAATCTCCAATGTATAAAGGGTAGAATATGGCAGTATAACTCCCTACAGTCATTCCCCTGTCATGCTCTGCCTACAAAAGCATGGGATCCACAGCATTGGCTTACTAACACGTAATCTGCCTGCAAGCATCGAAACAACACTAAACCTTTGCCTATCGGGCCTATCTCCAAAAAGATTTGATAGTATTTGATGCTTCAAGTCATATATATATGTATATATATAGAGGCTATATATATATATAGGCTATATTATGGCTATATACTGTTTGACCAAATATTCTTGCTGCTCACAGCCCAGCACTGGACCCTGGATCCCCTGGGACACCCTGACGGGCGAAGGGCTTCTTGGACTGAAGCTGTAGACCCGGAGGTCGCAACCACTGGCCGATGCCAGCACCAAGGCCTGGCCAGCTTGCTGGCCAGGAATAAGGGCTCTCAAAAAATGTCCCGGATCAACAGAATGTGACTTGGGCTGATGAAAAATCAATATCAACATGGATATCATCATGGATATCATCATGATATGATTGCAATGATATGATATCATCAACCAAGCCGTATCATGATCAAAACATTGGAAAAAATTTGTTGGCCCTCCAAATCCTCAAGGTTCATCGGCTTGTTCTTTTTCGATGAAAAAAAACGGTAAAATCGCTGGAGATTCCCAGCGCCTGAACATCTTTGGTGCCAACAAAGCGCAACATCTCGGGATGCTCGGGGAAGTCCTGGAGTCGAGTTCGCCACGAGTTCAACTCCTGTGATCTACAGCAGACAAAAAGCCTTTGTAGCAACCAACTGGGATTCAATGGTGATTTAATGGTGTTTTAATGGGATTGAATGGGATTTAATGGTGATTTAATGGTGTTTTAATGGTGTTTTAATGGGATTTAATGGGATTTAATGGGATTTAATGGGATTCAATGGTTTATGAAGATGGAAGAAGTATGGTAAGAAACTATGCTGCTCCATGTTCTTTGGGTGTGGGCGAATTCCCAAACTTGAAAAAGTTGAAACCATCGGCAGGGCCTCATCACTTTGGATGGCCAACTGCTGGATGAGCTGCAGACCTGAGGAATGTGGGCTCCCCAGAAAGTCAACAGGAAAGTCATGTAGCATTTTACCTTGTGTATTGAATTCTATTGGAACCCAAAAAACAAAAACAACAAACGGCATCCCTTTGAGCTGCCTGGACGCTCGCTTTCCTGGCGTTTCCACACCATGAGGCTGCCCTGGCGCAGTCAAAGGACCAAGAAAACACAGAGCTCAGCAACATCATCTGAAAATGGTGACTTTCCCAGATCTGTAGTGCCTCCTGACTGAAACACCCCAGTCGAATGCTCAGTTCACCCTCTGTCATCTCCAGACCTACTGGTTGTTTCCCAGGCTTCTCTAATATCGGATTTTTTCTTTATCCCCATGAAAAACTACTTGGTACAAGCCCACTACTACTGACAATCATTTCTGGTTTGGAGCTCCTGTTGGTGAAGTCACCTGTTTTCATGTTTAGTTCACAAGCCACTAGGAATTTCGTTCTAGGTCAGCCTTTACTCCTGCTGTTTCAACACCCTGGAAACTTGGAGATCATCATACCAAATCGGAAATCATATTAATATTAAGAGATAAAGACTTCGTAGCCGTACCCGAGCAAAACCTACTATGATACCAAATATTATATTATATTTTATTTTATTGTATTCTATTATATTATATTATATTATGTTAAATTATATTGTATTATATTATATTGTACTACTTTATATTATATTATATTATACTATACTATACTATATTTATATTATATTATATTATATTATACTATATTATCTTATACTATATATATATTATATTGTATTATACTATATATATTATATTGTATTATACTATATATATATATTATAAATTAAATCATCATATATCATATTATATTAAATTACATTGTCATATTATATGATTTCTTATTTATTATATAATATTTTTATATTATTACATTCTTAAAGTATATTATATTATATTACATTATATTATATTTTATACTACTTTATATATTATACAAAATATATTATATTATATACTATATTATATATTATATTTTAAAAAAAATATCATGTATTCTATTATATTGAATAATATTTTATATAATATGTTATATAATATATTATATTATGTATTAAATATTATATATTATATCTTATAGTTTATATTTTATTATATTATATATTATATTATATTATATTGTATTATATTATATTATATTATATTATTTTATATTATTTTATATATTATCTGTTATATTTTATTATATATTATATATTACATTATATATATTACATTATATCATATATCATATATCATATATCATATATTATATATTATATATAATATATTATCTACTATATATTATCTATTATATTATATATTATATCATATCATACATTATATTTTATATCATCTTATACATTCTATATTATATTATATTTTATTTTGTATATTATATTTTATTATATTATATTATATTGTATATTATATTGTATATTATATATTATATATTGTATATTACATATTATATATTATATATTATATATTATATATATATTATATTATATATTATATATTATATTATATTAAAAAATATTATATATTAAATATGTTTTATGCTATATTTCATATTTTATATCATACATTTTATATTATATTATATTATACATTATATTATATATTATATATTATTACATTTTATTATATATTATATCATATCATACATTATATTTTATATCATCTTATACATTCTATATTATATTATATTTTATTTTGTATATTTTATTATATTATATTATATTGTATATTATATTGTATATTATATATTATATATTGTATATTACATATTATATATTATATATTATATATTATATATTATATATTATATATTATATATTATATTATACATTATATTATATATTAAATATGTTTTATGCTATATTTCATATTTTATGATATATTATTTGATATTATACATTATATATGTTATGATCATATATTAGAGCTTATATTATCATAGATTATATTATATATTCTCTTTTATATCATATTTTGTATTGTATTATATATTATATTAATTATTTCATTATATATTATATTATATATTATTCATTCAAAATTATATTGTATATTAAATTATATGTTATTTGAGATATTATATGAGATATTGTCATCTGCATTATATTCTATATTATTTTATATATTGTATTGTATATTATATTTTTATATTATACTATATAGTATATATCATATTGTGTAGTTTATATATTATATATTATATATTATATATTATATATTATATATTATATATTATATATTTTATATTATATTATATTATATTACTATATAGTTTTTATTATTATAGTATATTACCTTATATTGTATATTATTTAATTATCATTGTATATGATTATATATATATATTATTTAATTATATACAATTATATATATATATATGATCATATCAATGTATATATATATATTTATATTTAACTATTCAATTATATATATGTAATTATATATAACTATTTAATTATATATATAATTATATTTATACTATTGAAAAACATGTGCGGACACAAACTATTTTGGTGTTCACTGGGCGCTGGTCAAGTTTTGATTTGATCCATATCCATTCTGCTGTGCTTCAAAACTGAGGCACTAATAAGCTGGTTCCGTGGCTTGCTGCAAAATCGCTATATTTTTTGGAACCGATGGGATGTTCCCAGCGAAAAAAACCTCCATTTATGGTGGATTCTGACATTTGTTCCTATGATTTTCATGGGTCATTAAATGTCCCCATTAAACATTACCCAACCATTGGGTATATGGTCTATAATGGCTACTATAAGGTGATGTCCAATATACCCAAAATGGGACTGTTACACCAACCCCTGATTTTTCCCATGAAAACTTCCATTTCTGCAGGCGTTTTTGACGCCCCTGAGTTCATCACCTTTGTGAGTGCCAGCAGGCACGTGCCATCAATGGAGAAGGCAACGTCATGCGCTGGAGCCTGGCGTCAAAGAAACATGCCGAAAACACGTTCCATACCCTCTGGTAAACTAACATAGCTATGGAAAATCACCATTTTTAATGGGAAAATCCACTATAAATGAGCCATTTTCCATAGCTATGTTAGTTTACCAGAGGGTAGCTGCTAGTGATTCACATTCATCCAACAAGAACCGATGGTCCAAGATGATGTGACCCCCCTGCGAACCCCAACAACGACCCCGCGCCGGTAGAGGGACGCTACAGCAGCATCGCTGCAGCTGCGGCGCAGTTGGATGCAAGGTAGTACCCATCGAAATCTCCTGCCACCGATGTGCCCATTGCATCCGATTGCCATGATCCAAGGATCCATGAGTTTGATATCGTTCGATGATTGCAGGTCATGTGTCACCCAGAAAAAACAGTCTTACATGAGTCTCGAAGTAGCTTCTGGACAGGGTGAAATAGAATATGATGGAATCTGTTACACCAGATCTTGCTCCTGTTGGGAATCTGCAGGTTGCTCTAGGCCAGATTTGGGTGGTTGGTCCCCATGATGGACGGCTGCGGCACCGTGCCCGCCGTGCCTGTTTGATTTGAGGCAACGACCATAGTCTCAGGCTGGAAGCGTGAATGGTCACGAACCACCGGCTGTCCTGGTGGACATGTCATGACAGTTGCATCCTGAGAAGTTTAGGGGCTGGAATGCGCCACATGCCCTTCCCAGTTTTGTGTCGTTGGGATTTGGTCTTTGAAGATGCGACATCTTCGGTTGTTCGAGCACACAGCCACGTCAACCCGGTGACCGTCTCTGGATGTCCATCTGGACTGCCAGTGTCATGGGGGGTCTAAGCCTCTGCACTTTGAACTGGTAACCTACAGGAATGTATGGAGTTTGTTCATCAAAATCTAGAGCACCTCCATATTATCAGTATGTTTCCTCCTTTTGCACCAAGTCTGAGACAAGAAACGAAGAAAAAATCACACCATGTGAGCTTCGAATCGAGCAGTTTAGAACCTGATTGTGCCCACTAGGGACTTAGTGCTATAAAAGTGTGACAAATCCCTGCTTCGGGCCCAGATCATACTCTTGGTCTTCTGTGTATAGATAATATATATATACATACATATAACATTTGCATATATATATATATAGAGAGAGAGAGAGATTACAAATTATATGTATATAATAAAATATAATACATAAAACAAAATAGAATAAAATAAAATATAATATGATACAATATAATATAATGTAATATGATATAATACAATATGATATAATGTAATATGATATAATATAATATGATATAATATGATATAATATAATATGATATAATATGATATAATATAATATAATTTGATATAATATAATATTACATAATATAATATGATATAATATAATATGATATAATATAATATGATATAAAATAATATAATAGATAAATAGTATATATAACATGTAATATAATATAATATAATAGATAAATAGTATATATATATATATACTATTTGTATGACAAGACTCACTTTTTCGATATATCCCCAGCACCTAAACCCTTCTCTCCTGCGGCTGCAGGATGACCCGCTGGGGCATGTCCACCTCTCGCAGGGCCACTTCCAACCAGCGCCTCAGAAATCTCAGGCTATCACCAATTCTGATGGATGATCATAATTACTATTACTATTACTATATTATGATGATTATTATTATTACTATGATTATACTATTATTATTACTATGATTATTATGATTATTATTACTATTATTATTACTATAATATAAAGTAATTATATATTATTTGTTCTCCTTTGTAACTATATCTATTGCTATTCCTACTATGATCCCAACAAATCACAAGCCCAGCCGGGCGGCGTTCGCTCTGTGCCGCTGCTGCCGGCTTCCACGACCTCCAGCTCAAAGATGGTGATGTTGCCCTCTTCGTCCAAGCCTAAAAAAGGGGTTTCCTGGTACCCCAAGTGTCCAAGTGATTGAAGTTACCCTCTGGTTATGTCAAAATAGCTATTGAAAATGACCATTTATAGTGGATTTTCCCATTAAAAATGGTGATTTTCCATAGCTATGTTAAATTGCCAGAGGGTATGATCAATGGGAAAACCAATGGCTTGGGGTACCTATATTTTTTATAGGAAAGCAATGGCGAAACAGCATTTCGTGTTTCGAAAATCTTGGCGAAGCTGGGGCATCGTAGACCCTGTGGACAGGCCAGCCCCGTCTGAGAAGCAAACACAGCAGGAGGGTGTCAGGGTAATCATTGACCTCACGAGCTGCACGAGCGGAGGATGATTCTCTCTGGCAGAACAACGGAAAAATCCACACAACTCTTGTGACAGAGATCTCTAGACTCGAAATAAACTACAGAATCGTGTGGAAAGGTATGAAAATTATATATATCCTCTAATAAACCATCCAGTCATCACCACGTTTATAGGTGGTATAAACTTACCATTCCCGGTCATGGCTGGTTTATGGTTTTCAATGAAAAAAAAACATAGAAAAACATCCGACTCGTCGAGCGACAGTCACATCTGCCGTCAATGCCAAGTCAACGATCCGAGCCTGTCATGACTGGCGACAGCGGAGCAGTTGACTGGCGACCCCTGTTGGTTGATGATTAGTTCGAGGGTTATATAGTTATGTCATGTTATATTATTATACATTGAATATATATGTATATTATTATATATATATATTGTAAATCCAAAAAACAATCCATTCTAGTACTATCCATTGCTCTCCACTGTGGGGACTGTCACAATCCAACCGCAAATCGGCCGTTTGGGTTGGTGGTTTGCTGTTGTGGAAAATGCTTCTGTCTGTCATTCCAGTGCAAAAGAGAGGGTGAAGTGAAAATCGAATCGCATAATCAGTTCTATAGTCACTGGTACCTCAACTCACAGGAAAATCCATCGCTTGCCTATCAGGACCTAGGTATTTCATGGTATTTCATGGTATTTTGCCATAGGATGGTCAACTCCGGATCGCCTTGGAGGCATTGGACAGCTTGAAGTGATCCTGCCCAGGTTTCAATGCCAAGCGGTTTTTCTGGGGCGCTGGGCTTGCGATGACCGCGGTGTCCTTGGCACTCTGGTTGATCACCCGAATGGAGCCCTCCTTGAAGGCATAGATCACATAGCCTGGCTCCGTGACGGACAGATCAACCGGAACAGCACAGATTTCAGGCAAGCGACTGGGATTGGAGGCCAACATCTTTGCATTGGGCAGCGTCTCAAAGAAATTCTTCGTCAGCCTGGCGATTTCGCGATTTCTGGGACTCAAAAGCCTGAGACTGTTCTCCACTCACTGGAGGATCCGCGCTTGCTGATGTCGGTCACATTGCTCAGGCTCAGATCCTGGCAAAGGCAAGATGTAGCTATGAACTTTGGGAGTTATGCTTGGTGGCACTCGAGTGCTTCAAAACATTGACAACAAAAACCCATCAAAATGGACACCGCTTCTCTGGATGAGTCTGATCAGGGTAACATCGCTGTCTCTGCAAATTGTAAAATTGTAGAAGCATCAGTTGGTGGACAGCCATCACTAGCTCATTGGACTCCCCTATTGATGGATTCATCTTCCAAAAAAGGTTGTTTGTGCATGTTAGGCCTCTTCTACAAATGGGCTCGTAGGGGCAACCCCCAAGACTATTTATCATCACTTTCCCCATTATAGACTTGCCATAAATGGAGGTTAAATCATGTTAAATCCTCATTTTTTAGACACAGAAGTTTCATGGGGATGGGTCAAAACCCTTCTGTCCCTTCTGTTCACCCCAAGTCATAGCTGGGATTTATGGATGTTCATCCCACTAAAATATGGTATCTATAGGTATTGACCCATACCCAAATGTCCATCCTGTCCATCCTGTCCATCCTGTCCATCCTGGGTCCCCATTGGCCACCTCTTTGGTCACTTCTGCATCTGCCGCAGTGCAGATCGACGAGCTCGAAACGAAGCTGGCGGCCATGGGAGGCTTTCAACGAGGCGCTCAACGAATCTGAGACATCTGTGATCACTGTTACCACTGGATGCCACTGGCTATTTCACTTCATTAATTAAGGTATCTAAGCTCTCAAGTCCCCTTAAAATCATCCAAAATCCCCAAATGGATCCTTAAATGGTGGGTGGTTACGTCCTGAATCTTGCTGGGAAGTTCCCTAAAGTTTGATACTTTGATGCTCGAACCCTGCGTTGCCTCCATCTGCCGCGGCCGCTATGCTCGGCCAGGGTGCTCTGAGCCAGGCCTTGCATTCGGGGATGGAAAAAATGGTTTTGGGGAAACACCAGAAACACCACATTTTCATGGATCCAAAGAAAAAATCATATAGTCAGTTGAGATGATTGTTCCCAATATATGGAAAAATACAAGCCATGTTCCAAACCACCAGAATAGGATTATGGATGATTGACGGCATTTCCCCAGAGATTCAAGCTGAATCCCCAGAGATCCAAGCTGACACCAGGACGGATCGTCGCGCCTTTGGTCGCTAACAGACCTGGATGGCCCACCACCATCACCATGGCACACACTGGTTAGGCTTTGCTGAAAACCTTGGCATAGTTTGAAACATGTTGAAACATGGCTTGGATTCACCGAAGGCCCAAAAAAACGGTTCCTGGCTTCACTCTGCTGTGGAAACTCGAAAAACTTGAGGTCCAAATCACAGGAAACTGGCTTCAACTCTGGATGTTTTCGTTGGTGCTAGGTTTGTTGGTGCCCTGGCTGTCGATGTTCAAAGCTGGAGCCACAATTGCAGCATGGGGACAAGCGTGAAGGCAGGAGTACATCATCTGTTTGTACATATATATATATATATATACATATACATATATATATATGTATGTATGTATGTATGTAGGTAGGTATGTATGAATGTATATATATATATAGAATCCTGGTGCCTTGCTGAACGTCCCACAAAAAAACATATTCGTTGGCGTTTTGCTCTGTGTTTTCGCGCTGTGCTTTCGCCCCGTGCTTTCGCGTACCTTTTTGCAACCAGTGCGACGAGTTACGTTGTGCTGCGACTTTGTCAGCCAAGGGCCCAAGCGCCTATGAGATAGCCTGGCAGCAGATCAGCAGTTAGATAGGCTTAATAGGCTTAATTTGTCTGGTTTTGCCCAGTGGTTTGGCCTGCGGTGACAAGGAGCACCGCCAGGGTGATGGTGGTGGGAATACCGGCCTTGGATGGCCAGCTATGGCACCAAAAGGAGCTCCAACTGCCTGACTCATTTTTTTCCACTTTTCTTACAGGATGCCAAGTGATTCTTGGTAAACAAGACCGTCCGCTACAAGCACAGGAAATCGCCCCCAAGTGGCCACCAGAAAATTCTTCACCGACAGCCACGGTTTTCCCAAATCATCCGCTGCCATCAGCGAATTGACCTGCGCTGCCGTCGAAGTATTCTGACAGCTTGTGTGAACGGGGTCTGTCCCAAAAGCCTTCGCAGCACGAATCACAAACAATGAATGGACGCCCTAAAAAATTATCAATTTTAATTATTGTGGGATATTGATATGTGGATGTATATATATATATATGTGTGTGGGTTTAGATGTGTATATATATATATATATATGTGCGCGAAAATCTGAGGAAAAAGAAACACCATACAATTGCCATGAAAAACGTGAAAACAAAATGACCTGAGCGATTGCAGAAAGGATGCCCAAAACGGCGTCTTGGTGGATACAACCATACAAGCTGCTGGTCTCCAAACTTGAACCGTATCCGCAAACAACTGCAGCCAGCGCCAAGACATGCCCGAACTACATTTGGAAAGCTGGTCATCGGCAAAGCACAAGCAGTGGAGCACGCAAAGGCCTCGAGCTGCAGCCGACCCAACGAACTAACGAACTGCTACCCATAGCTGCCATAGCTGCCATAGCTATCCTGCTCTGGACACTTGAGGAGCACACGCCCAGGAGCACTGCTATTCTCTCAACTCCAGCTTCTTCACCCAGCTGCACAACCAGCGGCATCAGCACCAAAGCCGCCACCTCGCAATGCGGCGTGGTGATGTTGCTGTTGTGTCTAGGAAGTTGCGAAACCCAGCATCCTTGAGATTTCTTGCGATATCTTGAGGTATCTTGAGGCTCCAGCAGTGTGCGAAACAAAGGTTGTGGCACCCACAATGACCAGCGTGAGCTCCACAATCAGCAGCCACGGGGAAGATGAAAGCTGCCTCCAAAATTAAAGTGATCGGCTCATCTTTACACTTTTGAAGTGGTTCCACACCTGAGAAGAGGGGACGAAAGCCACGGTCAAGTTTAAACGGGGACAGGAGAGTGGAGAGCGTGGGAGGGAGTGCGGCGGGGGGTTGGGGGGGGCATGGGGGGAGGGGCGGAGGGGCTGGCGGGGTGAGGCTGTGTTGGGTGTGGGCGCGGGGAGCCCTTGGAGAGAAGGAAGGAATGTGTAGGAAGAAGGAGCGGAGGGAAGAAGTGTTGGAAAGGTCGGGAAGGATGAAGAGAGCGTAGGAGGAAGTGGAACGGGGGGCTCGTTTAAAGAGCGGACGGGGCGCAAAGGAGCCCGGAAGGGGAGAGGACGCGTCGGCGGCAGGGAAGGCAAGGAAGAAGGGGAAGCGGGCGCCTGTGGAGAAAGAAGCTCCGTGGTGTGTTTGAGAAATGAAGGGAAGGCGGGCGGGTGCTCCGTACTCGACACTTTAGAGTGTAGACTGGACATTATACACTTCAGAGTCCACAGTCGGCACTTGACAGACTAGACTGTACTACACTTTAGAGCCCTCACGCCTCACTGCACATTTGACACGCTGTACTCCACACTTTACACTGCACACTCTACATTTGACACGCTACACTGGACACTCTACACTGTACACTCCAGACTCTACACTTGCCACTGTACACCCTTCACTTCACATTTTGCCCTCTACACGTTACACTCTACATTGTACACTTGACACACTTTACGCCTGACACGCCACACACTGTACACTTGACACACTGCACTTTACACTCTACACTTTACACTCCACACTCGACGCTCGACACTGTACACACTAGACTTTACACTCGACACTCTGCACTCTACACTCCATACCGTACACGTTGCACTTTACATTTTATATTCCTGTCCTACCGCCGGGCATCAGCACCCATCGGCAACTTGCCCCCCCCCTTCCCAGCGGGCCCCCTTGCTTCGGAGCAGCTACTTAAAAGAGTATCACTCCAAATGGCCTCCCCAAGCCACGCCCTCTCTTCCCTCCAATCGAACCATATGCACCGCCAGCACTGTTTGCTGCTTGTACCAAGCATACCATGTCTATCCATGTCTCATGTCCTGCGCATGGCAACAAGCTCCCTATATGTTCGCTGAAGTTTCGTGATGATATCTGTGGACAATTTCTATCGTGAGATCATTGCGAGACATTGCGCTTGGGTGAGACTTCAAAGGCTAAAGTTGTATCGACAGCTTGCACCCTAGGTGCAGAGCTCTTGGTATTGCCTCTTTGCACCGTCCGGCTGAAATGGGGTAAAGGTTTCAACTCGCTATCTCTGAAAGGAATTTAATCTATGTACCTTTGCCGTGCCACATTTTTTGGACTTCTTGAGTTGTCAACAAATATGGAATCATCGAGTCTGTTTCGAAAAACCAAGGATCTGAATGGTCTTCACAAAGCCGAAGGGTACAATTGCGTGGTATTACAATGGTATACGGCGCTGCGTCTGAAAAAGTGAAAAATGTCCACCGAGCCATCGTCGTGAAGCCAAAACAGTCCATCACAGTCTAAAACGGTAAATCATGCTGTAAACTCAAAACAGTTGATTGCAATGGCGTTGAGGTTTCACATGGCGACTTGAAAGACTTGCATGACAATTCGCACTTCACTCCCTGTACCCATTCGCTTTCTCTCCTCCAATGGTTCCCTTTTTCCCCACATCTTCTGCTCTGACTTCATTCCGACAAGCACCTTCACCTTGCCTGGCTTCCACACTTTACACTCCACGCTCCACACTTTACACTCTACACTGTACACTTTACAACCCAGCCTCCACACTCCACACTCCACACTTTACACACTAGACTTTACACTCTACGCTTTACACTCCACACCGCACACTCTACACTTTACACACTCCACTTGACACTTTACCCTCTTCCCTCTACACACCATACTTTATACGTTGCACGTTACACTCCTCACTCCTTACTGCACACTTGACACTCCACACTCCATACTTTACACCCCACACTCTACACTTTGCACTCTACACTTTACACTCTACACTCTACACTCTACGCTTTACACACTACACTCTACACTCTACACTTACACTCCACACTCTACACTTTAAACTTTACACTTGACACTCTACACTCCCACACCTTACACCCTTCACCCTGCGGGCTCCTTTGCTTCCCAACAGCTACCTAAAAGAGCCTCACTCCACATTGCCTGCCCACGCCCCAAAGAGCCCGCCCAAGCCACCCTCTTGGCCCTCCAACTTTCCACCCATCGTACACCCCGCCCCAAAACTCCAATCCGTCCCCTTTGTTTTTTCCTTCCATTCCCTCTCTTCTTCCATTACTCTTTCCACGTTTTTCCATTGTTCTGTTCTGCTTTGACTCCATTTTTGCATCCTTTTACCCTCCATTCCACTCACCCCAAATGCACGTCAGAGGACGGACCAGGGGGGAATCGAACCCCACCGTCACCCAATTGCCACCTGGTACATGAGCCGCAAAATCGACCACGGAGCACCCTAATTAGGTGGGGAAAAGCGTCAAATGTGTTCGTTTGGAGACGACCGCCCCCCAGACCCCCTATTCTCACTTCGTTCGCAATGACCAACTTCGCCATGCTTGACAGCTGGCTTTCGTAATCAAAGACCGTGTATGGAAACTTCGAATTTAAAAGCTGTTGTATGCAAAGTTGGATGGGAAATCAGTAGTGGGGTCTCATTTGACGTATGAATACGTATGATATGTACGGGTCAGTGGGTCAAGTCATTGGGCACCCCAGAAAAAAAATTAGAAATCATATATATATATATATAGAGATCATAAGTCATAAGTAACTTAATGAAGAAGTTAATCCCAGTTAATCTGATAGCTATGGCAGTCACGCACCGCGCCCGCCCGCAAGGGCACCTCTGCACCGCATCTGTCAGCAGGTCCAGGAGACCACTTTCTTGGACTGCGAGACCTTGGGGAAACGGCTGAGAAACGTGAGCCAGATAAACAAAACTGAAATGAAATTCAATAGATTTGTGTATGTACTATGTATGTACATTGTAATATGTATTGTATGTCTGTATGTATATATATATATACATATTGATTGACTGATTGATTGATTGGTTGGTTGATTGATTGATTGATATAAATTGTGTAATAATCTATAACTATAAATGTAATAATCTATAACTATGTATATATACATACATATGTATATTATGATACTGCATAATCATGTATAAAAATGATTAATGATAATAATAATAATAGAAATGATAATGTGTTATAATGTATAATAATGTACAGTAGTGTATAATATATTCACTGTATATTGCACATTATGCGGTTCATCTTCGTCTCGCTCCAAACACTTGTAGCTGCCCTGGCTGCCCAACCTAAGGCACTGCCACCACCAATCAGGAAGAGGAGATGCCAGTTGTAGGAGTTGAAAGTTTGCCTCAGCAATGGTCGGAATGGGGGTTGAAGCAAGAGTTTTGTGCTGTTTTTCTCGAGACTTTCGCTGGGCCGGCCACCGGGAGATTCCGCCAGCACCCAAGGACAGCGCAACAAAGAGCAACGCCACAGAGGAGGTCCCGCCAACTTCCTGTGCTGCCTGCTGCCACAGAGGAGGTTTCAACATGTTTCAACCACCTTTATCTGGTTGGTGGTTTCAAACATCTTGAAAAATATTAGTCAATGGGAAGGATTATCCCATATATTGTGGAAAATAATAAATGTTCCAAACCACCAACCAGTTATGCTTTGAAAATTTGAGATTGTGCATTGCACGAACTGCATCTTTCTAAGCCCAGAACTGGCGCATATGCCTTGACAGGCGGTCAAGTTCAGGGTCATAATTAACTTGGTGCTTGTCTTCCAAAGGCCATTACAAAAAAAAACAAGTCCCAAATCCCTGCGATTGGTCAAATATTTATTTTGGACTCGGGACTCAGGGTACCATGGAATTTGGGGAACATTGTCGGTGAAACGCATCCCATGTTTCATCTGTCTTGCTTAAATCCCTGCTTGTGTTGCTGAAATCAGCCTTGTTGTTCTGTGAAGCTCCATGTTTGAGAGTTAGTCTCCATTGGTAAAATCTTCATTCTTCAATATTCTTCTTAGTTCTATCAACTGTTGCTAATTAATGCTAATTGTCAGTATCCAAATTCGCCCCTAATTTTTCGGCCAATTCCTCAAAAATTTGACCCATCCCCTGAAAGCCAAGGCTCGAAGGCGGCCAGCGTGGCGAGCGCCCCAACAAGGCCAGCCATCTTGCCATATGACAGCTCCTACCATAGGATTTTGGTATCTTATTTTCAGACCAAGCCACATCGGAAATGAGTAAAAGGTGAGGTTTCAGCTGTTTAAAACAAAGTAAAGATGCGCTCGATTGATGTTTACAATGTCTCCAGAAATGTTCAAACATGATCGAATCCCCAATGGATGAATACTGATGAATGGCTTAAGACAACATTTAAGCTAATGTTTGAAATACCGAATCCCGATTGATGAATGAAGAATGGGACATTGACCAACCTCTGAAGGTTGTTTCACCTGAATTCCAGAAGTTTTTTGTCGGGGCAAGGGTTCAGAAACAGATGTATGGGAAGAAACTGAAGAACCCAGTCCTCCTGGTCAAAAATGACAGCTGGAATCTTGCCTTGCTTCCGGGCACTACGGTGGCAGTCTCCCAATCTTTTGAGATGACACCCGACACCCTAATTAAGCTTGTTTCAAAGTGTTGTTGCAAGGTATTGTTTTTCAGTTGTTCCAATACATGTAAATAGGGGGGTCCAACTTCAAATCGACCATGGATGTTCCCTTCAATTCTGAGACACACTTGCAGCAAAAGCATCCCCTGGGGCGCAGACTTGACGAAGGACTACCAGGTCTTTGCAAACGCAAGGCCTATCCAGACAACTGCCATCCAACAGCCTTACAAAACCTCTCACGAGAAAACTGCTGGGAAAGAAATTTTTCAACACACCTGCGAATACAACTATTTCCACAGCGGAGCGGGAGTTCATTGGAATTACCATCTGGTTATTTAACAGTTTGCCATGGAAAATCACCATTTTTCAGTTCGGTAAACCATCTATTTCAATGAGCCATCTATACCATGGCTATGTTAAATAACCAGAGGGTACATGTCTTACACCGAAGTTTCCATCGGAGTTTCTGGGAAACTCCATGGCCTCAGACTCGGAGAGGTCAAAGCGGTAGACCACCAAAAGCAGCAGCCAGCACACCAGGACCGCCAAGGTGCAGAATGGGATGCTGAGGTATAGCCTACAAGCAACAAGTTTCACACTGTCACACCCTGCCATGATATATATATATATATATGTATATCATTAGAATTCATTATATATCTCTATCAATGATCATCCATCACTGGGTCGCAGTTGCTTCCGGTTCGAGGTTTGTTCATCTGTTCCAGTGTTGGACACAACTGCACACGCGAGTTCAGGTCAGTTCAGGTCTCCCAAAAGCTTTTTAGTTGGAGGTACTTAGCCTCGCCATTACTGAAGAATCTGGTTTTGTCTCAAAATAAGGTACCCAAATACCCCATGCTGTTCGTTTGTCCCACATTCTGTATATATCTGTATATTATATTAGTATAAATATCGTTTTTTCCTCTGTATCCCCACCAAACCCCCATATGTTCCCAATGGTGGAGAATTCTCACATCATCCCAACGTGATTCACGAGCGTTTTCTCAGGGGGAAACCACTCGCTCCAGGTGATGTCACGGCCATGCTGCCGCAAGGCCTGGAAACCCACGTCGGATGGGAACAGAACGAGGGATTGGGGTCACCAAATTTCCATAAAATTGGACAACTTATATAAGAAAAAAACTCTGATATGACATATATACATATATATACATAATGATAATACATAATAATATAGTATAATATTTGGGAAAATCACCTTTCTCTCAATGTGGCTTGGAAGGAAGTCCACAACTTCGACAACCCCAACTTGCACGCAACAGTGTAGGAACTGGGCACCTGTAACGATGCAACATTCTGTGGAGATGAGATTGGTGTCATCATGCCACCCACCTCAGGCCGTTTCCGGAGCTGTGCTCGCAGCTTTTGCCTGGTTGATGTTGATGGTCCCGTAAACTGGGATCATCCCATCTTAAGGTGATGGTTCTTTTGTGCTATTTTCATGGTTGGCCATTCTGGCCAACCAAAACCTCGGACTCCAAAACTCCGGGACCCCGGGCATTGCACGCAAAGGCCAAACCCAACAGCAAAGCGCGGGAATATCGACCTCGAAGGTGACTCCGAGCAATACGTCGCCAAAGATCAAAATACTGGACCATGTTGCGTCTACTTTGGAACCCCATTGCGTAAATCCCATGGTTATAAGATGTTATAATGCAGATTTTCTGACATTTTCTGGGACTTGGATGCAATGGATGCAACTCCCCCATTTGTTCAGACCCAGTGGCTATCTGTCGGCATGTCCCTCAGCAACGGCTTAAGGACTTCCACCAACAGCAGGGGTGCTGTGACCTCAAAATCAGGGGCGAGCGAAAGAACTGAATACATTGCCATCGGATGTAAAAAACAATTACTTTACTTTACTTGTGATCCCCACCGTGACAAATCATTTTGTCATTGTTTCTGACATCTCACCTGTATATCTGTATATCTGTATATCTGTATGTCTGTATGTCTGTATGTCTGTCTGTCTGTATGTCTGTGTGTCTGTCTGTCTGTCTGTCTGTATGTATGTATGTATGTATGGTATGGAATGGAATGGAATGGAATGTAGTGTAGTGTAAGTATGTATGAGTATGTATGTGTATGTATGTGTATATGTATGTGTATGTATGTGTATGTATGTGTATGTATGTGTACGTATGTGTACGTATGTGTAGGTATGTGTAGATATGTGTATATGTATGTGTATGTATGTGTATGTATCTGTATGTATCTGTATGTATCTCTATGTATCTGTATGTACGTATGTGTACGTATGTGTAGGTATGTGTAGATATGTGTATATGTATGTGTATGTATGTGTATGTATGTGTATGTATGTGTATGTATCTGTATGTATGTGTATGTATGTGTATGTATCTGTATGTATCTCTATGTATCTGTATGTATCTGTATGTATCTGTATGTATCTGTATGTATCTGTATGTATCTGTATGTATCTGTATGTATCTGTATGTATCTGTATGTATCTGTATGTATCTGTATGTATCTGTATGTATCTGTATGTATCTGTATGTATCTGTATGTATCTGTATGTATCTGTATGTATCTGTATGTATCTGTATGTATCTGTATGTATCTGCATGTAAATGAGTATGTATCTGTATGTATCTGTATGTACCTGATTGTATCTGTATGTAATCTGTATGTATCTGTATGTATGTGTATGTATGTATGTATGTATGTATGGATGTAATGTATGTATGTTTATGTATGTATGTAGTATGGATGTATGTATGTGTATGTATGTATGGAATGTATGTGTATGTGTGTATGTATGTGTAGGTATGTGTGTATGTATGTATGCATGTATGTGCATGTATGTGTATGTATGTGTATGTATGTGTATGATGTGTATGTGTATGTGTATGTATGTGTATGTATGTGTATGTATGTGTATGTATGTATGTATGTATGTATGTATGTATGTATGTATGTATGTATGTATGTATGTATGTATGTATGTATGTATGTATGTATGTATGTATGTATGTATGTATGTATGTATGTGTATGTATGTGTGTATGTATGTATGTATGTATGTATGTATGTATGTATGTATGTATGTATGTATGTATGTATGTATGTATGTATGTATGTATGTATGTATGTATGTATGTATGTATGTATGTATGTATGTATGTATGTATGTATGTATGTATGTATGTATGTATGTATGTATGTATGTATGTGTGTATGTGTATGTGTATGTGTATGTGTATGTGTATATGTATGTGTATATGTATGTGTATATGTATGTGTATATGTATGTGTATATGTATGTGTATATGTATGTGTATGTATATGTGTATATGTATGTGTATGTATGTATGTATGTATGTATGTAAGTATGTAAGTAAGTAAGTAAGTAAGTATGTATGTATGTATGTATGTATGTATGTATGTATGTATGCATGTATATATTCTGACATTCTATGCTGGCATTTTATCTGACATTCATTCTGACATGCTATTATGGCATCCTTTCTGGTATTCTACTTTGGCATCTATTCTGACATTCTTTCTGGTATTCTATCTGACTGAGGTCTGGCGCTCGCAGTTGGGGTCCGGCAGTGCCCGAGAGGAGGCGAGTAGAAGGAGGAGGAAAATCTAGAGTCCCTCACCTGGCAAGTGGGAAAATACCTCAAACCAACAGGTATGGCTTCTCGGGGCGCCCCAAGTTTAGGATATACTTCCTCTCATCCGTGGAGACGTCCTACAAACACAGTAAAGCACCATTGGAATCGGTTAGATGTATCTTTTGTTGCAATGAGAATGTTCCATTCCCACTAATTTATCGAGGGCAAGCACTGTTTGCAGCTGTCCCTGTGTCCACTGAGCAGCTCACGTTTGACAGCAGTGCTGATAGTCCAACACCTTTGAATTCATGGTCAAAGAAAAAGCCTTGACTGCCTGTAATTACAGAGGTAAAGGTTTCATCGATGGTCCAATGGGATACTTGGCCCACCACCGAGCCACATGATGGCCAGCATGAAGAGGAAGGGCCTTACCGATCTTACCGAGTTCAGAGCAACTTAGCTGGCTGCTCTACAGCAGTCCAAGAAAAACAAACAAAGCAGCACCCGAAAAAAGGGAGGCTGAACATTTTCTCATATTTTCCCATTGGTTTCCTCCACTTTCTGCATTTTGACATGTTATGACATATTTTGGGACAGGTGAAACTCGGGCACAGTGCCCAAAAGATTGTGGCCCCTTGGGTCTTGCACATTGGACCTGTGGACCCAAACCTGTGACCCAAGGATTGTTGTAGCAAGGCAGCTGCGCCTTTGCGAGGGATGGAGCGACAAAAACTGGGGCGAAGGAAACTCCAGTAGCATGGCTTGAAACCTATGGGCAGGGATCATGTTATTCCAAGTCAACACATCGTGAGCTCCGCATCTCACCGGCATCCTTAGAGGCGGACGGCAATCCAACTGACACTTGGAAAAGATGGAGCTCATGGTGAAGCCACTGAGCACCAGATATAGAGATTCCTTGGCTGCCGGAACTGGAAATCGCTTCGCAGTACGTCTTCTTTGAATCGATCTTCAGTCTGCGTACGTTGAAGACCGAGGCCAACAGCTTCTTGGCCTCGAGTCAAAAAGGCAGATCAACATGGCCATGGAGAAATCCATGGTGGTTGGAAAAAGCCATGGAAAAATCCATGGTGCAAATGAATATCAAGGGGGGACTGAACCCGGGCCACCAGCACTGGGTATAAAAATTCCATGTCATGCTAATGACTTATGAAACTCTTTCAGAATTATTCGACAAATATGCGAAGCCATGAAGAGCTTGGTACTCCAGACTTTCAACTCTCCCAAGTCTGTCGGGTGGAAGGACTCGATAGTGCTAATTTGCAGATACTATTACAGTGGTCAGCCGGGTCAGCCGGGTCAGCCGGGTCAGCCATTGCATCATGGATGATGTGTCAACCTCCCAATCTCTCAAAAGACCAGTTGGGCCTGATCTTCTTTGCTGCCATCCATGACATCGAGAGCAGCAGCTAAAGGGGCCACCAACCTCAAGGCGCCGCAACACTGATTCCATGGGACCCAGAGGCCAAACTACGAACCATCTATGATCAAATATGCAGATGGCAATGTGGGCATGTCATGAGCATATTCTTCGAGGGAATCGGAGGGGTCCCCACGTGCTGCACATGGCATTCTCCGCACATGCCCATGGACCCTTTCTGCAACACACGGGTAGACCTCAAATTTAATCATTTTGATTATTTTAACATGAACCGATTAGATACATTATATGTGAATATTATATATATATATGATGTATGCATGATATATACTAGTAATAAACTAGACTATACTGGAAGGG